TGACAACTGTGTAGCCAATGAGGCTAAGTAACACGATGTCTGAAGATGAAACTCAAATACTTTGGCCAGCTAATGAGAAGGAAGGGCTCACTGGAGAAGACCCTGATTCTAGGAACGATTGATGGCAAAAGGAGAAGGGGATGGCAGAGGTTGAGGTGGCTGGATGGAGTCACTGGGGCAGTTGGTGTGAGCTTAAGTGGACTCCAGGGGATGGTGGAGGACAGGAGAGCCTGGAGGAATGTTGTCCATGGGGTCCTGATGGGTCAGGCACGACTTCACGACTAACAACAACAACAACACAATATCACATGAAGCCTGTGGAGGGCAAGGGCTTTCTGCCCTCGTTCTGAAATTAAAATTCCATCCAGTGCCACTGGGGAATATAATTACTGTTGCCAGAATCACATGAGGGAAGTGTGGCAAGATCCCTTTAAAAAGGCTCATATGGACCCTGACCTCCCTACACCATTTTGCATGTGTGAACAAGATGGCAAAAACAGGGTGATGCTGGACTCAGCCATTCCCTCAGCTATCAGACATTTTCAAAAGGCTACTCTGTGCTAACAGATCCTTCGTGTTGCCCATTTTTCAGTCTGTCATGGCTTCATTGGACAGCTGCCTTCGACGAACTCAAGCTAGGCTGGTATATAAGAAGCTGAGAGCAGCATGGTCCATTCCATTGCCATTGCTGTGAAAGGGTCCCTTGATCAAGTTCCCCGAGATGGCACAGCTCCTCAGTGTCCAGCGTGCAAGAGACTAACTCCCAGGATGGCAAGACCAAGTGGGATGAACAGTGGCTCTGGCTGCCTTTATGGCAACGGCTGCTTCTCCGATGCATTTTACGGCCAGGGAAGTTTTCCTGTCATGCCATAAATAGCCTCTGACGGCAGTTGTGCAATAAAGTCGCGGCATTTCTCTGTAATGGATATAAAATGCTGAATTATTTTGGCGAGGAGCGGCTGATTAGGGAGCCACTCGGAGGGAGGGATAATTAGTTGTGCAGCGGTAAATACAGGAGGCAGCCCAAGAGGTGGTGAGCTGGGGGTCCTCAATCATTCAGGGGAGTTCCGCGGTGGGAGCCATGGCAGGGGAGCGAGCAAGCCACAAAGCGGGGCATGTTGAAAGGGCTCTGCCAGTGGGAAGGCAAGTCTTTCAGACAGATTTGGTGGTGGTTGCCATAAGAATATGCTAGTCCCACTTCCTGACCTGCAGACATCAACCACCTGGAAACCCCAATCCGACACCCTCCAGATGTGTTGGACTGCAGCTCCCACCATTCCTGCCTTCCACTTCCTGTTGCGTGTTTCGCAGTGGTGACCAATTCTCAGTACTAGATGCTGAGATTACAGATTTTCAGTAGCAAGGCTTGCAAGGTTTACTCAGCCTGGAAACTATCATGGCAAAGGAGAATTAAGGCTTGCAAGCCCCAAGATTCTTCTCTGGCTTACCCCTAGAATGAAACACTGCTGCTGAAGGAAGAAAACTCCAGCCCCCATGGGGAGCCCCCGAGGTCTCCACCAGAGCCTTGCTTTTGCCCTGAACAGCATTCCTTCCCACCTGCCCACCCCGGGTGTTTCAGTGCAGAATCTTCTTTGCAATGCCATCCCCCCGCAGAAAAGTTTGTTTGTTTGTTTGTTTAATTTAGAAAATTTTTATCTCATCCTAAACAATCCAATTGTCTCAGGACAGTTTGTAATATAAATAAACAATAAATACAAACACTCAAAGAATACAATAACAAGATAGAATGCGACTGAGGATATTAATATTAATAAAGCCAGATTAAAATTATTTGAGCTTTAAAATGCTAGGCAAATAGAAAAGGTTTTTACCTGGTACCAAAAAGCATATAACGTTGGCACCAGGTGAACCTCTCTGGGGAGCGCATTTCACAGTCGAGGTGCCACCACAGAAAAGGCCCTCCTCTGGGTGTTCATTCTCCTAACCTCCTTCAGGGAGGGTTCCCGGAGCAGAGCCTCTGTTGCAGATCTTAGGGGGCCTGGAGGGCATATAGGGAAAAAGGGTTGTTCAGGACTCAAGCCCTTAACTTCATTCAAAGTTAATGAATTTGAATGGATCTGGAAATTAATCAAGAGCAGCCACTGTTTCTGACAGTGACTATTCCCCCACTGATGCCTTAATGACCTGCTGGTAGGACCATCACTCAAAAAGGATCAACAAAGGTGGGAGGAGATAACAGCTCCCCTGTCTAGCATAGCTTAGCCTCAGGGAAATGTGGAAAAGGTAGAGAACACTGAGAAGCATCCATTCGGTATTTAAACGTGGGAGGATTGCATTGCCAAAAGTGGAGAGATTGCCTCCCTGCCTTTTGGTGCACTTACTCCATCTGCCTTGCTGCTGAACTGCACCTCTCCTCTCTCTCTTACTCTGATTCCTGCCCCTGCCCTTCGCAACGGTGCTCAAGTTAGCCAACAGGCAACCTATCTTGTCGATCTCCCAGTACTTTACCCACTCCCCTTGCTGCTCCCTTTGACAGCTGAACCATGCGAGGAAATTAATCAGGAAACACTGCACATATTAGACAGTGGCAAGTGTGCTCTTGTGAGACACTGACACAATAACAACAGCAACAGCAAGAAATTATGAGCATATTTGCATATGCCTGAAGCAATCCTTTTTTTTTAAGCCGGCAAATGAAAAGGGGTAGTGATCGGAGCAAGGAGGGGGTTACGGCAAGGAGACAAGCTCAGTCCTGCTGCAAAGGTGCTTGAGAAATGTCTTGGAGGCAGTTGGGAGACTGAGGAAGAAGCGGGAGGAGAGGCTAGGGCAAGCCTGATCATCCAGCCCACTTTGCAGCAGCTCTGGCTCTGAGTCTGCAGGGTGCTCACCAGGAACTGAGCCCTGTGCACAGCTGCTTATGAGGTCAATAAGTAGTCTGTGGATGCTGGATGGATGGATTCCAACTGGGCTCATCCCAACCCTCATTTGGACTACAACCACCATGGGTTGTGCTGGCTGGGGGTGAAGATGGTTGAAGTACAAAACATCTAGAGGGCTCCAGGAATGGGGAAGGGTATATACTGATTATCAGTGGCTGTCCGGGTTTCTTGACAAGGTCCGAGCTTGGATTTGGACCTTCTTTATGCAAGTCAGCTCTCAGCTACTGTGGCCACATGCATGAGAACTCACCCAAATGCCACTGGGGACTGTCCAGTTCTGCACTGAGAAGGCTACAACTGGGCTTGCATGGTTTGCCTCCGCCCAAGTGCATTTGGAACTGAAGGATCCAAAGAGAAGATGCTGGTGAAGAAACTGGCATGTTGCTGCACTTGGCAAGGGTGAGGTGTGTGTTGCTCAGGAATCCCAGTGCCTCCCTCCAGACCGTATGGCAAGGCTGGCCCTACCAGGGCATATGCTGGATATCAGAGGGAGCAGCTGTCAGGCTGGGTGTTGTTTCCTGCGTAGGAGTTGCTAGTTCCTGCTGCCCTTAAAGCCGCGGCCAGAGACAAGAGAGGAAACAAGCCAGAGGGAGGTTGAATACAACGGACATGTCCTTTGTGGGTCAGCTATGCAGGACATAGCAGAAAGTCTTGCACTGACAGAACAGGTCCCACTGTAGTCCTAGCTTTGGGCATTACACTGGTTTGGACTCCTGGCATCTTAAAGGGATACAGAACTTGGCATGTGTTTTGCTAGATGGAAAATTGTGTTGGTTTTGTTCTCTGCCTGAGCTGCCAGTATGCTGCTTCATTGTCATTTTTCAAGATTACAATGCTTTAAGGATGCTTTCACTGTCCCTGTAAAGTTAATAGCCCAAGATGCTACCTGATACACATTCAGAAACATGCGAGGGCAGTGGCCCTCCAAAGCTGCAGGTGGGGACTTTTCTAGCCCTGCCTGGACCAGACACTGTGCTGAGCTGATCAAGAGAAGCAACTTCTTTTAAGACACCAAATCACTGCAGATCATGCTCCATATGGCATCAAGGAAAGTGGGAGCATCTGGGCTATACTGTTGAGAATGGTAGGGCGATCACCACCTGACACCAAGTCAGGCCAACACAGCACCATCTCCATGGACCATGGAGATCTTCTCTGGTCCTTCCTGGAGATAAGAGAGATTGAATGGGACCTCCTGCATGCCAAGCAGGTATTCTACCACTGAGTTATGGCTCAATGCAGTCCTATGGCACAGGAAGGAAAGCACCAAAACTGGATGCTGGTACCTGCTCCACAGCCTCCCTGGCGCCTTACAGCCAATCATAAGAGAAGCTATGCTGAATTACAACCTCATGCCCATGGGCCAAATCCTGCTTCCTGTGATGCCTTAGACGCTTCCTTTCCCTGACCAGAGCCCTTGTCGCTGGCAGTCTGTCATTTGACGGTTTCCCAGCTTTCTTTCCATCGCCATTTTAAAAGGTTGACATGTCTCTCCTAAGGCGTACATACTGGCAGTGACAGCTTTAAGTAACATCCCCTTGGCCTTCAGTCCTTCCCATCACCACCGTGCAGCTCCTGAGAGCTTCTCCGAAAGGGAAGTCAGTCTTTGGGCTGAAACAGGTTCAGCACAGGTTCCTCTTCCCACAACCAGCAGTTGGTAGGAAGCCCACGGCTCTACAGGGGGCATGGTGCCTTTGACACATCATGGCTGGCAAGGCTACAGATCGGTCTCCCCTGGCTTTGCTGGCCTCACAGATTTTAAAGGATCCATTCTGCCCTCCGTAATTTCCCTGTTGCTGCACAAAAGACAAGCGTCAATGCCACTGGCAACACCATCTGAATTTCTTACAGCTAAACCAGACGAGCACAGGAGTTTTCCCCCTCTGGTATAAGGAGGCCCCTGAGAACCGCTGACACAGACTGAAGCTAAATTAATTCCATCTGTGAACACTGGCATTTTGCAGTCTGGTGCTGCAGTAGTCAAGGAGGAACAGCAGAATGTCTGCAGGTGTTAACAGCAGTTCACATCTCTGCCTCTCTCTCTACTGCTTTGGCTACCCCCCTCAAGGGCTTGCTCACACCCTCTTCTCTTTCTTGTAGTCCTGAGAGATGACTTCCGACAGGCTCCCAGTGATGTGGTTGTGGCTGCCGGCGAGCCAGCTGTGATGGAGTGCATCCCACCGAGAGGACACCCAGAGCCCACAATTTCCTGGAAGAAGAACAATGTTCGCATCAGTGATAAGGATGAGCGCATTACGGTGAGCTCATAGGAGAGAGCCACATCTTTGGAACCGGAAGTGATACTGTGCTTTCTTCAATCAGAAAGATGTCTGTGCTTGTGACTACAGCAGGGTTGTCCAACCTGTGGCCCGTGGGCCGGATAAGGCCCTGGATGGCTATAATGTGGCCCAACACAAAATTGTAAACTTACTTAAAACATTATGAGATTTTTTTGCAATTGTTTTGATAACTTGATTGTGTGGTTCTTGAGTGTGAACTTTGTAGAAGACAATGTTGTGTCACAATGTCCCAAAAAATAAACGTAAGTGTGCTCTCTTAGGATTATTATGTGAGGACTTTTTTGTTTATCCATGGTGGCAGATACCATGAAAATTATGCACAGACCTTTTTCTTTGCTCATCAGTTTTCGTTAGTGTTTGTTTATTTAATGTGCAGCCCAAAGCAATTCTTCTTCTTCCAATGTGGCCCAGAGAAGCCAAAACACCCCTGGACTAGAGCATGAGTCTTGCTGTACTCCTTTTCAGCCAGTCACTTTTTAGTAGTGCAAGAAGAGAAGCAGAATTATAAGAAGAGCTGGGAATACGCATGTTCCTCTTACAGGCAGCTGTAGTAAACCTACAATAGAGTAAACCTACACCATCAGATCCCAGGAGCATTAGAAGCTACACGATAACAAGTGAAATCCATCCAACTCTCTATCACTGATTATTAATTTATTCCGAGCATTGTTCTTCTGCTCCTTGGGAAAAAAGTCTTGTAGAGCAGCTTACACGCAATCAATAAAAGCAAGACAAGCCATGTCTGCCAGTTTACAAGAAACAGCACAAAAGGAAAAAGTAGTACAGAGGGTAGAGGGGGAAAAGAGGTGGGTTGGACACCCCTGGACCAGAGTATGAGTCTTGCTGTACTCCTTGTCAGCAGGACTGGTGGAATGACTCTGCTTTCAAGCTCATCTCTCTCCCCTGCAACCTGCTGGAATGGCTGCCAGGATGGCATTGGTGGGAAGAGCATAAGACAAGAGGTGGACTCAAAGATGGGTGCAATGGTCCTGCTTCCCATCTAGTCCATCACTCTCCACTCTTGACAAGCAGCTGGGTCCTTGGGATCTTAGGCAGAGGCCTTTCCCATTGCCTACTGCTAGAGATAATTTGAGCTAGAGGTATTCGGGACTGAACCTGCAACTTTTCACAAGCACATGTGTGCTGTGCTGATCACAGCAAAATATTTTGGAGAGCATAGCAGGACTGAAGGCGAGTGTAAGCACTGAAAGGCAGCATCTTGGGCTGCTGGTCCAGGTTTGCCAGAATTGTACTGAAGTCCAAAATGCTGCTGCAGGAAAGTCATGCAGCACTGTCCTTAAGTGCACAGAATGGGTGCATCTTCTGGAAATGGCCACTGCAAAGGCTTCAGCCTGGATTGGGCTTGCAACATGGCTATGCAGGGGACCTGGCTCTTCCACACACCCCTTTGTGGCCTCAGTTCCCTGGGGCTTGGCATGGAGCTCAATCCCTTACAAGTGCCCGGAAAGCACTGGGAGGGCTTGCCAGGAGCTCAGGCTCAGGTTCACTGCAAAGTGGATCAGAATCCAGGCAGCCAAGCCCAGGGAATCTGACAGATTCCCATCCCCAAAGGGGTTCCTTGCATGTCCCTAATCACAGCCCAGATCAGGGACCCCTCCACCTGAAATTTGCAGCATCAAAAATGCCCCCCCCCCCCGCCGAAGGCCTGGGATCTTTTTCTAGCAATGTGAATTGCTGGCACAAGAGACTCAGTCTGGATTAGAACTGCAGAGGTGTGTGGATAGATGGATGGGTGGGGAATGTTAAAGCCACCCCCCCCAGCCCCATGCCAGGGTCCCAGTCCAAATCCAATCCTTACTAAGGTCCCAGTCACAGTGGCAGTTAGAAAGCAAACACATGGAACCCTGCAAGGGAGAAGACTCAGCCCTCAGTGCCACTTCCCCAGGGATGAGGTGCAAAGCTCCAATTCTGAGGCATGTCCTTGAGGAATATCTGGGCAAGGTGAATATCTTCACCTTCGTTTGTGATGCTCCCTTTGGGGTGCCTGCTGTAGCAGCTGCTTTCTAAGGCAGCCCAGAGCAGATACAGACCGGTGGACCCACAACAATGCCTTTGATGGTGCCCAGCAGTGTGTGTGTGTGTGCGTGTGAGATTGAGAGACAGAGAATGGATGGTGATCTAGAATGACAGAGAAAAAGAGAACAGGAGATGTGTTTGCTAGCACAAGGCCTGGGGGACAGAAAAGTATGCTTTGCAGTGAAATAATTATGGAAAACTGTCACATCAAGCAGTTGTTTTGCACTGTGGAGCTCAGATCACACCTGTCAATCTTTTGCACACCATCTCTAGAGCAGGTTAGTTGTACCTTGTGACTTACCGCAGCCAATCTGAGGCAGTGGCCAGGATAGGTTCTCAAATTGCCAAATGCGCCTGCAGGCCCCAAAAGCTTTGCATACCCCTAGTCCCAAGAGTCTTGGCATTCAGCAAAAGACGAGCCCAGGAAGGTGAATATGTGTGGATATTTAAACAGAGTTTCTTGTTGGCTTTTCACTCTAGATCCGAGGTGGGAAGCTGATGATGTCCAACACGAGGAAGAGTGATGCTGGCATGTATATCTGTGTGGCCACCAACATGGTGGGTGAGCGGGACAGTGAACCGGCAGAACTGGTGGTGTTTGGTAAGCCGGAGCTGAAGAGCTGGGATTGGGGGGAGGAGGACATGTAAGATGGTTTTATGGGGTTATGTTGGACTGTGGGAATTTTGTAATAGGATGGGGGGGCAGGGAGAGATTTCCCATACCCATTCTCAAACTATTACGTGAACCAACATCCTCTTCTGAATTTTTACTTCTCCGAATTTTGTGACACAGAGCTCCAAGCAAAGACTGATGCAATGTACAAAAATGCACCAGTCAGGGAGAAATGTTCAGCTGTGCATTCTGTAAACAAAGTTGCAAAAATATGTATATTCCCTAAGAATGCAGATATTTGGAAAAGTGTACACAAAAGTATTTTCATGCGAGCTTTTTTTTTAGAGTCCCAAACTTCAGGATGAGCCTAACTTAAGATTAGAAAAATTCTCAAGGTTTAAAACAAGTCAAACTTAATACTGAAAAACTTTCAAAATGCAAGAAAGTGAAATTGACAGACTAACCTAGTCCGAAACAAGACACCTTGTGACTTTTTCTTCTCTCTCCTTCTGCCACTCCCTTTTACGTATCTATCCATCTTCCTTCCTGGGCTGCTTGGATGGCAGCCACAGGCATCAATGCTGCGTCTGCCCTCAGTTTTAATCCCCTGACAATATTCTTGTTCTTGGCAGAACGGCCCACGTTCATCAAGAGACCCATAAACCAAGTGGTGCTTGCTGAGGACACGGTGAATTTCCACTGTGAAGTTCAGGGGGATCCCGTGCCAACATGCCGCTGGCGCAAGGAGGAAGGAGAACTTCCACAAGGGCGGTAAGTGGAGCTGGGGGGACCCGGGGTGTGTGCATAAGTTCGGGGTGTGTAAGGAATTTGTTTCAGGGTGCAAATCTGTTGGACAGGCTGGGCTTGGCCCCCAGACTCTGGCCTGCTTCGCAGCAGACCTGAATCTGAGTTCTGGGACAGTGTGTCCCATGTCCATGGGGCACTCGCAAGGAATCTATGTGCCGCACAAGCATCCTCTCTCTTCCCCACCTCCTGCAGCCACCTTTGTGCTTTTGCACCTGAAACCAAAGAAGAAGAAGTTTTCCAGTCATGCTCTGCTTTGTGAGCTTCTGCCCTGCTTGGTTCACTTTGCAAGCCTTGGCTCACTTTGTGTGGACTTCCGCTCTACTTGGCTTGCTTTGCAAGACTGAGCTGAGCACAAGAGGAAGTCTGTGACTACTAGAGGAACAGATTCCACTAGGGTTCATTCCAACCCTATTCTGTGCACGTGTGCATGCTTGTTTCTACTTGCAATCCAGGAGGAAATCTATATAGCAGGTTCAAGACTGGCCCTTTTTAAGCATGCATCTCCCTATCCATAAATAAAGGCTGCCAAACACTTTGTACTCCGGAAGAGCCGTGGAAAGTACCATGGAAATTGCAAGCAGTAACAGTAATGGCTGGAAAAGATCCAGGCCTCTAGAGAAGGCTTGTTCTGATCTGTGGTGGAGCCTGAAGAGGTTAGCTGAACAATTTCAAAGTGGTGACATTGTTCAGATACCCTTGTCTTGGTTTCAGGGTGACCAAGAGCAATTCTGCTTAATTCCCTTAATGGGGCATTAGGCACAATGGGGTTGTTGAAAGGTATCATCACAGGCAAGTGCACAAGTCGCTATGCAATTAAAGAAAGCTGTCTTCACCCCCCCCCCCCCCCAGGAAAACCTACCTTCCTCCTTCCTTCCTTCCTTCCTTCCTTCCTTCCTTCCTTCCTTCCTTCCTTCCTTCCTTCCTTCCTTCCCTTTTCCCCTTTGGAGACGGGAGCCCCAATAGGGAAGCTCTTCTCAAACGAATAAGGAGGAAGATCAGTTGCATTCATGAGTGACCCTAAAAATGCATGCAAAATTGCTAATAGGGCTCCAGCAGCGTGGAACCCTCTTTCCAGTTCTCCCAACAATCATGGGTGGTGTTTGGTATGGATGATCTTGTGGCTTTAGGTTTCCAGTCCCTGTAAACAAGTGCAGAAGAAGCTGCACATTAATTGTTGCTTCTTGCCATCGGGGAGACCAGCGTTCAGGCAAGTGTGAGAAGCCACAGCTTGGGAGAGGCTGTTGCTCAACAGTGGAGCACATGAGCCACATGCTCAAGACGCATGACCTGGGTGTTCTCTTGGGATGCACATGAGAAGCTAACACTGGGAGGTGGAGGAAGAGTTAGGAGCTGCTCCCTTCACAGGGCTGGAGCCCCACATCTTCTGTTTGGAGCCCGTCATCTCTGGCATGCCATCTGCCCCATCGCTCTGCTCCTCCGGGGTATTCACTGAAATGGAGACACAAGGGCCCAGATGGTTTCTGTTGTGTCACATTGCTCTGGATGAGCTGGGCTTGTGCCTGCATGTGTCTCCCTCCCATTCCCCTTTGTTATCACTTTGCGAATACGTTTTATGTATTGTAAGTCACCTAGGAAGGCCTCGGCAGCTACGGGCAGTCTATAAATACACATATAAATAAAAGAAATAAATAACAATTTTCCCTTCCACTGGAATCCTTTTGCCTGAGTCTGTTTTCTGAAAGCAGATGCCCACCCCTCCCCTGTGTAGGCATCCTTATTTTACCAATAAGGGGAGTCCTAAGGAGGCAGAAGCCTTTACGGACAGTCCAAGGGCGAGTTTAGAGCATGTGTGAATAAGCATGTGTACGTTTCTTTGTCCTTGGCACGATGATTTCAGCACCTTTTCTCTTGCCTTCGGTGTATCTCGCTAGTGCTTGTTCGCAGCATGTTTTCTCGCCCCCCGGCCCTGCCGTGGAAGTGGTCAACCGAGTCCTGCCAAACAAGACGAGTCTGAGGCTTCCTCCCAGTGGCGGAGCACTAATGAAGAGGGTCCTGCTACTTGTGCTTGGAGGGATATTTAATGGAGCTGGAGGTGCAGGGGCCAGCATCAGGGCTCTGGGGGCCCTTGGGCAGCCCTCACCCTCAGAGTGGAACTTTCTCTCTGCCCTTGCCTTGCCTTGCCTTGCCACCAGCTCCTGCTCCTCCTCTCCCTTTTCCCAGCATTGCTCGCCCTTGCTCGCCTGACCAGCAGAGAGCCAGTGGGCCACTAAGCAGGGGCATCTCCTGCTTCCTCTCCTCACCATCCCTACCACAGGCTGAGCCAGAGCCAGAGGCAGCTGACTGAGCAGGTGGCAGGCTGAGGAGGAGGGACGAGTCCAGGGGCTCTTCTCTGTGGCTCCTCACTGGGCCTGACCAGGTCTACCTTTGATGCCACGCCGCAGCCCCTTTTGCTCTGAGCTGGGCCTCAGTGGCGCACTCCTTCTCTTCCATCCTAGATCGGAGGTGCAGCATGACAACACTCTGCGCATCAGCCGGGTGAGTGCAGAGGACGAAGGCACCTACACTTGTGTGGCAGAGAACAGTGTGGGCAAATCGGAGGCGTCCGGCTCTCTCAGCGTCCATGGTAAGTTGGGCTTAGCTGCTTATGAGGTTCTGCGTCAGGTGAGAGTCACTGTGGAGAGGGAAGAAGATGCATCCAGAGGCGGGTTGTGCCTCTCGCCAGGCACCCATAGCCAAGGCAACTGTCTCCAGCTTCATTTCTTGTAGTGCTGATACAGCAACTCTCACACCAGAGGCTGACGGGAGCAGAGGGGCTGTATGAAAACAAGGATTCAACCCACAAATCATGGAACTGGCACAGGCTTTCCATCACCTCCATTTTGTTTCACTTACCATTTTCTGATTCATCATTACATTTACTTGGGAGTAAATCCCCTTAAGCCCTGTGGGGTTTACTTCTGATTAGGCTTGCGTATAATCATACTCTTGATATGGTTCCACCCCCAAAGTAGAGAGACAGGGATACCTTTTAAACCTTGGTGTTTCCTTCGAAATCAAGCACATCTGGTTGGTTTATTTGAAAGGCATTTTTTTTTGTTTGTTTGAAAGAAAGGCATCCAAACTTCAAATAAGTTTATCTTATCTCTCAGGTTTTAAAATAGTGAAGCATGGAATAATACTCCCTGACTCTGTATTTTTAACAGGCCTGCTTCTATTGTGGCACTTTCTTTGGAGCAGCATTTAAGACTTTAATAAAAAGAGCTGCTGGAAGAAAGATCCACCCACTCTTTTAAAAAGTCATTTTTAGATACGCAACTGCTGCTTGCTAGAATGATAGCCCCCACTGAGTGGCAAAGATGGCAGCTATTTTGATGGTGGTCACCATTTTGAACTTCCCAAAATGCATCTCAGAACATGGCATTCTGGGGACAAAAGAATTGGCTGACTCTTCCTACTGGATCTCTGATTCCTTTCTTTGGTCCATCACCTCTGACCATTTTTCTGGAAAAAAATTACTGAAAGGTGCTGGAGCAGTTTATACTGTGTAGTCTCTTTCCCAGACAGGTTATTAGGTGATGTAGAGCCACCTATGAAAGTTGTCTCTAGCAGCATTCATTCCTTAAAATATCAATCCCTCTAAACAATCCCAAAGGATCTAAATTGACCACCACTACATAAATAAAGACCAAAAGCACAACACTGTATTACTCTTTTAAAGAACTACATTAAAATCCCTGGCCAGCTGCAAAAGAGTAAAACCAAGATGAAAATCAATCCCTTTTCTGATATTAGCTTAATTCTGGTCAATAAAACTCAGCCAGTACAGGAAGGCTTTATAGCATGAGCCAGGGATTCTCCAGCATTGGCAAGTCCCTAGCTTTGGTACAGAGGCAGGGAAGTCTGTGACTTTGGATGTGGCAGACAGACTCCAGCTGTATTTCACATGTATGTGGCAGACAGACTGGTTAAGCTTTGGCCTCTGGTACCCTGTGCTCTCATTCGGGACCTTTTTTTTCACTGAAGCGTTGAGCACTCATCTCAGCTTAATTTGATCCAACTCATCTCATACTTTTTTTTGTTTTGTTTCTTTCATATGTTCTCTTTCTTCCAGTTGGCCCATTCCGTAAGTATTCATTTCACCTCATTACACTGCTGCATGCTGGGTTGATGGAGGGTTGCGAGGGCAGGGGACGTTGTTTGGGTTTGTGCATGTGGCCTTGTATTTGTTTTTCTTTTTAAGCCACAGTGTTTATTTTATGTGTGATTCTGTGGGTCTCATGCCCCATAGGTCTCTTGTCAAAAGGAACAGTAGGTCTCTAGATGTTTTTGACTTCAGCTTCCAGAATTCTTGACCATTGGTCTTGTTGGCAGAGGCTTCTGGGAATTAAAGGTCACAACTTTAATTGATCTAGATCTTTGAACAATTGATCTACCCCTGATCTAGATCTTTGAACATTTTCCTTTTATCTTAGTTGAACAAAGCAAGGTAGCAAAGCATATGAATGCAGCCCAGGACTGGTTACATAGACTAATTTACTATGCTACCCTATGCTAATTTACTCAAAAGTAAGTCTTACTGTGTTTGCTGGGTAAGGGTGCATAAGATTACAATTTTACAAGCCAATGCTATGCATGTCTCTTAAGAAATAAGTCCCATTAAATTCAGTGAAACTTATTTTCAGGTAAATGTGTATAGGATTGCTGCCACAGCCTCTTGCTTATTTTGTAGACCTAGAATTCCACTGCAATCTAAACTGGACCTATTTCTCCCATTTTATTTTTTTGTAAAGGCTGCCCTAAATTCTGGCATTATGCCTACCAAGCCTTGTTCTCTAACTCTCCCAATGTTTTTGGTTTGTTGAGATGCCTCTGCTAGGTTCAGAAAACACAACCATCCATGCTCAAGCATTGAGTATGTGTGCCTGTAGGTTTTTGTTCACAGGTTGTTGTTGAAATGTGAGTTATCTTGTTGCCCATGTTAATATATCATGGCATGTTAACCATGAACAACCCATGAAGAGAACTCATGTTTTATTACTGCGTAATGAACCATTGTTGGGTGTTCACCATGGTTTGTTATCTCAGCTGAATTCAGACAATGTGATTAACCTGCAGTTCAACAACAACCCACATCCATATCTTGAATGTGAGTTATTGCTTTGCCTGAACCCAATCTCTACATTCTAGGGGGTAATTTGGCAATCAAATGCCCATGATGGTTTATTTCTCTTACCCCAAGATTCCATTCCTCACTGTAAGCTAATACAGTGGATTTTAGCCCACCCCATTAGCCGCATGGCTCCCTGGGCGGGCTAATAAGTCCAAACATGTGTGCTTGAAAGGAGGACACATTTCTTCCATGCTTTTCCTCCATTTCCCTTCCTCAGCTGTTTCGTCCATGTCAAATTTTCCATGCAACCTCCCCAGAGCAGGGCCCTACGCACTGTTGGCTCCTGCCATCTCCAGCCTGCTGTCCCCAGCGATCGGTACAAGCCAATATGGCCAATTGTCAGAAATTCTGGGAGTTGTAATCCAAAATATCTGGAGGACACTAGGTTGGAGACATCTATCATCATCACCACCACCACCACCATCAATGCTTATATTTTTCTCAGACCCAATAGCTGAAATGTGGTCTGTCTGTCCACCCATCTGTCCCTCCGTCCGTCCGTCTGTCCTTCCTTCCTTCCAAGCAGGACTGAACTTTTTTTTTTCTTTTTCTTTCCTGGAATTGTGCATGGAGGCATGTTTTTGCATGCCAATTAATTTTGGTACTCTGACTCCAGTTAGCTCTACATGCCTTTCATTCACATCTGTGGCTCACATATCCCCGGCAACTGGGGGAAGAGCTGAGCTTTCATTTGTGTCCAATGGCAGGGGCTGTTGGCAGGTCTCCTTCCCATCAAGAGCTTATCAGGGTTGTTTTCACTAATAAATCACCCTTGGAAAAAGCCTGCTGCTCTTCTTGTAGCTGCAAAGATAAGGGCCCAAAGGTGAATGGAAGATCTGAGCTGATAGGCTATGCGGTTTCCCTGGTTCTCCATTCTTTACTGCACCCAATTCAATTTCCTGCCTGGGGGAGGTGGGAGGGTTGCGCTGCCATTATCTCTTATCTGCATGCTGGTTTTGTGGGCGGCAGGAACATTTCCTCAGCCCCCCAAGGTCATTTTTGCCCATGCTCGCTTTTTCCCTTTGAAGTGGAGACGCACCAAGGGGTGAGGCATTACTGGGGGTAGGAACGAATTTCCTGAGACACAATATCCCTTCCATCTTCCAGGCTGGATAGCCTTTGAAGTGATGCCTGGCACATGTGTGTGCGCAAGTGTGCTTGCCTGTGTCATCCGGGAAGGGGGCTTTCCAGCAATCATTAACCAAAATGCCAAAATTGCACCCCCCCCATCCTTCTCCCCCATTTGCATTTCCATTTGATTATGAAGCAGGTGTTGCCTCCACAAGGCAGCAGGCTGTTGCTGGGGGGCGGGGTCAAAGGTCACTCGACTCACATCTAGGCAGAGGTCTGAATGAGCCCCCCTCAGTGCCTGCGACCACCCTCAGCTGGATCCGGCTAAGGAGGCTGCTCTTCGGTTGTGACGCCAATGGAGAAGCCTGTGCCGGAGGGAGACGCTGCTGCCAAGGCCTCCCGCCTCCCCCCATGGCCTCTAATCACAGGGGACAAAGCCTGACCCTCAGCAGAGGAGGCATGGACTTGGCCGGACACATCCTCTTCATGGCCACCCTGTCCTTCGGGAAGTCCTGTTGCCAGGGAAGAGGCTAACCCTGCGGAGAGCATGACACGGTCACAGCCTCAAATTACAAAACCGTGCGCAGGCGCTCATGGACACGTGCCTGATCCCAGTGCTTTGATGTTGGTTTTTCCTTTCTCAAGGGGGGGATTTGGTTACTTTTGGCACTTGTGTCAAGACTTCAGATGTCAGGCTGATAAGATCAAGGCAGGAAATATCCCCAGCACCTGATCAGCCCAAGACTCTCATCAGATGCTCTCCTGGCATCTAGGAACGTGCGCCCATTTATACCTTGAGCCTTCAGAGATAAGGCTACTAAAACTTGCTTGTTTGAGAGTGTTCCTTTATTTGTTCTAAAACTTTCAGCACTAGAGCTCTAAGGGAAATTGCTGAAAGCCAGAGGTTAAGCCAGGAAAGAACCAGCCCTTTGCCCAGCACCCTAAAAGATAACAAAATAGGTCCCTAGGAGGTCTGTCTGGAAGGAAAATTTCACAAGTTAGGATCCACCACTAAAAACACTCCTTCTCTGGGCACCACCCACTGGACTCCAGATGTCAAGGCCCTCAAAGAAAAACCTTCCCTAAAATATCAACATAGGGGGAGTTGATAATGGGAACAGGCATGCTTCAGGGCCCCCATCTCTGGTCTGACCCAGTCCAGTCACTCTTCATCCTGAAATAGGGCAGCTCTACCATCATTTATCTATTTATTGGATTTCTGTCACACCCTTTAAGCCAAAATGGCTCTCAGGGTGGTTACAAGTTTATTATAACACAGCAAATACATAATAAAGTGAATAGCATTAATTTAACAAATATAAACCTAACAGTAATAAAATCACAATTATGAAGGAAACTCCTGGTCTGCAATGGATGGATAGAAACCCACAAGCAGTTATGACAGAAGCAGGCATCACCACCACTATCTGTTTAGAGCAGGAGTGAGCAAGGGCTGGCCCTCCAAATATTTTTGGATTACAACTCCCATTGTCCCTGGGCAATGGTTATGGGAATTGTAGCCCAGAACATCTGGAGGATGCATTGACAAACTGCTGCCCTGGAGGGAAAAACAAGAATACAGGCAGGAAGGCAGTGGTCTGGTTGCAGATGCTTTCAGTTCTTTTCTTTCCTGCAGGATTTAAAGATTTGTCTTAACTGAGTCAGTGTCAGAGCTGGGCAGTTCCAGTCCAAATCCTTTCTGGACCAATTCGCCACATCCCCCTCTGTGAAACATTTTCTTTTGCCAATCAATACGTATTAAACATCAGCAGCCTTTTCATTCTTTCCATGGAAATTCTCTGCCGTTGAGACAACTTGAGTCGAGCATGCATGAAAACACACACCGAGAGACACACACACACAAGGATGTGGGTAACCTAGCAATCTATAACTTCATTAAACTGAGGCTTGCAGTGATCAGCATGACAATAGCACACCTGAAGCTCTCTTTTTTATAGAGGCCCGGTGCCCCATAAATACTTTACAGCTCAGCCAGAGGGATGCTTATTGTCTCTCTGCTTCTTTGGGGAGGGTAAAGAGGAGATAAGGCAAGTGATTAGCATTTGTAAAACCTGATGTCATTTGTCTTGCATGGGGAGGGAGCAAAGAAAAGGGTTCTTCTAAACCAGCCAGGAGTTCTGGGGGGGGGGGGGGGGTTCAATCTGAGGCATTATTTATGGTTGCATGGCAGATTTAGGGGACTTCCCCCATGCCGCCCTCCCCCTCCTTCCACCAGTGTGAGATGATCTTCTTTGCATGCATTTGCAGGTTGGAGTTTTGTAAAAGAAGTAAGCAAGAAAAACTGCAGTCATGTTTAAAGTCCGAGCCAATGTGGAAGCACATCCAAATGCTTGATTTCCTCATTAACGTTACAGTGCGGGTGTCTTTTGCAGAGTCCAGTGCTTTGAGCTGTAGCTTCCTTATACGGGTTTCTTTGAAAAGGCCTCTCCCTGTTACTGTGTCCCCATCTTCTGAAATGTGCCACTGACTTCACCTGCTGCCGCAGCAAGCGATTCTGTTATGCACATGGGAGCACAGGACAGACATGGATCCATTTAGTTTAGTGAACGAAACACGGAAAGCAGCTTTCTGGGTTGTAGACGGGAGTTTTTCTGAGCCCCACCTGGAGATGCCAGGAACTGATGCTGGAACGTTCAAGGCGGGCACTCTACTGTTGATGCTCACCTCATCCCCAGTATGGTAGCCCAAGCCCAACAGGCAAAGGACAGTACAGCTTGCATGCAGCCTTCTCATGTTGCAGTCATTTCACAGAATCCTTTCAAGAGGACCAGGGGACCAAATAATTGGTCTGAATCCAAAGGTGTTATGTCTCCAGAGAAGGCTTCACTCCAGCAATAACTGTTAGTCCAGACCAGTTAAGAGAGAACAGATACTTGATCTGATTTCTTTGTTATATATTTATTCCACCTTTTTCCCTGCAAGGAACCCAGGTCAGGGTAGATAATTTTCCTTCTGTTCCTCTCCATTTTATCCTTAATTTTATCTTACCTGTGAGATAGGGTAGGCTGTGAGTTGGTGATGGGCCCAGGGAGTTTCTCAGTCAAATGGGAATTGGAACCTGGATTTCCCAAGGACCAGAACCAATGTGGCACACTAGTTCTCCTGGGATGCTAGCTATCTCAGGAATAGGCCACATGGAAAGGTAATGAATGCATCCTGAATGCAGAGCATCTATGGAAACATTTTGGGTACCTCTTCATACCAATACTCCCCCACTTCTCCACACAGTTTTAGGTGTCCCAGGGAGGGTTGCTCCAAAGTTTCAAATTTGTTGTTCTTTGTCTTCTTTTCACATCTCCTTTTCCCTCAGTTCCACCTCAATTAGTGACCCGTCCTCGGGATCAGATTGTGACTCAAGGTCGCACAGTGACATTTCAGTGCGAGACCAAAGGAAACCCACCACCGGCTGTGTTCTGGCAGAAGGAGGGTAGCCAGGTAGGTTCAGCAGGACCCCAGGACTGCATGAGAGTGTGTGTGTGTGTGTGTGTGTGTGTGTGTGCGCGCGCGCAGCTGTGCGCTTGCATGCTTGTACAGACTTGATGAATATTCTCTGCTGGTCAACCTTGGTTTTAAGGGAGAATTCTCATTTTGGTAAAATTAAATACAGATCTGTGATGCCGTGGGTATAATGTTGGACCTGGATAGAGGAATCTCATTGCTTAAGTAGGGTAGCCACTGATGACTTGCCAAAAAAGAACTATCAGGTGTCAGATCCTTTCGCTACTTTTACAGAGATTCTCCCAGAGATCTACCAGCAGATTCAAATCTACAGTCTTCTGTCTGCTTCTTTTCCCAAAGGGTTCAAAGATTTCTTCATTTTGCTTGCCTTCTGAAAGCAGGAAGTAACGGGTCAAAGACACAAACTGTGAAATCCTATGTATGTCTTCTCAGCAATTAGCCCTAATGAATTCAGTGGGACTTGCTACCAGGTAGATACCAGGAAAAGTTTCCTCATTGTCAGAGCAACACAGCAGTGGAACCTGCTGCCTAGGGAGGTCATGGGCTCTCCCACACGAGAGACATGCAAAAAGAAACTGAGTGGGTGGAATAAACTGGTGTCTTGCAACAGCAGGGGGTTGGACTGGATGGCCTTCTTGGCCCCTTCCAACTCGGCTCTTCTATGAGCCTACAATTCTATGAAATGTGAATAGGATTATAGTTTTAAAGCTGTGAGCCACCGCTGAGTTTACCAGACAGAAAAAGAAATGCATTCAAATGTTAACAATGTAGAAGATGCAGCTAAGAAGCCTAAGGGAGCCCCCCAGGTACAGTAATAGCAGTTTTACCTCAGGTCAGGTATAAAAGGCAGTATTAGGCAGATCAGCGTTCTGTTTTCTGTGAGTGGTGGCCACCCTGATTCTAGGTAAAAGGAGACAGATATGAAAAAGTCTTTTTATCATAGGTAAGGTTTTTTTTCTCTTATATCTCAAGCTTCTGAGCAGGAATGGAGATTTTACCCCAACATTTTTTTTCTAGCCTATAAAATCACATTCTGCCAAGTAGATGGATGGGACGCAGGTATGCCTCTAGAGAGGAGAGTCCTGTGGAATGAATAATTGGGGTTTTTAAAGTTGCCTTTAAATAGCATGGAGCTATTAATGTGTCAGTTACTTACATCCTAGGAGGATAGGTGATAGAATGAAAAAAGTGGTGGTGGGGGGGGGGGAGAACAAGGAAAAGCAGATGCATAATGAGCAGTATTGCAGATTGGAATTTCTTGTTTTAGATCATGTCCTACAAGTCCTCCTGTATAACAAGTTCATGGAATAATAGCCATTTTGAGTTAGAGGGAACTTTAGAGGACATCTAATCCACCCTCCACACACACACACACACACACACACACACACACACTCAGTGCAGGAATCTTACATGTACAGCGCCCTGAGAGATGGCAGCTTAGCTTCTGCTTAGAAGCCTTACGAAGTGTTCCTTGTTCAACAAGGCTTGCATGCTCCACTAATGACATGCCTACCATATGCATGTCTAGCCAGTCCATGAACACCCTCACCAATGGGGCTTCACCCACCTCCCGTGGAAGCCCATTCCATACCCTTGGGGTCCTAACTATCAGGAAGTACTTTCTGGCATCCAAAAAGAACCTTGGTTCCCTGAGCTTTGCTCCATTGGAACATGTCCTACCCGCCACTGCAGGGGAAAACAGGTCTCTACCCACCTCCATGTGACAGTCCTTCATGTACCTACATGTCACCAACAGATCCCCTCAGAGTCACCACTTCTCCAGGCTGAAAAGACTCAGTTCCCTCAGTCTCACCAGGTATACCAGGAGAGCTTGCTTTCCCACAGTATAAATGAACCACAGATATTCTTGGACTTGCAAACTCTCCTTCTCTCTCTCTCTTTCTCTTGCACCTGTAAAAAGAGGTCAGAAGAGTTTTTTATTGTTAAACAAACTAAAAGTCCTTGTGACACCCTAAACTAAGAGAACTGTGGTTCTTTAAACTATAGTGAATAACAATAAGTCAGAATTAGACCATGATTTTCATATCCTGGCTTGGAATGAGCCAAGATTAAACCATGATTTTCATATCCTGGTTTATACCGAAACCATAGTTTAAACAATCACAGAATACTAAAACCAAAAGCAGATGTGCTTGATCTCTGGTATGCAAAAACGGAGAGGAAAAGGGGCAAGCATTCAAGCCTGCTGCAGTTGACTTGCATGGTAGCAAAGCATGGCTTCCTGTTTTGTCTGAACTAAGCCTATGGAAGAGGGTAGTTGCCACAGGAATGGACAAGTTTCCCAACCTAGGGAGGCATATCTAGAAATTGGGCTACAAATAGAGTATGAGAATTCCATGGTGGGCTAATGATTTTACTGGTTTGGCCCTGGAACATTTTGTTCTATTTCCCTTTGTAAGATTGAGTTGATCTGTAGTGAGTTGATGTAATAGGCAGGTATTGGATTTTTTTCATAGCAATCCCCATTTGCACAAATGGAGCAGGATCTGGGTCTTAAAGAAGGTATTGTAAGTGTTGTTCAGTTATTTTTGTTGGTAGTCTTGCACAAGGCCACCTATCTGCCGTGTGTGCCAATTGTAAAAATCCTTGTCAGTTTCATCCTCTGCACACTCTGTGTCATTTAGCCTGGCAGACACATACTTGTCAAGGAATTTGTCAATTTCATCCTCCAATTCCTTGCTTCCTAAGAGAAGGCGGTGAGAAGAGCACCAAAGTGGAGGATGAACTTGACAAGTTCCTTGACAAGTATGGAATTAAATTCTACAGGGCTAAATGAAGTTGCGGGAAAACTGAAAAGGATATTTATAAAAGGTATACATATCAGAAAGGCCACACACATACATTGTGTATATGCGTCATCCCCATTTGAGCATGTTTAAAGACCCCCCCCCCCAAAAGACCCATAGTTGCATGCACTTAAGCACCAAAAATAAAAACCCAAACCACAATTCTACTTGTGCAAATCACAGGGCCCCAAACAAGGCATAAATATTTATTTAATGTACACAACCTCCCCCCACACAAATATTTCCAGGATTGGAAAAAATTGTTATACTCCACCACTGGATATCAGAAAGGAAACATTGTGAAATCCCATCTGGCTTAATTTAAAGGAAACAGAATCCCCATCTTTACACATCCCTGGGATGTAAATTCTTTTGTACCCTTTTGAGGTTCATCTCTTCTTAATTTTTGATCCCATAATAGTGTTATATGGACACTAGGGAAACCTGGGAAAGAACTGCTGATGTTGCCTCCCTGAAAATGAGGTGTTGGGGGGAAATGGCTGCTCTGGAACAGAATTAGCTGGGAATTAGCAATAGGAGAACCAAGTCCATGGAGATTCTCTGAATTCCACATGGCTTGCCCAGCTCCCAGTTTCATCTGCATCATATTTTCCCTTCTGCTCATTTGGGAAGATTGTGCATTTTGCAACTGTACACCTCTCTCCATCAAGGAAAGCATGAAAATGTGTGTTTAAAAAGCCTCAGCATTTTAAACCTCACATTTCTCCCAAATGCAGTTTGTTTTTTTTAATGATTGTAGGCTCACAAATGTATACATTTCTTCTTGGGGGGGAAATGTGCTTCCATTCAGATTTGGAGTTTTCAAGAGGGCAACTTCTGATACACTGTAATGAAATTCTTGTACATGCTTAATGGATGACTGACTTGCTCTGGGAGCCATTTTCACTGAGGAACTGCAGAAAAAAAGTATTCAGATAAATAAGTAGTGGAAAGCTGCTTGGCACAGAGGGCTACCTTGGAAATGCAGCGAATATATCTGTAGCCACATGCAGCGTGACATGGCTTCTTGTTTGCATTTTCAATAGATAAGAATCCCAAGAATTCTCTTTTTTCCTGTTTCTGTCCAGATCCTGCTTTTTCCGAGTCAGCCCCCTCAGGCAATGGGCCGCTTTTCTGTATCTCCAAGTGGCGAGATGACCATTGTGGATGTCCAGACCTCAGATTCAGGCTACTACATGTGCCAGGCCATCAGTGTGGCAGGAAGCATCCTTGCCAAAGCCCTCCTGGAGGTGGAAGATGGTAAGTTATCTGTGAGGAACCCCAGCTGAGGTTCCAGGGCTCGGTTTTGCTTGTTTCTTCTCCCACCCCACCAGGAAACCACGAGGATTCTTCTCCTGACACTCGCATAAGTGCTATATGGGGATTTGGCCTTTACAGGAGGTATTGGTTGCTACACATGACAACGTAATACCTTTTATATGCATGAGCAGAGATTGGGAACCTCTATCCACAAAGTGCAGCTGTCTCTTCCATGTACAGGTGAGTTCCATGTACAGACAGAAAATGGAAAGTGAGGCAAAGCTCAACAAAACTAGCAGCTACAAAATTTTTGAAAAACAGCCATTGTTGGCATTGTTGTGTCTTCCAATGTGAATTATTTTCTCCCATGGAATCCTGCATTTTTGTAACCCAAGGAAGCCTGAAATGATGTCCTGCATGTAAAGGATAATTCCAAGTCGGTCCCACTTAAGTACATGCCTCTGCCCTGAAGAAACAGTTTGATTCCTTGCAATGTTATTGAGGACAATGGAGATTTTCTGTGAATCTGAAGAATGGAGCAGCTGTTTCATTGTTTTTTAAGGCTCTCAGACTGTGGTGTTGTCTTTGATGGTAGGATTTGTTAACATTCACCCAAATCCATAGAAGAATCTTCCTTTCTCTCATAGTGCTATACTTTTGTTTCTGGAATCTAAATTCATATTGTGTTAAGTTTCCTCGGCAATATTCAGGTGCCAGAAAATGTGGAAGCTGGGGGGAATTCAGGCTAGTTTGGATTGGAAAGACTTTTACTTTTATTGCCAGAAATAAAACCTCTACTGGAAAGAAAGAAGGGGGAGAGTGAGAATAATTATGCCAGTGGGTTTTTCTGTACCCCAGCACAATTGGATTTGTTCAGAGTTGTTCCCCTAAACCCATCTCTGCCACCCATTCTTCCAAGCAAGCTGTGCTTTGTCAAAACAAACAATTATTTAATTAAATATTGTCAAGTTACAAGAAGGAGGTAGCAGGAAGCATTAGTTCCTTGTCTATACCAGTAAGTAGTTTCTTAGTATCATGTAACTCAAATGGATGCCGTTCCAGGTACATTCTGTGATATCCAGGCAAGTTTCCTGGAGAAGCCAACTTTTGGCAACCAACCCTGCAGAAAAAGGGTCAGAGACAGTCTGAAGCTCATCAGAAGAGGCCTGCTGGATTGATTGGTCTTCCCCAAACTGGTTTCCTTCAGCTTTTGGGGCAATGGCTCCAAGCATCCCTGACTACTGGCCTTACCAGCTGGGTCCTGTGAGAGTTGAAGTCCAAAGTATTTGGAGGAGCCCATGTTAATGAGGACAGATTTAGTTTGTCATTCGTTTTCCTTTACAAGGGCACCTTGAACATAGAGGACTGTTCTCTGAGACCCCTTCCAGGAGAGGAGTGTGCTGTGTAAAGGAGGAGTCATAGCCACTGTAGCTCTTGTGCCAAATAAACCTTGTTGAACCATTGCCTTTCTGAACCAGTGACCTGGAAATGAAAGGTTTAGTTTCCTTGCACCTCGAGCCCCAGAGCCTCCCCCAGGGAACAATCTGCTGCCCTCAGCTGAGGCCTCCCCCTTTTCTCCTTCTTTAATGGTGACACCTGATCCATTGGTGGCAGACAATGGGGACGGATTAATCTGGACAAAGAAGGTTGTAACCCCGAAATCCTTCTCCAGCCATAGCATTGCCAGCTGGGTTTCTACGGCAACCTGAGCAGGCAGACTCCTCCAAAATATGCCGCAGCACAGAGCTGCCCAGGAGGTGGACCTCCCTCTGTGTCACCTGTCGGCACAGGTGAGCAGACCTGTTGGCAGGTTGCCAGCCCAGAGGAGCCCTTGATGTGCAAGGTGGGGACAGCCAGAATGTGTGCCCAGTCTGTGCCCCGCATGCCGTCATATAGGATGGGGAGCAGTTTGTCTGCTGTGTGGGAGATTCGCGAGGTGGGGGGAGGACTTTGCGATGATCCATCTCCCGCACGAGTGACGGGGCCAGGGCCCCCATGCTGAAGGCTTGGCAGGTGCGACAGATGATTCCTGTCCGAATCAGGCTCTTTTGCCTTGATTGATTTTTTCCCCTCCCCTTTCCCTCTTGCTTGCATCCGCTTTCACGGCTGATTGTTACTGGGAAATTCAATTGTGTGTGAACTCTTGAGCGCCCTTTGTCCGTTCACTGCTTCCCAGTCGATAGAGAGTAATTAGGGCCGTAAATAACGGGCAGAGCCTCTGAGCTTGCTGGACTGCTGGGCAGGAGGTGCGACGTGGATGCCTCCTGGGTTTTATTTCAGGGGATTAGGAAGGACATGTCTTTTGGAGAGGCTGCACCATAATCCAGTTCTGATGTGCTTCCCTCTGAGCCCCGGTGCTACGGAGGGCAGGAGTTCAAGTGAGCTACTTAAATATTGGAGCAATGGGCAGGAAGGTGGCAATCCACAGGAAGTGATGTCAGCCTGGGTGGGGCTCCCACTTTAGCAACATTCACTTTTGGCTACTGGTTTGGGGCAGCCAGAGAGGAAAGGCATGCACTTAGACTTCTCTCTGTAGTTCTTTGGGGCACAGCAGAAGCACAGAGGGTGTATGACAACTGCCTCCTCAAAAGACAGGCTTGTTTTGTTCACTTGATGAACTTGCTGGAACAAAGATGGCCCTCGATAAGTACAATTTTATTTGCTCAGTAAATGGCCAGCCAAAATCCAACAGGAAGATAAAATATATTTCAGTTTGTAAACTACCTTGGGCATCCTTTTGGAATAGCTGTGTGTGTTCAGGTACGATAAAGCTGCAACCCTTAACTGAAAGTAAGCCCATTGGAGCAGGTCTGTTTAGGCATGCAGTGCGTGTGTGTGTGTGTAAGAAAGAGGGGGGGGGGTTGCAGGTATCCATGAGCACAAGCTGATTTTCAAACTCCTTTCATCACTTCATTAAGAGGGGTGCAAAATTTGATTGATTGATTGGTTAGATGGATTGACGAATAAGGTGCCCACGGTTATGGGGACCGCAGGCTTTCAGCGGTTTTCTAAATCCTTAGCAGCGTTGCTTTGTTTTGTTTTGTCTTGTCTCATATCATTTCGTTGGGCTTCATGTTGTTTTGTTTGTTTCATTTCGGTTCTGCTCAGTTTGGCTACTTCCATTCCAGCTTTTTACATGTTGTTTTGCTTCATCTTGGCTTATTTCATTTTGCTTGTACTCATGTGCTTTATCTCCTCTTTGAATCTTTCTGCCTGGGCTTTTATTCCAAAATCAAATGCCCGCCTCTCCCCTGTTCACGTGTCCTTTAAAAAAAAAAATGGGGCTCTCCTTAAGAGACAGGGTCCTTTAAGGAACTTCTATAAAATTAACACATGCAAATATGTGCTTTTTGCAAGGGAGTGTGTGTACCTCAAAGAGGAAGGTCACGATCGCTGATGCCAGAGTGCAGAATAATCAACTCAAGTTGTGGCAACCCAGATTCAGGCTGGACATCAGGAGAAGCTTCCTCACTGTCACAGCGATACAACGGTGGAACCAGCTGCCTAGAGAGGTGGTGGGCTCTCCCGCACTGGAGACATTCAAGAAGGAACTGGACAGCCCTCTGAGTGGGAAGTTGTAACCTGGTGTCCTGCACTAGCAGGGGGTTGGACTCGATGGCCTTCATGGCCCCTTCCAACTCTACTATTCTATGATTCTATGAATTCTTCCTGGCTGCTGCCACCCCTTCCCTCCCCAGCCCGCCTCCCATTTCCCTACCTCTGCCTGCCTGACTCTGTTCAATATGGCTGTTATTTAGTGTCATTTCTCACCATGTCAGAGCAAGCTCCCTCCAGTGCATCTGATCAATGGCATTGATCTGCAATAAAACTGGCACGGGCGTCAAGCGCCCGGAGAAGCACTAAGCGCTTTTGGGCTGGCGCTGGCAAGGCTGTGGAGCGCTTAGTTCATTAACACAGCAGCTGGCTTTCCCAGGCAAGCGGATGGCCAGCACACTGATCTCCACTTCTTCTGCTCACAAACATGCATTTAATTATTCTGTGCCGATCCGTACGCCATTAGTGAGGCTGTGATTTGTTATGACCTGTGGTTGAGGGGCAATCTGTTCAGATGAATGATTTGCATTTAGGGAATGTGTGGAGGGGAAGCAGCAGAGCTGTGGCCTCTGGCCTCTTCTCAGCCTCTGGGCCGTCAGCCAAATCCCTGGACAGCCTGTGTGCCGGTAGACCCTCAGTGCAGGGTCTGAGAGAGAGGTGTGCATGTGCACAAGTTCTACTCCTGGTACGGGGTGATGTGGCCCTCTGGGTGATGTTGAACTGCCGCTCCGCACTGGCAACTCTGGCTGGGGCTGGCTGCTGGAAGCCCCTGGAAGCACATGCTCCTGCCTCTGTTTGGCACTCGGGGGCTTTGGCCAGAGCCTGGGCAGGCAACACAGCAGTTGCAGGAAGACCCCATGGGAACACCCCTCTCTGCTGCATTCATTCACCGAACACAGATTATTCACCGGGACAGAGTTAATGAGACCCTTCGTTCATACAACTAAAAGGGTTGTGCTATTTATTTATTATGTTTATATCCTGACTTTTCATGGAACTAAAGCCAGCTTCCATAATCCTCCTCCTCTTCCTCCTCTCCATCGTATCCTCACAGCAATGTGTGTGAGGTAGGTTAGACTGACAGTCAGAGATTGGCCTAAAGTCACCCAGTTTGCTTCATGGCCACATGCAGACTAGTGGCCAGGTCTCCCTGTCCCAGCCCAACTCTAACCTCTACACTGCACAGCCTCTCTCTTTCTTGGCCCGCAAAGGTCATGCATAGCTCACCAGAGCTGACCAGTGGCTCTTTGTATGCCATGGTCAGTCCTATTCTTGTGAAAATTGCCTAGCAAGTAAAGTGCATGGGATATTGTGAGTCTCTTCACGGAATCAAGACAAAGACCCAGAGTCAGACTTGGAATTCAGTGGGGAACTCAGTGCCCCAGATCAAGCTGGATTTTAGTTGGTAGCCCAGTTTCTCAAAAGACGATCCCAAATTGTTGAGTCCATGAACAGGGCATCATTAATAGTTTTGACCCTGCATGAGCCAAAGGACATGAGAGCCCCTATTATTCATCTGAAGGATGGTCTGCGTGATTAAGGAAGAGCAGGGCCACCTCAGCGACCTTCTAAGCATCCCCCTGGCCCTTCTGCTCAGGCCACACCTTGAGTGTGGATGCCTCTGTGTGCAGGTTTCTATGCACTCCGTAATCCAACTTCAAAGAATCGCACATGAAGTGGAGAGCATGATGGAGCAGCAAAGTGTACAGATCGCACATCAAAGCAAAGTGCATTCCCTTTGACAGACAGACACAAGCCTTGCAAATTAGTGGAACCCTCTTTTGTGTTCCTTCTTTAAAAATCTGTGCGAATACCTCCAGTGTAAACAATGCAGCAGGCAAAGTATTTAATAACAGCCAAATTGATTTCTCATTACTAGGTCACTTCTTAATGTTCCGTTATCACGGAACCGATACTCATTTCTCTGATTGCGTTAAATAATAGGCGCATCCATGGGAAATGATTTATATTCTTCTGCAGTGTTAATTCCACATGGGCATCTTGTCCCTGAAAAAGAAATCTTTAGCATGTCACCCCCTCTCATAACAAGCAATTTCTGTGTAAAACGTTGCTTAGTAATGGCTCCACTTTGTTTGCGATGATAGGCAGGGAGGCAAAAGATGAAAAAGGAAGTGAGATTTATACTTTTCAGCATGTTCGCAAAAAATCAGACTGCCCACAGAGCAAAACATTTCTAGCTGTGTGTTGTGTTATCTACATGCACATATAAACAACCTATACACCTATATATACACATTTCTAAATATCCTTGTCTTTAAGGTGTGGCTCACATATGCATGTTTATCACTCAGTGAAAATAGGTTGTGGGAATGAGTCATCGCTGATCTAACACCACAAACAGACCTCAGTGAGGATATAATTGCAATTCTGCAGGTCTAGCATAATTCCTTTTTTTTTCCTTTTTCATGAAAATATGTGCATATTCTCATGCATATTTTCAAAATTTGTACATGCTGCCAAAGACATTTTTTGGCCTGTGAATCACATTGCAAGCTGGGAAATGTACATACTGCAAATACAGATTGCAACCAAGTCTGTGTTTGCGCTGAAACATGCAAACTGATCAAAAATGACAAAAAAAGAAATCAAGTGAATGTGTCATACATCTTGCATGTAGCCATCCTAAGATATAGCCATCAGGACTAGTAGCCATTCAAAACTTTCTCCTCTTTGAACTTCTCTAATCCCCTTGTAAAGTCATCCAAACTGGCTCATTTTGCGGTAGTGAATTCCATCATTTATCTGTGTGCTGTCTGTAGAAGCACTTTTATCTGTCCTGAATCTCCCACCTAAATACCTTTTTCCAATTATAGTGACAATTGATGTATTTCTCCTTGGCTATCAGGCACGTTGGCTAAGCAGAACCTTGGTGGTTAGAATTAGCATCAGTGGCCCTGCAATATTATATTGCAGCATGGAATGCTGCTGTTTTTTGCCTTCCCCAATGGATTGGTTATCTCCCCTACCCCAAAAGGCAGTTAGTATTCATTGGGCTATTTTGAGAGTTTGAGAGCTGAGCTATTTTAACAGTGAAAGAACTGAAGAGTTCCTCTTTCCCACTATCTTTTCTTTTCTGTTCTGTTCTGTTTTTGTACTTCTGCAAACCTTGAAGCTCCTCTTAATCTTCTGACATCCTCCCTGTGCATGGTCAAGTGCCGTGTTTGACTACATCGGCAGTGGCACCCAACCTGAACTTCAGAAAGCAAGAGAATGATACATGGTGCTCAGAACCAGCAATGCCTGCTTTGAAAGAATCCAGCTAGCCAACACTGAAAACAGAATGGCAGATCAGGTGGACCTCTGGCCCAATCCTAGCAGTGCTCTTCGTATGCTGTGTACATCATGTACCCCTACAGTTGTTCTGAACTGCATTTACCAATCAACTAGTCTACCTTTTTTCTTTTTGCAAGAAGCTTTTATGGGTTCCCCAAGTTAGCAGCAAGAAGAAAGTACCCACCTATGATTTAGTATGTCAACAAAATATTTCGATCCTTTCAGATTGAGCAGGTGATAGCTCAGATTAAAGGTGTGCATTGACGGATTTACTGCTGCCTGTAGTTCCCTAGCAGTACATCTCCAGGTAATCAATTAATGCTTGCCTTTAATTGAGTCTCTAATTACACATTACTAAACAAGCTGATGGATATGAGTTCTATCACCCGTGGCTGAGATGACGGCAAAGGGGGCATTGTGATCCATCACGGAAAAGGTGTTTAAGATGTTGCAAAGAGTAAACCCCATTCTGAGGGACCATATGACACATGGGGTGGGGAGCAGAGGAGGAGGGAAACATTGCAGGCTGTGAAAATAAGGGAAACGTGTCATATTAAGCCAGAGTTTCAGAGCTAGGACAAGCGTTCTTTCTCTTGAATCTCTTTAGGGAATAACATGAGGGGGTGCCATGAAAGAATGCCATTGTCAGTAGGGACAGCCAAGAGGAAAGCCAACCCTGGAAAGATGCTTAGTGATTGGATGAGGGGTTCCAGTTAAAGCAGTCTGAGCAGGAGTATTTCTTGGCCTTTCTGTCATGTCTGTTTGTTCGCAACTCTGCTTTAACATGTCAGAGAAAGCCTGGAAATGCAGCAGTCACGCTTATGGTGCAAACAGACTCCCAAGGGCCTTTGTGTATTAGCTTTATCCAAACTGGAGCCCTTGGAGGAGATCCTTTTTAAAGCATTCCCCAACCTGGTGCCCCCCCTCCCAGATTGGGGGGCAACAACTCCCATGGGCAATAACTCCCATGCTGACTGGGAATTACAAGAGTTGCAGTCCAACATATCAGTGTGGCACCAGGACAAGGAACGCTTAACAATGGGATCTCTGCTGAACTTGTTGCTCCTTTCGTCTGCTTCGCTCACATGAGACTCCTCTGCTGTGGTTTTGCTAAAGCCCAATTCCAGCAGGACAGACTTACTGTTTCTGTTGACAATGGCAGCAGATGAGCAGCATCCATTGTGGAATTTCAGGTGGGTGTCTGCTTGGCGGGTTGGATGCAAATCTCGCACATTCTTCTGAAGAAAGCTGGAGGCGGCTCACTTGGTAAAGGAAGCTCATATAGGAAATACACAGTGATCCATTGTGTTTGAGCCATGTGGCGGAAAGGTAGACATATGGTGGTGAAGCACAAATATGGTGGTGAAGCACAAAACCCTTTCACACGTGGTTTGAATGCACGGCACAAAGAAGCAAATAATTTTAGACTTGGGAAGGGACCTCCATCTCCATGTCTTAGCTGTCCACCTAGCTTCATCTTACATACCTCCAATGAAGGAGGGCTCACTGTCTTCCACTCTTAAATAACTTGTGCTGTTGAGAAGTCTTTTCCCATCTTAGCCATTTTCACCCCTGGCTCAAGTCCTGTCCCCTGGAGCAGAGAACTGGCTTGCTTCCCCTTATGTATAGCAGTCCTGTCGGTATTTGGAAGCAGCTATTTTATCTCCTCTTAACTTTCACATCTCCAGGCTAAATGTACCGAGCTCTGCCTATTGTTCCTCAGAAGACTTGATTTCCAAACCTGCTGGCGGTTTATATCACCCACCTCTGGGCACACTCCAGGTGTTGACATCCTTCCTAGAATGTGGAGTGAAATGACCCCACACTGCCATGCACTCCCAGACATCATGTTTCTGTGTAGGACCTGTGCCTCGCCCAGAGGTTTGGCTTCTTTGTTGGTGGGTCTCAGTTTGTTGTTTTTCAGTGCTGCCAGTCTCACAGAGAGATCACTTCCTGCATACAGATGATCAAAGAAATCCTGCTTGGTTATTCGAATGAGCTTTCATGGATGAATTGATTCATTAGTTACATCTGCACACCTGTGTATAGGACCAAAACAATAGTCTGAGGAAAGGGGGAAAACACAATACAGAAATTTTGTATATTTCTTTCTTGTTTTCAATTACAACACCCACTGATTGAGGAGAGGCATTCGCTTTTCTGTGAAACGGAACTGGGGGAGACCACTTCTAAAAGAGTTGCAGTCATCTTTGGATTTTTATAGTATCCATAGTAGTAGTAATAATGTAATAATAAGCCTTTGACCTTGGAGCCAAACAGTGGAAAACCATGCTCCAATACTAATCCTGAGATATCTTCCATTTTTAGTTACTCCCTGCTAACTTGCTTTGAACTGCAGTGGAGAGAAATGCATTTCATTGTGTCAGCCACTGTAAATGTGCTATGCTATGCTGTATTGTTTTTATTTTGCATAAAGTGACATCAGATCGTATCCCGCCAATTATTCGCCGAGGGCCAACTAATCAGACGCTTGCAATAGACTCTACAGCGCAGCTGCAGTGCCATGTGACTGGCAACCCCCTACCCAGCATCCAGTGGCTAAAAGATGGACAACGGATTGTGGGCAGTGACCCAAGGGTCAGTCTGTTAGACAGTGGAGCCCTGCAGATTATGAACCTACAGGTATGATGTTTCTCCTTCCCATCTCTGCCAGAAGATATATGGATTTGCATCTTGCAGCAATGAACCCCTAACCGTTACTGTAACCTCTGTCCCATTGGTATTTTACTGTTGATTGTTTTTAACTTATTTTAAACTGTGTTACACATTCAAATGTTAAAGGCATTTATTAATTTAATCATGCTGTGAACTACCCAGAAAGCCTCAGCTATCAGGCAGTGTAGAAATGAAATGAATGAATGCATTGATGTGCATCCTTTTATTATTATTTATTTGTTGTATTTATATCCAGCCTTCTTCCTGGGAGAAACCCAAGACAGCTTACAGAATTCTTTTCCCCCAATCCATTTGATGCTCACAACAACCCTGTGAGTAGATTGGGCATAGAGTCAGGGACTGGCCCAAGGTCATCCAGTGAGCTTCATGGCCGAGTGGGAGCGAGAGCCCAGATCTTACGAGTCCCAGTTTAGCACTCTGAATCATTGTGCCACACTCTTCCATATAGGTGGAGGAATGAAGATGTTCCTTGCATCTGTGCCTTTCACACACACATATATGTCTGTTTTCTCAGCTGGTGGTAGGGAGAAATTGATAATTAATGGGATCTAAGCAGACACAGAGGACAAATCCAACATTTTCCTCTTCCTGTTTCCCTAGGACCTCAGCCAGACTCTGATAATTTTTTCATTTTTTTAATAACTACACATGAAATGCATCATCACACATAGTTTCACCACGGGCAATGTTAAATGCATTATTAAGTGTGGTTTGATTGCTGGCACAATGCAGTGCAGATGCTTTGTGGACTGGTCTGCCTAATTTCTCATGGCTTTACACAACACCACATCCTCCAACACCTTCACAGAAGACCAATTCACCAAACCGGTTCTCAATTAAAGGTACAGGCCAGTGGGGATGCCTGAAAATCTCTGAACTTGGAGGACTGCAGGCACCCCATGCAAGACAGCTGGAATGTGGAGATCTTTGCCTCTGCCTTTCTTTTGCCTGGCAAATCAACTGGACAGCAGATTTCAGCCACTCCGCCGAGGCACTATGGACAGGAAGGGAAGGTGCCTGGAGTGCCCCCAAGACACATGCGAGGCCATCACCAGCAAGGCCCTGTTCACCCCTTTGGCAAGGTCACGCTTGTGACCTTGGAAATGCACTGTCAGAGAGTGATGGGATCAAAGTATTATGAAAATAACCATTTTAAAGTGATGCTGCAGTTGCTATGACAAGTATGCTGCTTGTAACTTGTGACATCTGGGCAAATCCAATCTCTCTACCGAACAAGCATTCTGCAAACACATACATTCCGCAGTGTAGTTAGGAATGGAATTACTTGCTTTCATAATTGCAGGAAAATTACTAAGTAATGAAATTACTCGAGAAAAAGAGGCTCTGTAATTGCCTGGTTCAAAACTTGAATAGGAATTGTTAAACACTCCTGAAAGCCAGCTCAGAGAATGGACCCATAAGCTACTGTGTGCTTATTAAGAAATTAATGCTGTTAACAGGCAGTAAGCAATTTCTTTGTTTTACTGGCTAAAAACAGCTGAATGCAATTTCCTTGCTCTTAACAAAGTGAATATCAATAAACAAAGAGCCAAGCCAGCCAAATCAGTCCCTCTGCAGCAGAGCCGCCTCTGAAAACCTACTTTGCTGTACATTCCATTATGGGCAAAGTTAGACATAACTTGCTGCCAAGAGCTTGATTATATTTAACCCTCCTTAACTGAGGCTCTCACAGCCACAGTTCTCTTTAATTTCCATTTCCTCTCCTGAAGATCCTTTCCATCTTCTTTCAAAGAATGAGAGCTAAACTACACATTATGCTAAGCATGTTGGATGCAGCTGATCTGCACTCTTTGATTTCCTTTCACGTAAGCACGCGAGCCCCCAGCTGGGATCAGGACAACCACACAGAGGCAAGGGAATTTGTTAAATTTGTTACCCAGCTGCTCCTCCCCTCACACACGCACACTTTCGCACATACATGTTGAGGAGGTATTACATGGAGGTATTAACATTTGTCTTTCCACTCAGTGGTGCAATTAGGTAGTTTTAGAGTCTGGACTTAATGGTCTTTTGGGCAAGGGAGAGTAAGGGAGCAGGTGTTAAATGATCACATGTTCGCTCCAGGAACTTAGGGTCTTTTGAATATAGCAAGGGTGCTGGAGCTGTTTCAACTCACACACTGACTTCAATTTCAGAGAAGTTCTGGGGCTGGATTCCAAAGGTAGGTAGGGCCAAAGGCAAAAGGTGGCAAGCCCAGAGGCAAGCAGCTAGGGCAAAAATTGCAAAAATGCTGGTATATTTTTTGCTTAAAGCTCTTACCACCAGTAACTAATCCTTAAAAGAGACATCTCACCCTTTTAACATTAAGTGCTAGAGAAGAAGCCAAGTGTCCAAATGCTCAGAAGGAGAAAGGAAAAACTCCTATAACTCCAACATGTACCTCTATGCACAGACTGACGTCTCAGTGATGGAACATTGTATATAATCTAATGTATTATAATGGCATGTGGTTTACAGCTCCATTTTCCCACTAACTCAATGCACACCACCTTCACCTAAGCTACCCTGCTCTCCATTTATTTATGTATATTTACAATGTAGCACAAAAGGGTCTTTTGTTTTCTTGCTTGTTTGTGTGGTATGCCTTGTTCCAGTGGGAAATTGGAGCTGTAAACCATGCCGTCACTATAAATGCCTGGCAATGGAGATGATGCATCACCTCGTAACGGTTTGATAACTGGAGGTGGCGGGGTGACTGTGTGCATTGAGGCAATCCTGGGGGCCACAAAACATTTGCCTTAAGTCGCTCCTTCAGAGCATGATGCAAAGTTGGCATATATACAGGCAGGGCGTGAGCTCTTGGGAATCTGCTAGCAAAACAGCAACAAAGAATCTTGCAGCACCTCAAAGGCAAGCAAATTAATTACGGCATAAGCCTACGTGCTCTACGATCCATTGATGACAGGGCGCTAATCCACAGATGCTAGTGTTTAGGGCACCACAGAACTCTTGCTTTTGCTGCAACAGATCAGCATGGCTATACCTCTGGAAAAGGGTATTTTAGGGTATGGGGGAGGGGGGACCTGGCATGGATTTCCCTAGGAAATGACATTGAGAAATAAGTGAGGTTTGATGGGGTCAGGTCATCATGCCTACCCTCTACAACCAAACCAAACCAAACCAAACCAAACCTCCTCAAGCACACTGCCCATCAATTCTGATGGAGAAAGCATGATAGCCTCATTTAAACCTCCACAGTTAGCAGTACCCTTATAAGGACCACCCAAAGTCCTTCAGAAATGTGCAAGCTGTCAAAAGCTGCACAGTTCAACAGCTCATACATTTTTGTGGAATCTGGGTTGGTCTTATAACGGCATCACCAAATGTTAATTCTGGATGTCCCCCGCACCCCATGAACCAGCATAGCTCTCTTGGTTCATGATTTGTAAAATCTATTTGAACAAGGCATCTTAATTTGATGTGCATCATCCCTCCAGATCTTTAGGCATAGACAGTGGTGATGTACCATGGTACCTGTATGCCAAAAACACCTGGAGGTCACAGATTGCCCACTCTGGGAAATGTATGTCTTCCAGTTTCACATGAAAAACCAGGCAATGCACTGAATCTGCGTAAATTGTGTAAATATACAAAGCTATTTTAAACCAAATCAACCTTTTGATCCATCTAGTCTAGTATCGGCTAGACTTCCCCATCCTGATGCACTCCAGACATCTGGGACAACAACTTCCAGTATTCCTAATCATTCCTGATGGCTAAATTGTCTAGGATTGATAAGTCCAAAACATCTGATAGGCACTCAGTTTGGAAAGTCTGGATTGCTCCAGCTGGTAGTATCTCAAGAGGGCTTTCTTCATCCTCTACTAACTGCCCCGAACTGGAAGTGCTTAGGACTGAACTGGGAATTTTTGCATCTATTACTAGATAGAACCCTTGTCTAGCTCTCAGAATGTGGGTTTTCTTGGGTGGGATTCGGTTGGAATCTAGGTATGGGTTATCCAGTCTGCAAAGACCTGAGGATATAGCTAGAGTCCAACATGAGGCAGAAGATCTAAGGTGGAACTTTTGGGGGCTCAGTTTGTTTCTCTCTTTCAAAACAATCCTGAGAGCTGGGCATAACCCATCTGGCCTTTTGCTGCACTGGAGTCAGATCCGGCAATGGGGTAATGTGGAGGTTATTCATGAATTACTTATCAAAACACAGAGCTCACGCTAAACATTTGTTTAAAAATTGATGCCGGCAGTCAGCAGGGAGTGAAATATTTCACGTTAGTTTTGTGCCTGCCTTGTGTCAGAGTCAGGAGGTTAATGCATCTGCCGGGTCCCAGTGCGCCTAATAGCATCATTTTATGGTGGCTGTGGCTCTTTGCCCAGGAAAAAATTAGAGCTGTCAGGTGGATTGGAGGACTAGTATGAGTTAATGGTCCCCCAGGACGGACTGCCTCGTCAGGCCACTCTGAATCATGGGGAAAAGTGGGGCAGCATTCCATGAGTTGCAACTACAGAGCCCACCTGGTGGGGACAGCAGAACTATCACTGCCCCATCAGCAGGACAAGCAATGGGCTGCTTGCAACCTCCAGTTGTGCTGCCTGTGGAGATGGGCCATAACTCAGTGGGTAGAGCTGGATGAGCGAATCAGCAAAACCTGAGCTTGCTGAATTTCTCCAAATTCCACCTTGAAGATCACTCTGATCTGAGGTCATTACTAATGGCAAGCTCTCCTCTCCTCTCCTCTCCTCCTTTTGCATGAAAATCAGTGTGTACATTCATGAATATTTTCCAAACGTATACATCAGTTCTGTGCATCTTTGGAATGTCCTTGTTCTTCTCCCATTGATTAAAGCATGTTTGTACACATGTTTCAAAAGTACATTTTTTCATGCTCATTTTTCAAATGAACTCATGCTGTTGAGTGTAATATTTGGTGCAGGGCAAGCTGTGAATCACATTGCAAGCTTGTACAGACTCTGATACTGATTATTTATTTATTTATTTATTTATTTAAGACTTTTATAGACCATCCCATTACCAAAGTCTCAGGAAAGTTTAACAATACAAAATGTAAAAAAAAAAAAAAATTAAAATAAATAAATTAAAAAAAAACACAGCATCCTAACATTAAACCCCAATTAAAACAGGCCTTAAAACACTGGGAAAATGAAAAGGGTTTGGCCTGGCACCGAAAAGAATAAAGTGACCATAAAGACCATAAAGGCACAATCTGGGTAAATCCCAGTGAAAAATAATCAGAAATTAACTTCACATAAAATTCTAGTAGAGCACACATTTTGCATGCAAATGGTTCCAGTTTCCATGTCTGATGCCTCTACTGCAAGCTCAGGAGTTGGACTGGGAAAAGCCGATGGAGTAGAGGAGGGTGAGAAATGCATTATATTCTATTTTTATGTGAGTTCATCCAAGTTGAATCTCATGGAACCAAATGCAGAGTCAAAAGCAACTTGTGGTAAAAAAATCCCAGTCTGCTATGTGGACACTTCTAAAATCTACACAGATACATATCTGGTAGCTAAAGGCAATGGGTGCTTGCAAAAATGTGTCCATTTCCAAATATATACATACATTTTTAATCTGTGCACACATTTCTGCACCAAGGTGGAGAAACTCACATGGAACTAGGGCAAAATAAGCTTGGAGGCATTGAAAAACAAGCTATGGGATCACATGCAGCAGATTTGCCCATTGGTACCCTCATAAGCAGCTTTAGGTCAGAGGTAGTGATATTGGGGAACTTGGAGAAGTGTAAGGCGGATTCCTGTGCTGTGCTTGAATTCTTCAATAATCATATATAGCAACTTCTGCTGAAGAGAATCTTTTGGTTTTGTAAAGTCTTAGCTGTTCAGAATAAGGGAACGGAGAACTACAGCCAACTGGCAAGTAAAGAGCATGTTCTCTGCCTGGGAGTCTGGGCAGTTCCGGCCAGAGAGAAGACAATCCCAAGCACGATGGATGGATAGTCTGGCCTGCCATGGCACAGCTTCCTATGCTGGGGGTGCAGAACCGCAGACTCACAGGGGGGCAGATCTGGTCATCCTGGCAACCAGCTGTGGCTAGCTAAAGACAGGCATAGCCCTCCAGGGGCCTTGCCCCAGCCCCAGCCCTTTCCTCAGCCACTCAGCATGCCGTGGTCTCCCGCCCTTTATGCAGGTTTTTCCCCACTCCTAAGGCTTGCATAAAGGCAGGAAAGGTTCAGTAAAAAGACGTGTGTATCTAGGACCCCGATCCTTTTGCCTTTTTTCCATCCCCCACTGTTGGGAAGAGCTTCTCCACCCCATCCTGTGTTTCCTATACTATCAGGACCACGTCCCTACCAAGATCTCTGCCACCTCTTTTTGCTAGAAGTCCACCGGGGGGTAAAGGTCCTCTTCAGAGGCTTTCTGATTTCCGCAAATGACTTTGCCTGAAGGAGATTCATGGTGCCCATGTGGAGCTTTTGGCCTCACCCTCACAAATGACAGTCAAACTGGTCAACCTCCCCTGTGCGTGACGGGAGTTTTAGCCCAGCAATTGCGGGGGGGGGGGGGGGCACCAGGTTGAGGGAGGAGGCTGCACTAAGCATAGGTCTTCCTATTTTCCTTGGCCTTTTTAAATGTCAGGCTTTTCCCCCACCAACCCATCTCTTAAATCTGCTGTAGAGGTTTTTAATCTGCTGTGTTTTATTAACTGTGCTGTTTTCATTTAATTCTGATTCTTTTATTGTTTGATTTGTGGTGGTGGGCCTTTAATGTTCATAGTCCTGGAAGTATTCCTATGCAGAGGGACAGAATTTTCTCATAATGTCACCATATTGTGTGTGCAAGGGATAGGCAAGCAGGATTCTAAAAGCAGACTCCAAGCTCCATTGTTATTTTTATCCCCATATTGCTGACAGGAGGGGTGAGGCTGAGACGACAATGGATTGCCCAAGGCTTCCAGTTTATTTACTTATTATATTTCTTGCCCATCATTGTCCTGCAAAAAAAGCAGGACAACTTGCACCTTCCTCCACTCCATTTTATTCTCACAATATCCCAGTTGGGTATGTTAAGCTGAGAACCAGTGACTGGCCCAAAGTCACCCAGTGAGGCTTGTGGCCAAGGGAGGACTAGACCCCAGACCTCCTCAGCCACTTTGCCATTGGCTTCCTCCTGCTGAGTTTGCAGTTCAGCAACAGAAGGGCACTTCCCAGCTCATGAACCTGCGCAGGTTGGATTTCATGCACACATTTGATCCAGGGGTGAATAAGTGTGTTGGGCGAGCAGAAAAGACACACCCGTATGTCTTCCTACATGCAGAATATCCATGCATGTATATATCATCAAGCCCAGCTCACCCTTAAGCTAGCAGTTAACCTAGCTGCCTGCTGCAGTTCTAAACATGCCACGTGCTAACATTTGGCCAACTCAGCACCATGGTGTTAGAAACAGACGAGATGCACATGGGCGTCAGGACTGAGCCCACACGCCTGCTTTTCCCGGTGCCCTGGGGACAAGTGTAGGGCTTCTTCCATGGATCCTCTGTGGGTCCTTTCCCTGTCACACATCGCAAGAATATACACACAACGGAAATCCTGAACCTTTCCTTGATTTAGTTACAGTCACAAAACCAGCAAGATAAAACAGCACTGTGAGTAGCAATACAAAAGTGTTCGCATGGCCAGTAGATAAACTCTACAAATACAATACTTAAAGGTCAAAATATTTAATTATAAGTAGCGCTACTTAAACAGATTTTTGCAATGTACTTATCACAGCCATAGTAGTATATACTACTGAACAATTTAAAACATGCTATTTTGGGATGCATTAATAGAAATATTACTTCCAAATCACGAGTAGCAGTAATTCTACACTAGTCAGACCTCATCTGGAATACAGTTCTGGGCACCAGGATTTAAGAAAAATGCAGAAAAATTAGAAAGGATCTAGAGGAGGGCAACAAAGATGATCCAGGGTTTGGAATCACTACCGTATGAGGAGAAACTGAGAGAACTGGGAAGGTTCAGCCTTGAGAAGAGAAGAGAAAAGAAGAAAAGATTCAGGGGTACATGATATCACTCTTTAAGTACCTCAAAGACTGTCACAAAGAGGAAGATCAAGAGCTCTTCTTGCTGATACCAGAGCATAGGACATGGAATAATAAATTCAAGTTGCAACAACCCAGATTTGGGCTAGATATAGGGAAAAGTTTTTTCACTGTCAGAGCAATACAACAGTGGAACCAGTTGCCTAGAGAGATGGTGGGCTCTCTCACACTAGAGACATTCAAGATGCAACTGGACAGCCATCTGAGTGGGATGGTGCCACTTGGTGTCCTGCACCAGAAGGGAGTTGAACCCGATGGCCTTCTTGGCCCCTTCCAACTCTACTTTTCTATGATTCTATGATCCAGCAGAGTCCTATTCTGACAATTGCACAAAATCTAGCCACTTTAGAAGTAACCTGGCGGTTCTGATTGCCCCAAAGTTAGTTCATATAAGAACCATGTAGACCAATTGACCAGACACATCCCAGCACATGGAGGTGCATGATGTTAAACAAGGCTGTTGTCTGGCTCCTGCTTTCTTTAACAGGTGTATCAGTTCCTGGTCAAAATACTTGTGAGATCAATTCCCATCCTTCCAAGCTTGCACATAGCCATTTGCCTATTGTATTATAAGCAGATGATGCAGTACTTCTCTCTCTTGGCCTAACTTCCCTATTAAAAGCTTTGGATGATTAGCAATATCAAATCTAAAGTCTGAGTTTGTACTCGAAAGTGGACCAGACATTGTTGTCAGATAAGCAGCCCCTTAAATTGAGCAGCTTAAACATTGCAAATACTTGGAAGTAATTTTCCAGTCATCAGGCTCTTGGAGAGCCCAACACACTAACCACTGCAAATGCACAGAGGAGTGTTAAAGCACTTATCTCTTTTTCTAATGCTAAAGGAAGCCAACACATACCATTGGTCCTACACGGTTTTTCTGCTAAGGCACTCTCACAACTGCTATACGGTATCTGATAGTGTGCAATACTGTGTTTACAGCAAGTTTGTTTGGAATCTGCAAACAAAATTTCTGAGAAACAGTCCTGGTCTTGTGTGCTTAATGCATTCTTTCATTTAGAGACAAGCCAAATTTTGCAGCAATTCTGGACATGGATGTATTCATTACATTTTTGGTTTAAAATGATTTTCACCTTCCATAGTTGGCCCCTTTGACCTTGATGGATGCTTTCCTGTCAAAATAGAAAAGAGTTATGTGGCGGAGGGGGTGCAGCTTGGGTTTCTCTCCCAAAAGGCTATCCTGGCCCTGGGCCATACAGAAGCTAAAGAAAGCATATGTTATTACATTAGGGATATCAAGCTGCCAGACCAGATAAGAGCAGCTTCTCTATATCCTGAATTAGAGATTGGTGGTGGGAGGGGATTGCCATCAATTTATCCAACTACTGTAATTTTTGCAAAATACAGGAATATGAGCAGTCATACGGGCAATGTTTAACATGTTACCTTCTGTACTCTTGGGGGCGGGGGACAGCACTTCCTGCTCTGAGCACCTACATCCTTGGCATGGTGGGGACCCTGGGCTGCTCTTTCTTCTTCAACTTGGCGTTCTCCAGATACGTTGGACTGCAGCTCCCAGCATTCCCAGCTGCCATCCAGTGGTCATGACATGATGGCAGTTTCAGGACAGTGCATCTCGAGAACACCCTGTTGAAAAAGGCAAGTGTAGGCTTTCTGCAGACGCCCAAAGCTCCTTCTGTTGTTGTGATGAGTCATCACAGGAGGTGAATAAGATCCCCACTTCCTGCATCTTTCAGATTTCAGACTCCGGGTTGTATGTTTGCATTGCTACAAGCTCAACTGGGGAGACAAGGTGGAGCGGATTTCTGGCAGTTGAAGGTTAGTAACATTAAAGGAAGTATGTGACCTGAACTCTCAAGTACTGACTCCAGGACAAGTCCTTTGCTTGTTGTCTTGTCAAAATCATGTTTAACATTTTACTGAGAATGGGTGAATTTTGACTGTTTTTCATTTTCCTTTCATTTTCCTTTCAACCATTTTTATCTGTGCCAAAATGAATACATTGGGGGACAATCATACAGACTAACATTTGTGCAAAAGGACCCTGTACCAATGGGAAATTTGTGGTCCCTGTGCTCCACCCTGAAACATTAGAATGTGAGAAGAGCTATGCTGAATCCAATCAAAGCTCCATCTTGTCCAGCGCTCTGTCCATGCACTAGCTAACCAGCTGCCTGTGGGAAACCTCAAAGTAAGACACAAGTGCAAAAGCACCTTCTGTCCATGTTCCCCAGCAGCTGGCCCAGACAGACTGCCTCCGGTAATGGAGATAGCATGTATCCACTACAACCAGTAACCATTAGCAGCCTCATCCTCCATGAATTAACTTCCAGCTCAATCAATAAAGATACCTCTTCAGTTTAGAAATGCCTGTCCTGAGAGAGCTTTGTATTAAACAAGTAGCAGTTCAATAAATAGCATTTTCACATAGTTGCAATGGAACCATTTCCCCATATTTTCTTCAAGTTCCCAGCATGGGATCAAACACCTCTTCCAATCCTGATAATGATCGGTGTCTTCCACCCAGCTCCAACAAAGCTGATGCTATTTGCATTTTTTTTAAATCTGCATGTTAGAAACCAAAATGTATTTTAAGCATCACAACTCATTTGTCCTCTAGAGGTGTGGAGCATAGAGCCAGGACCTGAGAGTAGTAACCAAAGGTCCAGTCTGTTCTTTAGATTTCCCCTAGCCACACCTGAGCAAACCAAAACATGCTTATTTTTCCATGCAAAATCTCTAAAACTGCTCACTAGTTAATCTTCTAGTCAGTGGACTCTCGTAAAGGAATGGAAATATCAGGCCTATCAGCTGTTGAGGGATTTAAGACCAAAGCAGGATTTCCTTTATAAGTGTGTCTGGTGGGTACATCTTAAACCCTCCACATATTTTTTCTTTTTTAATGCTGGCACAGGCACAGGGCTCCTAATTCAACCTGACATCCTTAGCATGGGGAGCAGGGGGATTTTGAGATCCAAACTGGGATCCCTGTGCCTACACTAGAGTAAAATGAAAAGACAATTAGCATGCCAAATGCACATTTCAGGGACTGCCTGGACTGATGCACCTCCCAGCTGTCTCTCCTGGCCTTGAACCCAAGCCTCACGCATGCCAATGGAGCACTGGACTTTTTGCCTTCCAGAGCAAGAAGCCTGTCTGTATCTGCATATCAGAAAGCCTTATTTCAGAAGCAATAAACTGATTTCTAGCCCAGCCAGCACATTCCAGCCTGTGAGAGCCAGGCCAGGCAGTTAAATGCAAAACTAACCTCAAGGAATAAATGTTCTTGATGTGGAGGAGAAATGACGGTGAGCCAGGTTTCCTGGGCCCCACGCTGGCTTTCAGGAGCACTGGCACTCGCTTTTAATCCAAGATTGTTCTTGGAAAGCAAAACAGCACTGTGTAAAAGAAAATCAGCAGTCTTATTCTCCCCAGACTTGAGAGCTTTGGCATTGGTAGATCAGTCCGTTGTAAAACCAGACCGACCTTAGCAAATGGGGCCAACTCTGCTTGCCTCATTAAGAGCAGGAGAGTCTCCCATGAAAGATTGGGGTAGCCTTTATAACCCAGTCCCCCGCCTCCAAAATGTTTTGCGCTACAACTCCCATCAGTCCCAGCCAGCCTGAACAGTGGCTTGTAGCCCAGAATTTCCGGAGGGTGCCAGATTAAGGAAAGCAGGGTTAGAGTCATGTACTTCCCTTAACCTTGTCCCACAGCAACTGGTCAATGTGGCTTAACAGAAGCTTACTGGGAATGAAGCATTTCCTGAAGAGCTAAGCCTTCTCTTACCAATGAGAAGACAAGCAGGGATTTAAAGGAAAAAGCCCTGGTGGTAGTGGTGCTTGTAAAAATCAAACCACCCTTCTTCCCTTTCCTTCCTCCAAGGGCCTCTTATCCTTCTCTCCATTCTTCCTTCCATACATCCTTCCTTTCATCTTTAATTACACCCCTGTGGGGTAGGTTATGGTGAGAGATGGCAGTCAATGGACCAATGAACCTGTGTGGCTGAACCCAGACACGCAGGTTCTATCTTCCTCAACGTGGTGCCCTCCAGGTCAGCTCATCGTTTTGGCCAGCACTGGCAGCAGCCATGTTGTCTGAGGATGATGGAAATTGTAGTCTGACTCATCCCAAAGGTGCCAGGTTGAGGAAGGCTATTTCCATGTTGGAATACAAAAGTGCGGGTGGGTGTGTTGGAGAAGGAATTAGGGCTAGATGTGAATTTTCTGAAAACTAATAACCAAATTTTCTGGAGGTCAGCCTATCCAGCTCTGTTTACATTGCCATGGATGTAGAGCAGAAGTAGGCAGAATGTCAACTGGAGTCTACTTGATGCCAATTTCTGATGGCACACCTAGGAGATCGCAAGGTTTGCAGCTGACAACACCTTGTTCGTTGATGTTGCATGCCATCAAGTCATCCCCAGCATATGTTGACACTGTGAATGGGGACTCTGCAAAATGCCATATCCTGGACAGCCCTGCTGAGCTCTGGTAAATGCAAAGCTGCAGCTTCCCTAAGGGCTCGCTCCATCTCATAGTTGGCCTTCAAATCAAAAGTGTTTGTGCGGAGTGTCAAAAAGAGCTCCTGAAATGTGGTTCACTGTAAGTGTAGAATGAACCACTCTGATATTAACATTTTCAGGAAGGATGCATACTCAGGGCCACTAATAACAATGATAGGTTATAACTAATTTTCCTGAGAATGCATCCTCATTTTCTCAGTGGAAAACATATTGGTGGACCACAGAGAGGTTGGTCAAAGAATAAAAGCTATGCCATTGGCCTTCTTCTGAGTTAAAGGTCTTCAGTAGTAGATTTGACCATCCGTCCCTCAAGGCTTACAGTCCTTCTCATGTTCTTGTCCCACATTTTTTTCCAGAGAATGGGGCTGATCTCCAGACGCAGCCTCCTGAGCCAAGCCTTCTCCCAGGATCACCTTCTGCACCTCTGGTCACGGATGTCACCAAGAACAGTGTGGCTTTGATCTGGAAGCCAAATCCCATGAGTGGGGGTGCTCCTGTCAGTTCGTACATCATTGAAGCATTCAGGTACTTCTTAGGTTACTGGGAAATGCTTGTGTACAAAACTTAAAGGGAGTCTGAGTGAACAGCATAGTTCAGGGGTGGACAAGCTGGAGCTCTTGGGCTCCTTGACTCCTTCAGCCTAGTTTAAAATGCCCCCTGTAAGCAATCAATTCAGACCACTGCTGAGCAAGATCTGCCTATCTCTCAGTAGCCACTAGAAGAGAAAAGAAAGTGAGGAGTGCCAGAAAGAAGGGAAGAGAATGTGATATTGCAAGGCAGATTCAGAAAGAGAGAGAAGCAATGTCAAAAGCATTGACTTCAAGGGTACTTGTGCATCTTTGGGCTGTAGCATCAGAAGAATAGGCCATGGTTACCATTGGAGGGAATCTCTTGCCTGGAGTGACAGGCCGCAACAGTCCTTATAGCAGGGATGGGGAACTGTCATGGTCCCAACGGTTGGGTTGGCTCTCAAGACACCCCTGGAAGAGTAGAAGATGCCAGGCAGTAGATCCCTGTCCCGCTTCCTGATGCCCTGCCCCATGGCACTGTTGGAGTCCCTTTCTCCAGTGGGAAACTGGAAAAGCACAGAGAAAGGGGGATTGCTCTTCTCTCTGATCACCAACTGAAGATAGGAATGGGACTTCCCTTGCTGGTGCTGGGCACCTGGAGAGAAAAGCTGCTGACCAGAGATTGTCCGTGGGCTGGAGCGCTGCATTCCCACCTTATATGGTACCAGCATCTTTTCTAAAGAAGTAACAATTTGCTTTACTGGAATTGTTCAGTTCTGGGCTCCACATTACAGGAAGGATATAACCAGGTTAGAGTCAGTGCAGTGCAGGACCTCTTTTCAGCCTGGAGAAGAGGAGAATCCGAGGGGATCTGTTGGCAACATATAGCAAAGTGAAAGGGTGTCACACGAAGGTGGGTAGAGACCTGTTCTCCCCTCCAACAAAGCCAAGCTCAAGGCCAACAGAATTTGGATATCAGGAAGTTCTTCCTGTCAGTTAGGACCCCAAGGGTATGGAATGGGCTTCCATGGGAGATGGTTGAAGCCCCAGTGGTGAGGGTGTTCAAGGATAGGCTGGACATGCACATGGTAGGCAAGTCATGAGTGGAGCCGGCTGGAGCCGGGGATCAGACTAGATGGCCCAGGAGATCCCTTCTGACTCACTCTGTTCCTATGTTTCTATGGTTAGTAGCATAAAATCATGTGTTTGTTGTGGGCAACTTGGAAGAAGATTGGAGCAGAGAAGAAACTTTGCATACAACAGAGTCACCTGCTTCAGGCATGTGGAATCATGGCCTCTCTGCCCAGTCTGTTTTGCTGGGATAATAACTCCCATGAAGAGCACCTCGTGATGCTTGAATCAGAACTTGGAGGGCAAAGAGAGTCTATCACACTGCATAGCACTGTCTTCCTGGGAGGGTCACATACATCTTTCCTCCTGGAGTCACAGAAACAGTAAGAGGACTAACTTCTTTCTCTCAGAGAAACCCACTGGCCTGGAAATGACCCAGAGAGCGCAGGGCACATGTCTCCGCTCTGTTACCTGAGAATGGCAACTTTTGTATCTCGCTTGAGCAAGGAAGGCCTTGGCGTTTAAAGATGTGAACCGGTTTTATGATTAATTAGCTTGGCCACGTCTGTCTAGAGCTGGGCTTTTAGAGGTCAAGGGAGGAGCTCCCCACAGCTGTGTAAATGTTTTGCTGTCAGCACAGTCCTGGGCAGCAGACCGCCCCCACCGAACCCACGCTAAGCTTCTGTTTGTGCTGTGTGTCTCCGGCGCACCACCGGACACCCTCTGCCTGGATTCTTCCTGGCCATGGCCGAGTTGCTAAGGGTGCCACTGGCACAAAGGCAAACACTCGTATTTGCACGCAGCTGGCCATCTCCAGCCAAACTTACCTTGGAGTACCATCTGCTCCCAAGTTAGAGGAGCTTTGTGGGGTGAGCGCAGGTGGCCAAGTGATTCAGCGAGCAATGAGAAATTCTGCAAACATGGAAGCAGCCGGGCTCCACAGTAAATCACCAGACATGCCGACTGTGTGCTTGCACATGCGCGTGTATCTGTGCATGCAGGAACCTGGCGCTGCAGCATTAAAGAGCAGCAGGGCATCTGTTGTAAGCTGCCTTTAATGAGCCCTTGTGTGTCCATGCATTTAGTCCCTGTCTTTTCAATTTGAATATCCCTGTGGATCAGTCTTGCCCAATCTGCTAGTTTCTAGCATAGCATTGCTCACTGTGGGATGATGGGAGCTGTAGTCCAACATAGCCAGAGAACACCAGGCTGGAGAGGACTGCAATAGACTTTATTGAGACTGTATTAGCTGGCCCTGGCTCTTTCCAGCCCCAAACCTAGGCCTGCAATGAGAGACAGATCACGCCATTCCATTGACATCCAACCAGCCCCACTTACAAACCACAGGAAACGTTCTGGAAGAGCTTCAGGAGGTTCAGAGGGGACATTTGGGAATGAACAGACCTGACTGAATCTCCAGCTTTCAGTTTACCTCCAAAGCTGAGCTGAAGACCCATAGGTGGGGCCCCATTGAATTCTGGAGCCTGCATTCTCTAAGCATTTCCTGTACCTTTTGTTCATCTTACAATTCAGTGTCCCGATCTCAAGGATTTGCAAGAGCTTGGAGGCTGCATTTTCTGACCTGTGTCCTCTCAATTCCGAATGTGTCAGTGAGGAGCTGCTCAGTGAAGAGCTGCTCAGCAGTGACAGAAACTCACTTTGCACATTCCCAGAAGCTGTTTTCTTAACCCAGCACCTGGGTGTAATGACCTCAGTAGCAAAGCTGCATCTGCTGCCCCTCTCCAGCACTGAGCCCTGGCAGGTTTGGTGGTGCTGGCAGACAGTATAACCACAACCTGAGGCAAGCAGCTGTGAGCTGATCAGGACTTCCAATGTCCCAGAATTGCCCTTTAAGCAAGTCTCCCCAGGGAACTGTGGGAAATGTAAAAGGGTGGGTGGCTCATAACTCTGCAGCCAGAGAAACAGTCGCACAGAAGGGCCCATTATCAGGACCGGCAGCCCCTCCAGAGTCCTGGCAGCTTCCTAACCATGCCCAGTGCTGCCACCAGCCTCATTTTAACACATCCTCTATTTTTCATAAAAGCCACAAGGGTCATCTTCTGTCAGGATGCTGCCTGCTGATGCCAAATGGCTGGGAGACCCTGGCCTACACTTAGGAATGGAATGCCTTTCCCAGCCCCTGTGAGGCAAAGGGAGGCTCTTGAATACGCCCCCTCCCTTCGCTGGCTTTCCCGCTCCATTGCATTAAGTAGACCTACTGTATCGCAGTATTGTATTGTATCCAGCTGGGCTACTATATCCTGGTTGTACCTTAGTAAACCAAGTAGATCTACCTCTCTTGCAGTTACGTACTAGTTCAAGAAGATCTGCTCCAAGGAAATCAAGTGGATCTCTTAGCAGATTTGATCTCAGTGGATGATGTAGACAGTGGGTCAAATAGATGAGCAGATGGAGCATGGAGAATTGATAGATTCTGCCTTAGTAGGGTGAACAGACCAGTAGATCAAGCAGATCCTTGGATAGATTGTATGTCGTTATGTCTTTATTTATTTATTTAAAACTTTTGTGGACTGTCCCATTACCGAAGTCTCGGGACGGTTTAACAATACAAAATATTAAAAAAGAGAGAGAAAAAATTGATTAAAACACAGCATCCTAAAATTAGCAATAAAAAACCTCCCAATTAAAACACTCAGATCTTAAAACACTGGGAAAATAAAAAGGTTTTGGCCTGGCACCAAAAAGAATAAAGTGATGGCACCAGGCGGGCCTCTGTGGGGAGCGAATTCCACAATCGGGACACCACCACAGAGAAGGCCCTTCTCCAGGTAGTCACCCTCCTAATCCCCTTCAGGGAGGGCTCCCAGAGAATGGCCTCTGCCCCAGACCTTAAGGGGCAGGCAGGCACATATGGAAGGAGACGCTCCTTCAGGTAACCAGCCCCTAAGCCATTTAGGGCTGTATAGGTCATCACCAGCATCTTAAATTGGGCCCAGGCTTCAACTGGAAGCCAGTGTAGGTGGAAATGGACCAGCGTTCTATGTTCAAACCTGCCAGGCCCTGTTTACAACTTGGCAGCTCTATTCTGGACCAGCTGAAGTATCCAGACCAAAGATTTAATCTCAGTAGCTCAGGCAGATCAAACTGATGGTAAATTTGATCTCAGCAGGGGAAGGAGATCAAGCTGGTCTCTTGACGGATGCATCCTCGGTAGCGCCAGCAGGTGCAGTCCTGTTGCAGCCAGTCCGTGGGAGCCAAAGGAGACGGCTGTGCCTGACCCTCCCTTCGTTTCCTTCCCTGTCCCCTTGCAGCCAGTCTTCGGGCAGCACCTGGCAGACCGTGGCCAGCAACGTGAAGCTCGAGAAGCACACGGTCAGTGGTCTGAACCCCAACACCATTTACCTCTTCCTCATACGGGCCGTCAACGGCTATGGCCTGAGCGACCCGAGCCCCGTCTCGGAGCCTGTTCGCACGCAAGGTGAGTGCCCCGTGCCATCGTGCTGGACCAGCGTGTGAGGAGGGGCTGCAGCGCTTCAGTCTGGCACAGCTGCCCTTCCGCTGTCGTGGCGCCATGGGGAGAGAGCGGGGAAGAGACCAGCGCCGGGTGGGCAAGGCACCCGGTGCACTGGGCTCCTCTAACAGAGCTTCCCGGTCTCTCGCTTTCTCTTTCCTTCCTGTGCACACAGCAATCCGTAAAAAGGGATGCGAGTATCACCTGTCCGACAAGGCTGTTTTTGAGAGGCCTAAAGAGCCATCCAAATGCAAGCGTCGGTAGAGTGGGAGGGTTCTGTCCTACCGTACTCCCAGTCTTGACTCTATGTGCCTTCCTAGAGAAGAGAGCAGGTCTGCCCAAACTATGGGTAATACTTTGCCCTCTTTGGTCCTCAGTGCTCTGCACATCCTGGGATATTTTACACAGGGAAACGCTTTTAGAACAGCTTTCCCCAACCTGGTACCATCCAGCTGTGTTGAGCTAAAACGCTCAAGATTCCCCAGCCAGCCTGGTGCCTCACAGATGTGTTAGCACAGCTTCCTCGGCAGTCTGGCAGTTGCGGTCCATGACGTGTGGAGGACCCCAGCCTGAGGATGGCTGCTTTAGAGGCTGCCTTTGGGAAGTGTCCAGAGCTATATGTCATATTCTGCAGTTATATGTCTGTACTACGAAGTTTGCTACTTGAAGAATTTGGATTCAGCATCCTGAAGAGTTTAGCCTTTCCCCCACTTCAAAAAGGAGGTTTGGATCCCTTAAGGTCCCCTGTATGAAGGGAAAGCTGAGGGCCAAACTACCTGTCACATACAAAAAACTACAAGGGAACCATGGCTTCTTGAGCTAGCTGAAATGATCAGAACTTTACTGCAAAGTTTGGTTCAACTTGTTCCTTTTCTCGTTTGTAACCTTTTTTCAGTTCCTTTCAATGGGAAAAGTTCACCTTGTCCAAGAACTGGGCATTTTTTGTTTTCTGTTTTTTGTAAGCCATTCAGAGATTTTAGTATTGGGACAGCATATAAAATTTTTAAATAAAATAAAAACGAAGAAATTTTCAAGCCTGGGTGTTTTTAAAAGAATGCAATTGAATGCAATGCAAATTTGTGAACATTTTCTGAAAACATGTGCTCCCATTTGTGTTCACATTCAGGGCTATAAATGGGACATTTTGCAAACTGAATTTCCTTTCAACCTATACACAAACCTGGGTAACCGTGCCTAGACAATCCTTTTTATGGCTTATAGTGGAGGAATAGCAAGAGAGAAGAGGCCCTTCACCCACCCTTTCCATGAGTATTCTTTTTTTCCATTCCAGATTGTCCTATCACTTGCAAAGCTCCTATATGCTAGTAACCTGCAATTGGCAGATGTTAAGTACATATATATTCATTTATTTAATTTAGCACAATTTACATGGTTGCAGTGTGTGTGTGTGTGTGTGTGTGTGTGTGTGTGTGTGTGTGTGACAGGTTCTGCATACATTGCTATCAGGAAGCAAGGCTGGCCAGTCTGTGACTTATGAATCACATGCACTTCCCAAGCCATTTGAATGCAGTTGCTGGAGGAAAAAAACAAAACAAAAAACAGATGTGGAAGTGGGCTTAGCAGGAGCTTCCTGTACAAAGCGCAAGAGTTTGGGTGTTACTTTAGCCCTCTGTGCAAATGACGTAGTTCTGTTCATCTCTCATCTTTTCTATGGTTTGGCAGATGTGAGTCCTACCAGGCAAGGGGTGGACCACCGGCAGGTGCAGAAAGAACTTGGAGAAGTTGTGGTCCAGCTCCAGGATCCAGTGGTTCTCACCTCCACCACCATCCAAGTGACCTGGACCGTGAGTACCAACAGGCTCACCGACAAACTGCTTTGCACCGACAGGGTGTGTGCATCCAAAATGGGTCGGACCAGGCTGTGCAACCTCTTTCAGCCTGAGGGCCAAGTGCAATTTCTGAGCAGATTCTACTGCTCCTACTGCCAGGAAGTAAACCCTGGGGAGACCTTTTTAGCATTTTGAACACACAAAACCTGAGAAACCAAGGAAATATCGGGAGTCAGGAAGAGTGCAGGGCCACAGGCAGGAGAAGGCCAGAGGACCAGATTAGGAGGCACAAGCAGGCCAGACTGGGCCCATTGGCCTAAGGGTCAACACCTCCCTTTTAGGCAGTTTCAGTGTGGGATTAGACTGTTCATGAAGGATAAACTATGAGTTGCCAGCTGCCACAGAGGCTATATGACACCTTCAGAAAAGTGGAAGGATTCCTCTGAGTACTGGTCCCTGGGGAACAGCAGCAGGAGGTGGCTCATCTGGCTCATCATTTCAAAGAGACATGTGGCTGCACACCACAGGAAAAAGAATGCTAGACTACCAAGGCCCTTGCTCTGATCAAAAAGTTTTCCTATATTCTTAGATATATTGGACTCGGTGGCAGTGCTGGTCTTCACCAGTTTTGCAGCTCCAAAGTCACAATTGCAGCTCTGAATTGTAGTAGTAGTTGTTGTTATCGCTGTTATTAATGGTGCACAGAAATGAACATCAGAGCAAGAAAATGCTGGGTCCTCCCATGTATTTGCAGCTGAAAGCAACTGTTTCACATTTCTTCTTGGTATAACTGACCCCCATTGATAGAGATCAGGTTGTAATGCAGGGACCAGAGTTAGACAGGCAGATAGTCAGATCCATTCCCAGGTATCGTACCCAGAGAATTAATGCTAGATCTTCTTCTCATTCAGGTGGACCGCCAAGCTCAGTTCATCCAAGGCTACAGAGTGATGTACCGGCCCAGGAATAGTGCCTGGCTAGTGCAAGATGTGAAGTCACCTGCTGATCGGAGCACTGTACTAGTTGAGCTGCACAAAGGCCAAGAGTATGAGGTCAAAATCCGCCCATATTTTGATGAGTTCCAGGGCATGGACAGTGAGGTGCTGCTGGTGCGGACACCGGAGGAAGGTATGTGTGAGAGGAGAAGGAAGCTGGTGGCCCTGCAATCCAACCTCCTAGTCAAGGAAACTGCAAGCTGCAGTTCCCTGGGAAAAGTAGATACAATGTTAATTGCATGGCCTGTCAGTGTGCACCATTTCAGGTCAGGGGTTCTGATAATGGTGTGGCTTGCATTGTACGAGAACTTGAACCGGAGGTTGGGTCAAATTTCTCAGGAAACAAGATGGAAAGAGATCTCCACCATGGACAGCTCCAAATATCTAAAGGGACCTTGGTTTAACAGTATCAAATGCAACAAGTCTAAGGATGGCAGTCCTCCTCTAGATGGAGAAAAGGTGACTTTTGGAGTCTTTTTTTTTTTTGTGAATTGGGTCCTGAGGAGGTGGAACCCGATTGCTTTTCCATGGCTGAATTGTGTCCCTGAAATGTTAGGTCTTGGAGCCTCCTCAGAGGAAGGAGGTGGGATCCTCTGAAGTTGGAGTGTCAAGCCCTGGCCAGTGGCATGATGAAGGCTTGCTTCCCAATTGAAATAGCAGCCCCGGGGGCATGGCTCTGGGAAGATCCATAAGAGCAGTCAAACGGAAAGCTTTAAACTTTCTCCAGTGAGGATACCAATCTGTCCATGGAAACCTCCAGTGGCAACTACCAAGCTTGAGCACCACCTGATTGCTTGAATGTGGTGTCCAGTTCTTTTACAGGAACTAAACATGAACTGAGAGTCTTCCATACCTCAGCAGCCCACTGTCCAGCACCTTCTTTAATTGGGCTAAAAAAGGGGGGTATTAGATATAAGAACCTACTTCTGCCTTGTAATTAAATCCTTGGGCATTTTTTTCCTGTTTCACCTGTTTTCTTTCTGAAAGATCTGTATTCAGGGCATTCCTTGCCCCCAGTGGCTGCCATTTTATGGCTGGACAAGCCCCCTACTTCGGGAGCCATTTTGAGGGAGCATCTACAAGACACCTGCAAAATTCCCATGTGCCAACCAATCCAAAAAGTTAGGGGACCCCAGGTTAAACTCCTCTTCCCCCTTTGCTGGTGCTTCAAGCACACATGTGCACGTGCACACACACACACACACACACACACACACAGTGCACACCCAGAGAGAGCTACTGTTAATTTTCTATTTAAGCACACACATCTAGTTATCCAAGCACTTAAAATACTGCCTAGTTTGGTCGTGTGTCAAGGTACATCTCTTTGCCTTCACAAACCCACCATTCCCGGGGTTCTGTAAAGGAAGTCATGGTGGTTAAACTAGTTTCAAACCCATCTGAAGGTTGACTCAGCATTGCCTTTCCTATGACTCAGCATGTCCTCTTGCTGCTTTCTGGCTTCCAAAGTTCAGGATGGAAATCCCCATATGCCACATTAGTCTGTGTCTTTGTTGACCGAGATGACACAATGAGTTCTTTTCCTTCCCTCTTAACCAGCTCCCAGTGCTCCTCCTCAAGCAGTTACCGTAGTCACCGTGGGGGCCAGAAACAGTACCAGTATCAGCGTATCCTGGGAGCCTCCTCCACCTGGAGAGCAAAACGGGATCATCCAGGATTACCGGGTAAAGTGGATTCTCTCAGTATGCATGAGAGCATGACGGTCTGAAGGCCTTGTGGTCCAGCTGTAGCAAGGGACGGCAAAGGAGAGATCGCTTCTTTGCCTGAGTGTGCTGCTTCAACCACTGGGTCACTGCTTTCTTCCCTTCTTGTGGCAGGTTTGGTGCCTGGGAAATGAGTCTCGTTACCACATCAACAAGACGGTGGATGGCACAGTGCATTCAACAGTCCTGCTGGGCTTGGTGCCAGGCATGGTCTACCGCACAGAGGTAGCAGCAGCCACGAGTGCAGGCATTGGCGTGAGGAGCACCCCAGTCATCATACAGATCAGTGAGTACCCAGGGCTGCAAGGAGAAAGGAGTAAGACGGGTTTCCCCCATATGGTCTGCCCATTCACTGAGGACAGCTGGCAAGCCCTCTGTTCTGTTTTGTCTTTGCGATGAGGACGATGTCCACATAATGTGGCTGGATGCTGGTGAGGTCTGGGTTACAAGGTCCCACTATGGAACACGTTTTTAACCAGGTGGGGCAAGGCAGCTTTCTCAGTGAGGCAGGAACTGGACAGGACAGCACCTTGGAGAGCTCTGTCTTAGCAGCCTCAGGCTGCATTGACGTGGTGGCGGCAGCATGCTAGACTCTTCATGGGTGGGATCCCCAGAGTCCAGGGACAGCAACAACACAAGAGGAGAGAGCCCTGGATCTTCCTGGGGAATGAGGTCCGGGGCTGGTAGAAGATTCTATGACGGACAGAACCACGAGTCATGACTCCTTTCTGTACCAGCATCTTCTCCCTGAACTATTAATACAGGGACCACTTTGTCCAAGGATGAGGGCAAGGATCATCCTTCAGGAGGGCTTGGGGCCCTGACCCATGACACTGTCGTGCTTGTCCCACCCGCTTCTCAGTGATGTCCAATGTAGAAGTGAGTGTGCACCTTCCTGAACGTGGTGCCCAATCTCTAGAACTCCCTGCCTGGGAGACTGATTTTCCTTGTCGACCGATTGCATTTTGCTTCCCCCACCAATGGCATTCCACTACCTTTTGAAAATCACCCTGTTTTTGGAGCGTCTCTGGCCAGGTTACCCAGGTATATTATTTTAGTGAAGTTTATTTATGTCTGTGAGCCGCCCCGCGGCTTCGGCGAATGGGGCGGCATAGAAGTTTACTAAATAAATAAATAAAATAAATAAATAATACCCTGTGGTTTTAGCAGCTTTACCTGCCATTCAATCAGTTTTAGATGTTTTAGGTTTTTCACATGCACAAACACACAAAATACTCAATGCAGACAGCTACTTTGAACAGTTCCCAGCACAATCCTACCTAGACTTACTTGGAAGGAAGTAAATCACCTTGAATTCAATAGGCCTACTTCCTTTCAAGTTTTGTACTGCAGCCTCTGATTTGAAGCAGCAGGATATGAAGCATTTCATGAACATTAAAGTAAAAGATACAGACTTTGGACCAGCAGTCCAGGCTCAAGATTCCCATTTTGGATTTGGGATTGCTTCTGAGTGTTTTCCCATCCTTAGCTCAAGCCAGTGCATGGTCTGATCTGGCCCCTGTCTAGCAGGACTAGCAAACCAGAAGCCCAATCAAACTTCCTTTAAGTTTATATCACAAAGAAGTTGGGACTCAAAAGGATTACAGCTGTGATAGAGACCTTGCCAGGCTGGGGATTCCTCAAGGGCGTTTGGAGAGAGGATTCACAAAAGGGGGTCATGCAGAAAGGCGGCAACTGCAAGAAAATGGTAGAGGTGCAAAATGGGGCAGTTGTCATCTCTTGACCACATGATCAGGATGATGGAAGGGACAGTTGCTTCTGAAGTGTGGTAGGTGCAAAGCTCTTTTCCACCATGCTTGGTTTTCACACTTGTTGGTGGGGTCCAGCTGTGGCCGGGCTATACTGTTCAGGCTGCACATATGCCTGAACCTTCCCCCTGACAAAAATATTTCCCTCCCTCCTCATGGAAAGCTAGCTAGTCAGGGTTAAAGGTCTCCCTTTTACAAGTAGCTTTCTATCTGCAGGGAAGTTTGTTTCACTCTTCACGATTGTCAAGACAGCTTCCTCCTGACTTCCCATCTCAGGAACAACCAGTGTAGGTCCCACTACTAGCCTCCTCTCAGGGCAGATGTTTTGCCTTATCCACTGCTGCAGAGCCTTCACCAGACCAAGACACAGTACCTGTGAGCAGTGGGGACAGCGTGAGCCTTGCCGAGCAGATCACAGACGTGGTGAAGCAGCCGGCCTTCATTGCGGGCATCGGGGGGGCCTGCTGGGTCATCCTGATGTGCTTCAGCGTGTGGATCTACTGTCGCCGGAAGAAGAGGAAGGAGCTGAGTCACTACACAGGTGAGGTGACTCACCTGCCACTTCCCTGCTCTTGCTCTCTTGAAGGACGATGTGGCTGGTTGCTCAAAGATATAGGATGCTGCCTTGTACCGCAGGTCCTCTCTTGGTCTTGGCTCAAAGTATCCCGGGTGCTTTGGAGGAAGTGAGGTGGCCCAACTCACAAAGGAATGCTCCCAATGAACAACCTGCCCCACAGGGGCCCAAGAATTGGCTGAAGCCCTTATGTGCCCATGGTCAGGTCACCCTTCCAGACTCTGGAGGGGAATGCCTTAAAGGGAGGGGCTACTGAGTGGGATTCTGGCTCTCCTCCTCCACCTCTCTGAGGATGTCCTTTCCACATGAACAACACAGCACAGGTGTGTGGCTCCTTGGGCACGATGGCTTTGGTTCTGTGAGCCGCGCAGGCTGCATGGTTATATGCAGTGGCTTTCTGCCTCGAGGACCACTGAACCAAGGGGCTCAGGCTCTGGCACAGCCATGATGCTGGAGCCAGGACTGCCCTCCCCGGCCTTTGCCTCTGGTCCTGTGAGTCTGAGAGATCTAGTCTGTTCTTTTCCAAGCACACATTGCATCCTGATGCCTGGCCAGATGATCTTTCATCAAGCCCCAGGGTGTCAATCCTCTTGTCCACCTGGGGTCCCAGGTGCCCGGCTGGCCATTCCACCCGGCCCTCAGCCCTAGATTGTACCCCAATGTTGACAGTTTCAGACAAGGAAAGCTGTTTCTCTTGCCGGCTCCTTTCACCCAGAGATGCCAGGGACATGAGCACATGCCAGCCTGCATGCAGAGTGCATGCACTGCCAAGAAGCAACTGCCCTCTCCCTGCCCCAGGCAGCCTTAGACTCCTTCCCCACCTCTGCCAGCCACAGCCATGACTTGCCTGAGCTGCCTCACTGTTTGCTTGCTTCTCTTTGCAGCCTCCTTTGCGTACACACCAGCAGGTAAGGCTTGCTCCCCCTCCATCGCATTGCTTTTTCGCCCAACATCCCCTGCCTAGCCCTCACCTTGTTCTCCAGGGAAGTGTCCCCGACTGAGTGTGGTCTCCTTTCTTTCCAGTTTCTTTCCCCCACGCGGATGGGCCGGCACGTGGCAGTGGCAGGTGAGCGCAGAGAGGGGGTGAGGGAGAAATTCAGTCAGGCTGGTGTGGTGCTTAGACTGGGTCCGAAACTCCATCACTGACTCTCCAGCTAACCTACCCCTCAAGGTTTTTCTGAGGACAAAGCAGGCTGCAAATGTATTTTATTTATTTATTTAAAGTTTTTCTATGCTGTCCCATTACTAAAAGTCTCTGGATGGCTTGCAACAAATGTAACAAATCAACAGACATTTCTAATTTGCAGGTGCCGAATCAATATGCGAATGAGAATGTTCACTATTTGCACATCTCTGGATTTTGTGATGGGGTTTCCCAAACAAAGGAAATGCCTGCAAAAATCTGTGTATTAGGGTAAAGTGCATCCAAAACTCTACATATTAGAGAAAAATATACCTTAAAAGGAGTAAATAGATCGGCTTAAGCAAGTATATAGGCAAGCATGCATTTTAAAAATGTGTGCATTTAGAGAGGTGTCTGTTATGAGAAACTCATGCAGAAACTAAAAGTGCTTTGGAGTGATTCAATCCTACTTAATTCTCACTAGACATTTAGAGGAATAATATTTGGGATGCTGTGCAAAAAGACTGCTGAGTGACTTGGTTTGGCTTACTTCTGAGAAGGCTCAGAATTGGAAAAAGTCCCACTTGGGCCACCCACCGTGTCTTTTGCCCCACCCACAGATCAAGTGCACCCCGGGACTCTTCCAGCATTGGAATTTGGCCTGCAATAGGTAGCCCACCCCTGTTCTAAGCAGTGGCGATACATGGACATTTAACCCACAAATTAACCAGCACATTGATTGAACTTCATACAATTATTCTGTTCAGATTAAAAAGTAAATCAGAAAGATGGCAGGCCTAGCATCAGCCCCCCAAGAGTTGTGACTCTCTGTCTCTCCTGCAGCCGGCCCGGCATGCTGGCCATGGCCACTAGTGCCTCCAGCTATCCCTGGCTGGCGGACTCGTGGCCAGCTCCAAATTTGCTGCGCAATGGGAAGACCAAGGAGCCCGGAGTGAGCTGCTGCACAGGAAACCACAATGCCACAGAGAGATACTATAATGGTAAGACTGCCACTGTTTCAGCAAACCCATAAAAGGAAGCCCAGTGTAGACCTAGTGAGGAAAAAGGAGTTCAGCTAGCAGAAACCATGTGCAGATGCTCTGGTGGTTGGGGGGAGAGCACAGGAAGTTGCTGAGCCAAACAAAGCAGATTTTCCAGGTTGTGACCTCCCAGAAGAAGAATGCAGACAAGGTTAGTGGAGGCTAAGCAACAGGACCGGTGTTAACCCCTCGTTGCAAGCCTGGATTAGAAGCAGCCCTCCAGGCCCCAAAGATGCTTAATTCCTGTGCCATGCAGAATCTGCTGCAGCCCAGCCAGAAGGCCTGGTTAAGCCAGATCACAGGGTGTTCCCTTCTTTTGCAGATGCTGGGATTTCCAATTACATTGCTCAGACTGAAAAGTTCGGGACAGGGGTGTCTGATGGGCCCATCTACAGCACCATTGACCCCGCCAGTGATGACATGAGAACGTTCAATGGAGCATTTTCACAGCACACCACCCCCTATGCCACAACTCCTGTGGTACCCTACGGGGCAGCGCATCTACATTCACCTGATGAAGAGGAGAACCAGTGGATTCCCCAGTCTGGAATCTCCAGCATCCAGTATGCCCAGCCTGAGCGGGGCAGGGTGGAGAGCGGTAGGGGTCTTGAGTGTGCGAGAAGCTAGCTAAACTTCTCTCAATGTTGATATTCTCCAACTACAGTAGCTTCATTTTATCTGGAAAAGTGAGTCTAGATATGCAGAATCTTCTTCAGCACAATGGTTGAGTTCCATTTTGGAGATGCTTGCTGGGGCCACAGTCAAAGGGATGGGGGCAGAACCCAGCAAACTGTAACTTAAATCTCTTACAGCAAGGAACTAAGTCTCAGAATTGGCTGTGGCCTATTGGAAGCCCCACATTGGCCCTGAGACCTGAGTTTTTGCACCCCAACATCCTGCCATCACTGGCTACAGCACATAAGAGGCAGTGGAGGCTGGTGGCTCCTAGGTGAGTGGGGCCACCAGCTGCCACTCTGGGCTGCAGGCGTAACTTGGAAGGAGCTGTCCAGGGTGCTGAAAATACTGTGGGTTCAGCACCAGGCTTGCTTATTCAAAGTTCAGATTACAGATCAGAATGGGTATGCTGCTGCACCCTAGAGCCACCAGTCCTTCCCATTTGCAGGACAGCGGAGCCAAATTTGACCGTAGAAGGAGATGACAGCAAGAGGCAAGGGAGCAGTAGCAACCATCTGGGGAAGAGCCATAGCTCTGTCGTTGAACTTCAGCATGCTTCACAATGTCTGATTTCAAAAGGCTGCTTGCTGATGCAGCATTATTTATGGATGCTGCCAGTCAGTTTATAGGACAGCCTTGCCCAGCCCGGTGACTTGTAAATACTCCCATCCTCCCCAGGAATAGTCATTCTTTTAGTCAGGAATGCTAGGAGCCATAGTCAAAATCATCAATAACATGCCATGTCAGGGCTGGTTGGTATGGAAGGTTCAGGCTTTGATGGGACAGTGGCCTGATTTTCCCCATGCATAGCAGGAGGTCAGGTTCATTCATACTTGGAAGGAAGGGTAGAGGCAGACTGGCACATAATGCTGACAAGCAGTGCAAGACTCACAAGTGGAATTTTAGGCTGCAGTCCTGCAAGCTCTTGCTGGAATGAGGGTCCAAATTACTTTTGTGGGGCTGCTTCTGAGCCTCTGTGCTGGTATTGCATGGCTAGTGTTCTTCTTCAGTTGGGTAGCACCTAGTCTCAGGGAATCACTCATTTGCCCCATTGAATGGTCCCTCTCCCTGACCTCTGTTTCTTGATGTAGTTGCTAAGCCCGGCAAACAGAAATCCATGGGGAAGCCAGTGAAGACTCCATCCCTCAATTGGACAGAAGTGCTTCCTCCACCTCCTTCTGCCAGTGAACTGAGCCAATATGTGGAGGAAGAAGAGGAGGAAGAGGAGCTAGAAGTTGGGTAAGTGCCAAAGGGAGGCCAGGCCATGTCATTTCCATTCAGTACAGGATTTCCTCCTGCTAATCGGACTGGAAATCATGTGTTCAACATTAGTCTGCATTTGGGCTTCAGCTCTTATTGGGCCTGCACATTCTTTCAGTGCACACCCTGGCAATGCGCTCGGTGATAAGGCAGTGGCATTGAAGAGCACTTGGAAAGTACAACTGGTGGCTGTTGTTCTTTGTTGTATAATGAAGATTTGGCCTGTGTGTGTGTGTGTGGTTGTAAAGCCACGGTGTGGACCCCGGTGGATGGAAAGGGTGGGCAGTATTCAAAAGAATAAGTATACAGTTAAATAATGAAATCTCACCAATACCCACTGACGTGGTCGTCACAATCCACACAGGCTGCCTTTGCAATGATTCAGCTCATATGCTCGCTGGGGCCATTTCTGTGAGCCATCGTCATCAACAGCCAGGGGTTATCTGAGTCTCACCACAGCAGGGTTTAAAAAGGGTTCAGGATTTGTCTCTCCCCACTCGATATTTGCAAGTGAAACTGATTCTTTGAAAGTGGCAAGCAGCCATTCTGAGCATCAGTTAAGGAACTGCATCCAACTTTTTAAAAAACCACTGACTTACTCCTGCAAGTGCTTGGACTAATCCCAGCTATCCAGAAGTCTGTTGAGACCCCAGATTCATCCTGTGTTTGAACAGGACAGATGTGATCAAATTAGATGTCTCTGATGGCTTCAAATAACCTTTTTTCATCAAGTTAGGAGATGGAAACTGTAAACAAAGTTGGTGTGAAATGTCAAGAAATCCTTATTCTGTGTTTAGGGCAGAATAGGCTTTGGCCTGTCCAGAGTCCCATTCTAGCTCTTTGGTTTTCCCCAGAAGGCCAACCCCTTCTCTGGCACCTTTCCTCTTCTTCCAAACACTGATAATGTGGTGACTGCCAACCTTTTACGCACTTTTTCTCTATCCTAGTGATGGAACTGCCTCTCCTAAGGCTTAGTTACTGGCAGTAAGAGCTTTAAGGTCAAGTATCCTTGGTAGCCCACCCACCACTGCCATGTCGCCCCAAGAGGTGTGCCAGAACAGAGTTTGGTCTTTGGGTTGCAAGAGGTCCAATGCTGCTGGTTGAGAGGCTCGCTCTGGATCTCAAGGAGCAAGTGTATCCTTGGTGTGCTTGTGTGTGTAAGTGATGGTCGTGGTAGGAGTGCAAACTGGGAGCTCAAGAGTATTGCAACCAAAATGTTTAGCTCACTCCCTGCTTGTAGTTCTGAGGTGGAAGAGTGGTGCCCTCCTCTGCCAGAAAGGACTTATTTGATGGAGAACATCCAGGAAGAGGAATGTCCTCCTCCCCCGCCCCGTGGCGAAGCCTCCTCTCCTGCAAACTCCTATGGGCAGCAGTCCACAGCCACTCTGACCCCCTCACCCCGGGAGGAGATGAGAGCTTCTGAAGACATCCCCAGGCTGCATCACTTTGAGATTCCTCACCTGCCCAGGTATGAACCGCTGATCCTTGCAAAGTATTTGATCCAGGCACAGAATATTGCCCTATATTCTGTGCCCCCCACCCCCATTTAGACCTGTTGCCTTGACCGTGCACTTGATTCTAGAGCAGAATGGATCTTTGCGGCCCCAGAGGGCAGGACTAGAGCCAATGGGTGGATGTTGGAGGGGGCAGATTTTGGCCAAACATTAAGAGAAACTTCCTTAAGGTCACTATTCAAAATTGAAACAAACATCTTTGGAAGGCTTCTTCCGCCATTTAAGCAGTCCTGTGGATGGCCACCTGCCAAGGATGCTGAACAAGGATGCTCAATTCCTTAACTGAGCAGGGGGTTGACTAGATGACCTCCAAGGATGAGCCAACTGTAACTTTCTGTGAATTCCCTAAGAAATATTTCTACGCTGTGAACCTTCCTGAGCCAAAAGTTCATCCTCAGAGGGCCTACTCTGCCATTGCACATACATTTTGGGTAGACACAAAAGATGGGGGCTTTTCTCAACTGTAATCTAAATGGGAAGAGCCTTGTCTTCTGCATTTAGGCAGGAAGTAAGGAACTGCAGCAAGCTTTGGATCTTTCCAAGTCATGTCATCTGCAATGCTTGTACGCTCACACAAGTTTGGATTTTGTCTGTTTCATTATCTTTAATTTATGGTTTTATTTATCTTGATGATGCCGATGTGGATTAGTTATAGATACAGGAATAGATATAAATGCCATTATCCACTTGGAAAATGTGTATGTTTCATGGAAAAGAAACAAAGAAATAAAACTGAATTCCCACACCCTCCTATACCTGCCTTCCCCAGTCTGGTACCCAGATGGTTTGGCGCACAGCTCCCAGAATCTCACATAGCTTTCTGCCTATCTGTATTGTTCGGGGACAGAACTGACCCATTTTGCTATGGCATGCTACGGCTCTGCAATACGGACCCCTTTTCTAAAAAGATGTGTACCAAAGCTGAACCCCTCGGCACTGACAGGAAAATTGAAGGAAAGTTGTTGAGCAGGTATCTATACATCACAGAGCTGGAAGAAACCTCCAAGGTCAACTAGAAACTCTGCTGCTCCAGCATCTCCTCTCAAAGTCGCCTCGCCTTCCCTTTGCTGCCTGCCTGCCTGCCAGGGTCCTCCTCTCCAGTAAATGTGTTGTTTCTTGCTTTCAAGGCGATTGCCCAATGGCCCCGGGCCATTGCCCAGAGCCTCAAGCCCTCCCTTGACTCAGTCCAACCCAAATTTAAATGTTCCTGAGGAGGGATCCGAGGGCATTGCTCCCAGGGCAGGCCATCGACGCAACCTGAGCCAGACACCAGCACACAGCGCAGAGGATGTGGACTCCCCAGGAATAGGTGGGTGCCTCTTCCCTCTCGCTCATCCAATGGGCAGCAGAGCAGCCTTGCACATGGGGCGATGGAGGGAAATGGCCTCTCTGTGAGGAGCCCAAGAGCTCTCAGGCCAGCAGAGAGCTTGCCAATGTGTGGCAGGTTTCCTTCTAAAGAAAAAAATGTTGCACCTGCGGGAGTGCAAAATACACATGGACTTAATTGCCCAGCAGATGTCTGGTAAGGTGTGAGCAGTTAATTGCTTTGAGCGTTAAAAGAGACAATGTGATGCAGAGATCAGAGCAAGGGCCTGAACCTCAGGCCCAAGGGCTGTCCTGACCCAGTTCTCTGGGATTCCTCTGCAACCCATGTCCCCTGCCCTCGGCCTCTCCCCTTTTCCCCAGCTGCCGCCTCCTGGTGGCCGACTGCCCAGCTTCCGTGTGTTTGCCCCTCATTCTAAGGGCCAAACTGCCTCTCCCAGGTCTCAGTGACGGACTGAGGAGCTGCAAGTGACACGATGCTTCTCCTGAGCCCGCCAATGGTGGGTTGTGCTGGGATCAGCCCGCAGTGACTTGCCTTTGTGAAAGCTGAGAGCGGGTTGGGCGGACCAAGACCCAGCTGCCTACCCTGGTTCCCCAACTCCAATGTGGGGCTTTTCCTGGCAGGTAAACCCCACCCCAGCCTAGGGGATGTGGCTCTTCCGCCAGGGCAGAAAGCAAAAGGCAAGAGGAAGGCCAAGCCTAGCCACTACCGTCGAGAGAAGCAGCAAGGAGGTGAGTGCAACGGGTGCAAAGCCTCCCCATCGGGCTGGGCTCCACAGTCCCGTGAGTGTGGACACACACATGGGCCCCCTGTGGAGGACGAGAGCTGACCACGGCACTTTGTCCTTGGCTCCGCATGCAGACCTCCCGCCACCCCCCCTGCCACCTCCCACAGAGGACCTCAGCTGCTCTGCTCCAGAGAGTGCCCCCCCGCTGGACTGCGACCCCTCCTCGCTGGAGAAGGTCCTGGGTGCTTCCTCAGCCGCAGAGCGGAAAGTCCCCCATCGCGCAGTGGCAGGCCCGCACTTCCACCAACACCGAGATGGTACGAGGACTCCTTTGCTTCCCCACATGCTTCTTTTCCATACTGCTCAAGAGCCAGTTCTCCAGGAATCTCAAAAAACCAAAAGTGGGCAATGCTATTTGTTCAAAAGCATCAAATTCTGACATACAAAATCCAAAACAGACCTTAAAAGCATTTGAGCAGCTAACACAATTTCAATGCAATTGGACTGACATGAAGCACACTTCTGTCACTCAATGCCTTCGGAGGCTCTGGAGAAGAAGACTGCCTCACCCTTCTTCTCTGGGAACCTCAGTGGGAAGGTCATTGCCAAACTGAGGGGCCATGACTAAGAAGGCCCTCCTTTTGGTGGCCATCTTCATGGCCACCTGCTGAAGTGGCAGTGGAAGAAAGGCCTCGAATGCCGGTCGTAGTGCACTGTGGCCGGGACGGGAGCTCCAGCAAGCATTTCATCAAGTTCCGTCAAACGGTCCCAAGCTATACAAGGCTTTAAAGGTTAGCAGCAGCGCCTTGTTTCGGGGTTCCATGCTGACAGACACAGCCGCCATTTTTGCCTTCCATACTGTGGGTTGGTGATGAGCTTGCCTTGTGGTCTGGAGTTCAGGACCAGCAATATGCCTGCCCCTTTTCCAGTCAGAGCCACTCCTTTGGGAAAGGCATTTTCCTAAGTTTGGCAGATGGGTGTTCTGTCCCTGCCTGTGCCTCTCACACCTGTGGGGAGTGGGAGCTTGCTTCCAATGCTTCCCATCCACCTTGTACACTCTCTGCCACACATGTGGCTGCTGTAGACCTAGAACTGCTGCGGCGGACCATGCAGTCAGATCAGAACTGTGTGCAGCTTCCTTGTATTCCTGACTGACCTCCTTCCTGGACATGCCCTTGAAACCCTTCTGCGCATTGCCGGATTGTGCTCTCCCATTGCTCTTTATCCCACCTGCTCTTCTCGTAATACGCAAGCCATGCTGTGCCCAATAGCAGCAGCATATATATGTGTGACAGCAGATCTCGCCCGGCTGTTGGCTGACTTTTCTCACTGATGTGCTTGTCTCCTGGCAGAGGAGGAGATCATCCCATACAGCAAGCCCAGTTTTCTCTCCAGAAGCCAGGTGTCAAGCAATTGCTCCACAACAGGAAGCTCTTCTTCCAGGGGATCAACAGGATCTCGAGGTCACGGGTCAGGGCGCAGCGGGACAACAGGAGACCGCAGTGAGGTGACAATGCAGCACTTCCTGTGTTTTTGCTTGCTGGGGGGGTGGGGGAGGGAAGAAGGACCGTTGCTTTGGGGGATCGATGGACCCAGGCCAGGCATCAGCACACTTTGTCTTCTGACAGCTGGCAGAGACCCCAGAGCTGCCTTTGGAACACTCGGTTTGGCTCAGAACCACAGCAGGAGGGCAAGAGGGCAGTTAACCTGTGGCCCCACACCAGCTCCCTGGTTCTGCTGGCTCCAGGTTTTGAAAGACCTGTGGCAAGACACGCTGAGTGGGCCCCATCCATCTGCCAGTCTCCCTTCTCACCACCCACTGCATGGCTCACCCTCCTCATTCTACTGTTGCTTCCACTGGCTTGCATGACAAGCAGGGAGCCAGCGGCAAGTCAGCAGCGACATCTCTGGTTCCTCCTTCTCAGCACCACCAGTGCTTGAGCCTGGGTGTGGGCAAGAGGTTGCAAGAGTGACAGGAGCCACCATCTCCAGGGGGCTCCTTTCCACAGGCTTCTGCAGGACTCTAGGTCTTCAGCAGGTACCCAGCCATGCCCACTTTGGCACCGTCACCATCCTTAATCTGTGGTGCTCTCCCAGAGTGCCGTGGAGCAAGCAGAGCACATTTCCAGGACCTCTCTAGACCCAGAATGTGTGCTCTATGACCCCAGTGCAATGCATAGTTAGCATCTCAGAGAGGCTGATTCTGACCTGGGCGATTGGGACTCTGACAAAGTTTCACTTGATCCCATCTGCTGCTCCTCCCCCGCAACACGCATGTTTTGAATGTTGCTGCTGGTTCTTTCAGTCATACAACAAGCAATACAACTTGTTATGACAATGGAAGTTGCTGGGATTAGGCAGAAGAGATGTGAGAAAATCAGCGATACTTGATCAATGAACATGGTGCGGGGAGGCATTCTAGGTCACTTAACCAAAAGGTAGCACTTATCTGGAAGACGTTCTAGGTTACCCAATGTCATGGACTTCCTACAAGAAATGATTGGGTACTTCTCTTGCACACTCAAATCTGTGATGAGGTAAGCCAATTCTCTGGCTGCACTGTGGGAAGAAAAAACAGTGGGTGAGGAGCAGAGGCCATCCCATTGATGTGTCACCCTCTTTGTGCTTCCAGGAAAAAAGATGAAACCAAACGGAGTTGGTGTGAGCAGAGTGCAAGGCCTTCGGATTGGCATCAGTGGACTATGGGCCAGGGTGGGTGGGTGTTTCTGAGCTTCTAATTTATGACCCTTCAAAAGGAGCCGCATGACCAGGCCCCTTGTAAATATGTCTGTTCCCTGGAGTTCAGCAGTCCCTGGGAGCCAAGAAAGCTGTATTTATAAATCACGACAAAGGGACGCTCCAGCTTTGGGCCTCTGTGGGGCAGATTTTTTGGAAATTTTGGCATTTCTGCAACTGGAGAGTTTGTGCCCAGTGGCAGGTGGGACGGGAAGGGTTGGGAGCAAGCAGCGGGGAAGGGAATCAGCCTTTGCTTATCCAACACAGGATGGCGACTCCGCTATACCAAGCACATTCTCCAAAACTGCCCAGGTGCTCAGCCCCACCAGCTGCAAAGGCAGAGATCGCCAGATGCTTCTTTGGTAGCTAATGGACCCTTTTGTAAAATGACCAATAAAGCTGTTTGTTTACCTGGCCCTCTCCATGCTTTTCCATTTTCTTCACAGCACTGCAAATGCATCCTGTTGGTGAATCCTGGAGTGTAGAGACTCCTGATACGCTCCAGCCCAGATGCAGGGAACTTCTAGGGGCTGGGTTCAAGGGCTAGTTTCTACCCACCCACCCCCACCAGCAAGCTCTTCCTCGCCACTGCTGAAATGGTTACCCCACTACCCAAATGTGGTGGGTTGCCAGCAGCCAAACAAGAGTGCGTCTTCAGAAGAAGGCACAGGGGGAGCACCCAAGTCATGGTTTTGCTTTCAAGCACAGTGTGCCATCCCTCCATACCATCACAATTTGGGGGCAAATTTGGGGGCATGGGGGCAACAGAGGGGGCTAGAAAAGGGGCCAGGGGGCCTCATGCAACTGCCCACCCCGGTCTTGGCATAATGCAAGTACTTATTGATGGTGCTGAATTCCATGCCCAAAATAGGTTCACTGCCATGAATATATAATTCATATATATTATATAATGAATAAATAATGAACAAATAGGTTGCCATGTTCAAGGCAACCAAGGTGGAAAGTTGTGCATAAAAGAGTATTTCCATACTTCTCACGTTAAATGTTAGAACAAGAGCAATTCAAATCTAACTAGTTAGACCCACTTTATGCAATGTGAGCTGCCTGCGTGCCTAGCAGCAGAGTTAAGAAGTTCTTGGCTCCATATTTGCATAAACGTTTTGCACAATTTCTTAGAAACTTAAAAATCCACTAAGCTGAACTGGTTTTGGCTATCAGGTTGGAAAGGATCTGGACAGACTATGAAAGTAGGCTCGGCACAACAGGATGGCATTCAACATGAGTAAGAGCAAGGGTGTCATAAGTACAGGTTAGGGGACAAGTGACTGGAAAGTAGCACTTGAGAAAAGGATCTCATGGTACTGGTCAACTGTAAGCTAAATATGAGTCAACAGTGTGACACAGCGGTCAAGAGGGCAAATGGCTAGGCACCCTTGGTTGCCTAGCCAGAAGCATGGCTTCTACTTTGAGAGAGCTATTACTGCCACTCTATACAACTCTGGTGTGCCTGGAGCTGGAGTACTGTGTTCAGTTCATTACAAGAGGGATATAGCAAGGTTGGATTCAGTGCAGCAAAGGGCCACAAGGATGGTGGCTGGTTTACAGGCTAAGCCATATGAGGAGGGACTGAGTTTTTTCAGCCTGGGGAAGAGGAGACTCAGAGGGCACCTGTTAGTGACATACAGTTATGTGAGGGGGTGTCACACAGAGGTGGGTTATGGCCTTTTTTCCCCTGCAGTTGAGGGCAGGACACGCTTCAATGGAGCAAAGCTCTGGGAACCAAGGTTCAAGGTGGGTGTCAGGGAGTACTTCCTGACAGTTGGGACCCCGAGGGTATGGAATGGGTTTCCACAGGAGGTGACTGAAGCCCCATCGGTGAGGGTGTTCAAGGGCAGGCTGGACATGCACATGGTGGCCTTGTCATGAGTGGAGCCGACTGGAGCCAGAGGTCAGACTAGATGGCCTGGGAGACCCCTTCTGACTCACTCTGTTTCTATGTTTCTAAGCTCAAATGAACCAAGTTTTTCAGTGCCACACATCCCCGGTTAGCATCTGGAGAGCAGACTGTGAAAGCAGGCACAGTCATAGTCTTTTCTCTGATGAGATATATTGTGTTTTTATTCCATACGAATTCTATCTAATTCTGCACTTATTTTTATACTTTCTTTTATTGGCACACGTTGGCTCTATTGTTGATCATGCAAAGTGGTCCCCTTACCATGGATAGGCGACAGAATGCCCATCTTTGCACAAAGCCCTGAGTCGAATTCTACACCAAAAGGTGGGGGGGAGCCCCTCCCTTGCCTCCATCCGGTGCCTCTGCTGCTATGGTGTGCCAAAAGAAGAATTACTTTTACTGGGAGGTTCCTGAAACTGAAAGGCACCTTGAGCGGCTCAGCTGTAGGAAAAGCCCAGGGTTGATTTGTTCAGGGAAGTCAAACTTGGGCAATTTATCCTCCCACTGGGAGTACAACATCCCCCTCCCCTCTGTTGCCACTGCTGCCTGTGATGGATGAGCTTGCAGTCAGTAAATCAAGGATAAATTCTGCCTGGGAACTGATACAGCTTTTTTAGAGGCGGGAGAGAGCCAGTTGGCTACCAAGGCTGGGTTTGCGCGTGAAGGATGCCACCGTGTCACCTCGAGCCATGCTGCTGCAGAGAGCATGGCTGTGCAAGAATGGCAGGCCCAGGACCTTGGCTTCTCCCACTGTCTTCTTCACTCACAGGCATGGGAGGCAAAGCTTGAAGGGTCCTTGAATGGCAGCATCCAAATGCACTCATTGGTACTGGACTTAGCATATAGCCATCAGGACCGGCAGCCTTCTCCTCCATGAACTTGCCCAATGCTCTTTTAAAGCCATCCAAATTGATGGCTGCCACTTCTCTGTGGGGCAGCAAATTCTGTGAATTATGCACTGTGCGAAATACTACCCTTGATCTGTCCTGAGTCTCCCGTCAATTAGGGTCCTTTACTTACCAGGATCCTTTACATACAATGAGTCATTCAGGCAACTCTTGGTGCATATAAACTAAGCTACACTAACCATTCCTCTTGCATTTTTTGATCAAGCTCATAGAATTCAAAAAGAATTTCAGAAATGCAGGCAAATTGGAGAAAATATGGGGTTGAGGTTGACTTCCTTACTTGGGAGGTGCCCAACTGTGCCTTCTGCAATGCAATCATTTCTCTGGTAGTCTGCAGATTCTTCCGCATCCTGAACGTTCATTAAGGCTCAGGGAAAGGCTTCGAGAGTTTATTCTGCCCACTGGGCTTTTTCAGCTTAGGAAGCTGATCTGGAAGGTCAACAGACTGTGGAGACATGCATAATAAAGCACCCTCAGCCATCTTGGAAAAGCTGCATAAGTTCAAAAAGCAACACTAAATTGAATTCCGAAGCACCCTGGGAACAAGGCAGAACAACAGGAGCCTCTTTCATGGTGGAAGAACAATGTCAAAAAAGTGAAGGACAGATTTTGGCTCAGCACCAGCTCCATCTCATCCCTGGAGCTAGATGGAAAACTCACACCCGCACTGCGATGGGTGCGAAATGCAGGCCAATTGCCGACTCCGTTGATGATGTTGCCACTTGAGGTGACTGTACAACCTTGCAAAAATAGACAAGGAAAGCTGTCATAGAAAGGCACAAGCATCATGCCAGTGGTGAGCCCTCCCTGTAAGAAACTATTGAGAATGTACCCCATCCCTGGAGAAATTCACTGACAGCGGTTCCCCAATATTATTGCTCACAAACAGGGTGGAGAATTTTGAGAGGCCCCTTGTGTGCCGCTCTGGCATGAAGGAGGCCAGTGCTACTAGCCAGTGCTGCGCCGAGATACCAGTGGCTGCGTGTCCTACCACTTACTCCGGCCTCCCGTCCCAGGCAGTTGACTCCACAGCCCAACAAAGAAATGGGTGACTTCATCCACTGATGGCAGGCAGTTATGCTCAAATGCCCTGAGCTCACATCTTTCTGCAGGCAGATGCTGAAGTCATCACTGCTGACTTCATTGAGCTTCTGTTCTGGGATGGGAAGGATGTTTATGTAATCTTTCAAAGGAAACGGGGGGCCCGTGGCCACACTCGACAGGCACAAAGGGTTTGGGTTTCCCAGCTCCCCGCTAGGCAGCTGTCTGTGTTTTTTAGACCCTCTCCAACAGGAAGTCTCTCTGGAGTTCCCTGATTAAACCAGACGGGGCCCTCAAAGGCTGCCAGGTTGCTCTGGGTGCCTCTCAAAAGAACAGCCAGAGGCCACGGGGAGTTTTCCTTTCTAGGACTCTGATCTCAACTGTACCAGGAACAAAAAGCAGCTGCTAATATTCCTCCTCCTTGTGTCTGTTTCCTCCTGCAACTGAAGACTGGAGATCTTTGGCAAAGCGGAGCAAAGCCTTTTTGGCACAGAGGTGGAAACCAAGCACACCCCTGGCAAATTATCCCATGTTTCTCATTTTCCAAGGACAGCCCACCTCTCTCAATGGTAAATGGCATCTCCAGCTTCAAACTGGGAAAGAGAGATCACATTTTTAAATGTTTTAAGTACAATGCAATATTAATTATATGAGCATCACAAGTCTCTTGGTTACAGTCAGGGACTCACTTGGAACATGAAATTGCAAGCATGAAATAAAGGAATGAGACTGTGCTTACTGGGCATGCACTAAGGACTGTGGTTCCTATGCATAGTGCAAAGATATTCAGTGCATTTTGTGGTCTGGAGCTTTTGTTTTCAAACAATGAAATGCCTGTTTCAGATCTAGCTGTTTAACTATGCTATCAGACTCAAATCCCCTGGTTCCATTTAAAACATCTGATGATGTGCAATACCCATCAATGCGCAAAAGCGATGCATTGCACAGAAGCTCATGCAGATGTATTAAAGCATCCGAATCACCAAACCGGTCTCTGTGTATGCCACAGTTGGGGTTCCTGCAGCCCCCAAACTCAGAAGCTGATGAGCATCTAGGGCACAGTGGCAGGACTGGCAGAGTCTAGCTTTACCTCCCTGATCATCTGGCTCTGCATTTTCACCAGATAGCTAGCTTTGGCTATCTGTTTAGTTGCAAAGTCATGCGTGACCCATCACAACCCCATGGAAAATATTCCTCCAGGCTCTCCTGTCCTCCACCATCCCCTGGTCCACTTAAGCTCACACCAACTGCTTCACTGACTCCATCCAGCCACCTCATCCTCTGCTGTCCCCTTATCCTTCTGCCATCGATCGTTCCCAGCTTCAGGGTCTTCTCCAATAAGCTGTTCCTTCTCCTTAGGTGGTCAAAATATTTGAGTTTCATCTTCAGTATCTGGCCTTCTAAAAAGCAGTTAGGGTTTATTTCCTTCAAGATTGACTGATTTGATCTCCTTGCGTTCCAAGGGACTCTCAGGAGTCTTCTCCAGCACCACAATTCAAAGGCCTCAATTCTTCAGCACTCAGTCTTCCTTATGGTCCAACTCTCAACCTTGCAACCTTATGGTCAATCCTGCAAGTGGGAAAACCATAGCCTTGACTATATGCACTTTTGTTGGCAGGGTGATAGCTCTGCTTTTTAGTATGCTGCCTAGATTTGCCATAGCTTTCCTCTCAAGAAGCAAGAGTTTTTTAATTTCTTGGCTGCCTGCAGTGATCTTGGAACCCAAGAAAATAAAATCTGTCACTACCTCCATTTCTTCCCCATCTATTTGCCAGAAAGTGATAGGACCGAATGCCGACTAGCCAAGGTATTTCAGAGTGAGAGGAAAGGAGTCTGCATTGCTTCAGGACACCCCATATCCTGGCTGTTCCAGTCTCCTCCGCTCTGCACCACCCAAAATGCCTCCATTCCCCATAAGCCATGGTGAGATATTTTTTGCATAAACAACTTATGGTGTGTCCTCTTTAAAGAGGGGGGAGATCATGTGCAGTTTTGCTTTGACCAGACGGCTTGCCTTCTGACAGCTGGCAAATCAAAGCAATGTGGGGAAAAGCCCCATCCAGAGCCTCTCTCTGGGTTCAGAGCTGATACTGGCTGCACACCTCAGAACATTGCCCAGGTGAGACCTCTGTGCTTGCACAAGTCCAACTAGAATTTTAAAACAGCGACAAAACTTTACACATCTATGGACACACTTTTAGAGGTGTGGACAACTGTTCATGGCACCTTCCATATGTCCCTTGGGCACATCAAAGGGGTTATCCCTGGTGGGGGGATACCTGAGACGACCACAGGTTGTGCTCTTGCTCTTGCTGAACAGCTCACTCACTGCCTCCTTTACCCACAGTGGGATTAATCACCAGGTTGGGATGACATGGCAACCCACTGTAGGCAAAACAACTCCTAGATAGCCCGTGTGGTCTCAGGATGACCTGCTGGGGGTGGAGGCTGGGCGGGTGGGGGGGAACCAAACAAGCCACTCTGCAGGAAGTGGTAAGCTGTTCAAGGTGGATTGCTGAGTCATGTGAAGTAGGTAATGCACTCACATTTGTAGATATGGATAAACACAGCTATCTGAATGAGTGGATGGAAGAAGGTTGGAAGGAATTTTTTATTATGGTTACAAGCTAACCAGAGTCTTGATACCAAGAGCAAATGCAGCAATTAAAACAGGCTTTTTAAACGGTCTCAACACCAAATTTGCATTGCAATAAAAAGACTTTTGCAACCCTCCCAGTGATATAGGATAAAGCATCCCTTAAGAAGAACGCATGAAAGGAGACTCGGCCTCTTTCTGCAGTCCTGTGCAAGTTACCGTGCAGAAAGACATGATCAACAGGCTCTTTATTCCCGCTCTGCACAAACACAGATGTTCCTTAATTGGGATCTTGTTAAATCGCCCACTTAACAGTGCAGAGAGCAGCACATAGAAGCAAGAAAGCATTAATGCTCTCCCGTAGTTGGGAACAGTTCATTTATGTAGATAAGGAACTCTATCATCCATATTCTTACGAATAAGGCAAGACAAGCATCAGTTGCTGTTCTCAAATGCTGCAGATCCGAATCAGTTACGGTGCGATCCTATAGCTGCCTGACTTCATTTGGCTTCTTCAGAGTCCCAGAACTGAAGTTGTCCGAGTTCAGAAATGTGTCTCAGCAAGGCGGGGGGGCGGGGAGTCAGAAGGGAAGAAACAGGCTAAATGTCTACATATGACAATTCATACCAGTGCCCTTCCCCTCCTGGCTACTTTTTCTAGACAGCTGAAAACAGCCATCCTTGCATGAGGCAAAGTGAAGTGATAGCAGAGACCATCGGATGCACAGACTCCCTCACGTTAATAGAAGTCTGTGGCTTGAGGAAGGGGCAACAGGACTGCACCCTTAATCTCGATACAACAGAGCTGTGCCTTTCTTAAATGACAGTTGTTCGGAAGAATCTCAATGAGTCCAAGAGCAATAAGCAGATACAGTTATCAGGGGCTGTGGAAAAATGCAGAGGAAACCACTATGGAAGGGCATTTATCCGAATCAGGTACACAACAGGTACAAGTGTGCCTTCCCCACACAGGGCGAACGCTCTGCAACATTTCTAAGAAAACCGGGTTCTACTCTTTCCCTCTGAAAGTTCACAGATATCTGCCTTTCTGGACTCTCCTTGGGGGTGTGGTTATGGACATGATGAGCAGCTGGATTTCAAAATTTACCACTAAACCACACTTGTGGTTTGGCAATATTGTTTTCTGCCATAGAGAGAACAAAAATAACCTTCTATCACCCAGTGCTATGCAGCAGGACGAAGAAGGGGCCAGTGGGCAGACCCACGGCAACCTGCACCCTTTAATGTGACAACAGAAGGCACTGGGCTGTGGCAATCTTCCCTAATGGTCAAAGGTACTAATTAGAGCAAACTGCTCCAAGAGGCTAATTAGAGCAAGCTGCTCAAAGAGGCAGAACTTTTGCCCAACTTTCCTAATGCTCAGCCAATATCCCTGAAAATATCAAATCCAATTAGCTCATCTTGAGAAGTAAAAGCTCTGCTCATAAAATTATCATTGCAGCTATAAAACTATCCATCCCTCTTCTCTACTGAGCACAGGCACTTAGCTCCCTGACCCCGCCTGGCTCATTGAGTGCCACGGCACTGACTGGAATACAAATGCCAAAGCCCAACCATCTCTCGATCGCAGCTCTAAGCCAGGGCAAGGGATTCCGAGCATGCTTCAAGGTGCCCCAGTAAAAGGCAGGGCAGCCACACGTGAAACCTATGAACCCCCAGGCAAAGATTTTCAATCCATTAGGGTGGCCAGGTGTCCTACTTTAAAGAGGACGGTCCTCTATTTAGGAACGTTGGTGGAGGACACTCCTTTACTTGAAATGTCCAACCCAAATCTGGTTTATTCAAAGACTCAGAAGGAAGGAGATCTCTGAAGGCACCCATTGACTCTTTACAGTTGAACAGAAGACCGAGCAGTAGGCTCAGAGGTCACTTGGTTAGTCTTCTTGACTATGTTGTCCACCATATCGCATGTCAATTTATATATGCATCCATAAGCATAAATTTGCATATGCAAATATTAAACAAATTGGTGTCCTGCTTTGGGGAGATGTGCAAGTGGCCGTGCAAGTCAGCATAAGAAGTTAAGAACAGCCCTGCTGGGTCAGACCAAAGGCCTAAATAGTCCGTTTGGCTAGTCAGGTGCTTCCAGGAAGCCTACAGTCCGAGGCATGAGAGCAACACACCACTTCTGGTCATCTAGTGAGGTTTCTCAGCCATTGGTGCACAGAGCATGGTGGCCAAACTACAGGAAGTGCATACCCTTCCAAATAGAATACCACTTTGCACGATAGTTGTGTGTGCCAATTTAACTCTATCAGTGCAAAATTTGAAATTTGCTCTCAGTTAAATAAAAATACAAGACATCTCAGCATACTGGAGAAGGCTTATCAAGCAAACCCCATGTCTGCTGTCCAGGTGCAACATCAAGGGCTCTGGGCTTTCTTTCTTACAATTCTTTACTTTAAACCAGAGTTGTATTGGATAGTCCTTCAAATAGAGAATTTCTTCAAACGAAGGACTGTTCTCTACCAGCTCTGCTCTCTGTGAAGCAGGACACGTGCCGACCCTAATTCAGAGGCTTAATTCTGCCTCTGTTCCAGGGGGTAGCACACAGCCCTTATGAGTAGTAGCCATTGATTTACCCTGCACTCTAGGACTTGATACAAATAATCTGAGAAACCCAGACTGCTAGTATGTTCATATGTCCAAATTTATTAGGGAATTGAAGGGTCTAATGTGCACATATAGACATGCATTTAGAAATAATCACTAGAATTTAAATATAAATATGATACATCACAGCACAGGGAAGAGGCCTGTGACCACGTGGCCTCTTTGCCTTCCTCATCCACTGTTAATGGGAGACTTCAAGTCTCAGCTCTTCCTGCTGATGGATCTTTGTTTCTAAACTGGACTTGGGCTGGCTAGCAGGTCCAGTATCGAGGGCTGGCATGGTTGGGCAGCTGAGGGCCCACACACCCCCGCAGGGGCCCACTGACAAGAATCCCATGGACTTGCCCACCCCCTTCACTCTTGCAGCCTGTTTAGTCATCCACCTCTCAGCTGGGCAAAGACCTTGATGATGGTGGCCCCTACACACACATTGGACCAAAACGCAAGCAAGTGGTAGCCATGATGAGAAAGACAATGAGAAGCAAGAGCAGCTGCTGGTAAAGGTGGCAAGAAGGTTAACTCACCAAGGAAAGGAGTCCATTGAATGTGTCTTGCCCACCCAAGAGCCCTCAAAAGCCTGAGGCCAGCTATACTATGTGGCCCTTTGGAAGACACCTTCACATTTTCAGGGACAGAACAGGATAGCTTGACTGGAGATGACCTGTTCAGTTAATCCCTCACTAAATGTCCCTGACACATTTCCTCCATAATCCTGTTTGACCTGCTATCATGTACACTCATTACCAAATTTGCAGATCATTTCCATTCAGATAACATTTACACACGCATCTCCCAAGGATGGATTGACCCGAACCAGATGTTCACCAGTTTCTGTCAGCTTTCCTCTAAGGTTATCTTCCAAACTGCATCCAAGGAAGGCACAACCTCCATAGCTGGATGGCCCTTATGAAACATTGGAGCAAGAGGGAAGAGATCCCCTTTCGTTTTATTTACACAATAAGCCCATATGCACAAGAAAAGGTTAGTAGTTGTGCTACCATCTCAGGTGCTTTAACAGAGCAGGCAGGCAAAGGAAGGAAGCGTTTTCAAGTCAAGTGGATGGTTCTTCTGCAAGAACGTAGAACAGCAAAGAGATAGAGACACAGCCAAGGATTTTAGAGGAATGATTACAAAAGTTCTCTTTCCCCCACTTTAAAGAAACCACCTTTTATATAGGAACCCAGCCCAAACTCTCGCTCCCTCTCTCTCTGTGCGTGTGTGCATGCGTGTTAGTCAGGAGGAGAACCCAGATTGAGCCTTAAAGATTCACAACCTCTAGAGATGGGGGTTATACAGGATATCAGAACCAGTGGGCCTTTCTCCTCTCCATTAATAGAAATGTCCTTGCAAGTCAGCAACCCAGATGGTGGCATAGACTGATGGATCCTGGGAGGAAAGCCAACAACAAAAAAGGACCCAAAGATTTTTCTTCATTATCTCAACACTGATCTCTGCGTCAGAGGCAATTGTGAGAATCAGTCCTCTGCAGCATTACCAACTGGCTAGAAAGAAGAAAAATAACTCTGGGCTGGTCAGCGCCTGCCTCTTTACAGGAAGTTCTAATACTCAGAAAGCGACAGGGGATGCTTTTCCTGGTGTCAAGATGAGCAAGATCACCTGCTCAGGTCTGCAGATCACACTGCTGTTGGAGGGGCAGCTACAGTGGCTGGTTCAAGGGGTAGCAACCCAGGCCTCTGCCTGAAGAGACAAGAAGACACATGTCAGCACATGGCTCCCAGGTGCGCTCCAGTGCTTATTTACTTACATGCAATTCCCCCTGCAATCAGGGGGCTTACTCTCAAGTAAATGAGCACAGGAGGATCGCAGCCCAGTTGTGTCACAGTTGATAACACAAAGGTGGGGTGTCTCAGGGACCCTAGAGGGCCATGATCTCTTTCCCTGGCCCTGCCTCCTTTTCTCCAGCTAGTGGCTGATTTTTGTGTATTTCTCCCATTCTAAAACATTGAAAACTGTCTCCCAGGGCTTAGTTCAGCCAGCAGGAGCTTTATGCTCCAATATGTTGGTTTTTTCCCATTTTTTGCCCATGCTTTTGCTTTTGGCCCTGCCTTCAGATCCATCCACTGCTGGGAAAATAGCCCCTGAAAACTTCCCTAAAATTGAATTTGGTCAGGCTGCAGCAAGCTCCATATTTCTGTACTAACAAGTAGGACTTGATTCTTGCTGGTCCCTTTTCCTGTGCATTTCCAAGATGTCCTGCTAGGAGAGTGCAGCAAAAGAGTCTTTCTGCAGTTCTGTGGAATTCCGCTGCTGGCAGACAGAGCTGGCCCAGGAATTGTAAATTGTATACTGCTGCCCTCCGGTACCCAAAGAACATCCACAGGCATCCTTCCCACTGGGAATGAAGATTGCAATAAAAGCATCCAATCCGCCAGACCTAGACTGGTGAAATTATGTGAGCCAAGGAGAGATGTGACCCAGCTTGTAGCAGAGCTCTGTGATCCTGACAGGCTCCTCTCAAAGAAGGATGGGAAGACCCGGCCTGGGGTGGGAGCAGCACGTTTTGCTTTTGACCACCTTCTGCGCAGTCGGGTCGCCGCCATGCTGCCTCAATGGCTTCTTTCTCTCCCTTCATTTGGCGCGGTGAACTTCTCCATGGCTGGCTCCTCTCCTCCTTTTGGAATGGCAAAGGCGCCTGACCCAGGGTCCTGGGCGCCTCTTAGGAGGGCCTGGGCAGCACCAACCGCTCTGTCAGGATGGTTGATTGGATTTGACACAGTGGCCCCTGAAAAGAAAACATCTGTTGCTATCACTGCCCTTTGGGAATATGAGAGACATGCACACAAACACTCAAAAGGGGTCTGCTCCAGGCTACAGACAGCGAGACCAAGCTGAAAATCACCCCTTTGTGGATTTAGAGAGAATATCCTTTGCACACACAGGAGCTGATCAAAGGCATGTGTCCTGGAGGCTGCTTCAAGGACATTCTGCAGTGTGATGCGGTGGTCAAGAGGGCGAACGCCACCCTTGGTTGCAAAGCCAGAAGCTTGTCTTCTAGATTGAGAGAGGTATTACTACTACTTTATATACCATATTTTTCACTCTATAAGACACACTTTTTCCCCCTCAAAAGTAAGGGGAAATGTCTGTGCGTCTTATAGAGCGAATGTGTGTGCCCGACACCCGGGACACTGCCGGCCCGCCTGCACCACGTGGCACCACCTGGCCGGCATGCGCTCGGTGCGCCCTGCTCCACCCCCTACCTCTGGCGCAGGTGAGAGCTGTGCCACTCAGGGGGAGTGGTGTGGAGGAGGAGGAGCCGCGGGCTTTAACCCGCCAGCCACACGGAGAGATGGACTGCTCACCCCCACTGCCTGGGAAGACCTGCCGCCACCGCTGCGCCACCCGGAAGACCACCGCCCGCACGCTGCCAGCCCGACTGCACCACACCTGCTCTGCCCCCCTCCTCCGGCGCAGGTGAGAGCTGTTAATCACAGGTCGGTGTGTATTTTCAGATGGCAACCCATCTTTTAATGAAGCCCATGGGGAAGTGATGGGGAATGTGCCTGTAATTATCAGGAAGCTTTCCATGGATCCCTCCTCTAAAAACTAGGTGCGTCTTATGGTCAGGTGCATCTTATAGAGCGAAAAATATGGTAACTCTGGTGTGTGCAGACCTGGAGTATTGTGTTCAGTTCTGGGCTCCTCATTTCAGGAAAGATATAGCCAGGTTAGAGTCAGTGCAGTGTAAGGCCACGAGGTTGGTGGCTGTATTGCAGGGGAAGCCGTATGAGGCAGGACTGAGGGAACTGGGTCTTTCCAGCCTGGAGAAGAGGAGACTCAGAAGGGATCTTTTGGCAACATACAGGTATGTGAGGGGATGTCACAAGGAGATGGGTAGAGACCTGTTCTCCTCTGCAGAGGAGGGCAGGACATGCTCCAACAGAGCAAAGCTTGGGAAACCAAGGTTCAGTTTGGATGCCAGGAAGTACTTCCTGACAGTTAAGACCCCAAGGGTATGGAATGGACTTCCTTGGGAGGTGGTTGAGACCCCATTGGTGAGGGTGTTCAAGGATAGGCTAGACATGCACATGGTAGGCATGTTGTGAGCAGAGCTGGCTGGAGCTGGGGGTCAGACTAGATGGCCTGGGAGGTCCCTTCTGACTCACTCTGTTTCTATGTTACAAAGGCTCTTTTCCTCCAGCAGGTCTTCATTTCATCTCCAGGAGGCATCTATTTCTTCACACACCCAAATGAAATGTTAAAGGGCTCATGAAGCAAAGGTGGCTCAGGTTAAGAATGGCATCTTTTTGATTGGTACATAGGGATTCAGCTAGGAGTGTACCAGAGGGATTAACTCCAAGGCCCTGCCACCCAGAGACCTTCCCAGGGAATGGGGGACACTGCAGAAACAAGTCATCAGTGTCTACCTGGGCCAGGCTGGACATGCCATGGACCCCCGGAGTTAATGCTGCTCACTTCAGCATCCTTTCTTTTTTCATGTTATAATCAGGAGTAGCCTACTGGTTGCAGATGCTCATTTTAAATACTTTTTATACTTTTGTAGAACAAAACTTATTTCCCAATATCCGTGTTTTGCTTCAGGGCAGCAGAAGCAAAATTCCACTTTGTTCCTATGGTTATGGTGGAGCAATAATTTAAATGAAATGAAAATGTGAAGCTGCACATGTGTGTGTATTTTTAAAACAGGGTTGGCAGACTGGTTTGCTCAAACAGTTCAGGAATTCAAAGCAGATGCAAAACACGGAATTCAAGATCATGCCCTCCATCATTGGAATAGTAATAAAAGCAGAACAGCTGTTTGAAAATGTACATGAAATGGCATGGGTACAAGAGAGGAGATTTATTCCTACTTTCCATGGATGTCACAGCCATGACAGCACAGGTCCCAGCAAGGGTAACATGTGACACTTCCTATTCTTGTTTTCTTTTAAAGTCAAGGTGTATGAGAACAGCTATTCACTGGCCATTCTGGGGTGGACAAAATCCCTACACGTACAAAGGAGTTCTGTTTTCCCTTCCACTGGAGCTCCTTAAGTGATAGAGAGCATAAATGGTTGATTCCCTTAGTGATCTAAATTGCCAAGAGCAAAGCAAGGGGACCAACATACTACCTGCATCCCCATGAGGAAGTGTCACTGCAGCCTGCAGCTTTAGGGGCATGGGAGGCTGTTTATCTCAGCTCAGACCACTGGCCCATCTTTGGCATTATCCTTTACTCTGGCCTTCCCCAACCTGGTGCCCTTCAGATGTTTCACACCACACCTCCCTGACTTTCCACCATGCTGGTTCAGGAGAAAGGAAATTAAATGCCCAAGGCACCTCATGGGAAAAGACCAGTCTGCACTGATAGGTGGCAGTTCTCCAGGATTTTAGGCAGGGCTGTTTTCCCTTAGGGAGATATTGAGGATGGCCCTAGAACCTTCTGCATGAAAAACATTATGTGCTATACCATTGGGCTATGGTCCCTCCTGGTCCATGGATCATTGCAGTTCATAGCAATATGACAGTTGTTCTCTACTGATACCTCAACCATTGCCCATCTATTCTCTGCTAAGAAGCCAAAAAGAAAACAAGAAAGTTCAGTCCAGGACTGCATTGTATTCAACTCTAGCGTTCTCCAAGTGGCCTTTGAATGACCTTGATGGATGAGTTGTTCCCACACTAAAGGCATTTGAGATGCAGCCACGGAGTCATCTGTCAGGGATGCTTTAACTTGGAGTCCTGTCTTGAGAAAGATTTTGGACCCAATGGCTTTATTGGTTCTTTCCAACTCTACTATCTGAGAGAGAAGAGTGAGGTATGGAATGTCAGAATGCAGATGCGGAACACCGATCTTCTTCTCTCACTTCAGATTCTGATCCAAAGTGGTTCTGGCAGAGGGCACAGGCCAAGCCAGATGCTTCCATCAGGCAAGGTCTTTGCTAATTGAATCTCTCTTTCCTGCTTGCTGAGGCGCAAAGGTGTGGGAAGCCATCAAGGCTCCCATCAGTCAGTCTGAACATAGGAAAATCAATAGGCCTTCTTTCCTCACCCCGTTGTATGATCTTGAAGCAGATTCCAGCAGAAATGCAGGGAACCTTTGGCTGTTTGCAGAGCCCCAGAAGGAGAGGCCACATAGAGAGAAAGAATTAAATCTTTTCTTTCCCAGAGCAGGATGCTTGGAGCAACATCTGCAAAAGTAATGTATCTGCTGAAGTGTAGGAGCAAGCCCAGTCACCATGAGTGTCATTCTCAGCTTGACTGGCCAAGCAACATTTTAATATCTGGGTCATGTAAGATAACCTTCTGGTGCTCACCCCAACACTCATGTACTCAGTTCACCAAGCTGCAGCACTGCAGGGATCAAAAAGCTGAACTTCCCACAGTGCTCATGTGGATCCAATTCTGAACTGCATAGGAACTTCTAAATATGCAAAGTTGGGTATCCCCTTTCTGTGAACCTTTGTTTCCAAGAGGGGGCACAATTTGTGCATTTTGAGTCATTAAAAACCCCTGCCAAGGAAATTTGTGTAAAGTCAGCCAATACGCACAAATCAGTACCTGAAAAACATGAGGATCTCATGTGATTTGTGCAATGACACTGATAGCTTCCTCTCCCATGAATTTGCCCAATCCCCTTTTAAAGCCATCCAAATTGGTGGACATCACCATTTCCTATGACAGTGAATTCTATGTTTCCAAGGGAGCCAAGCTCAAGGAACCAAGGTTCAATTTGGATGCCAGGAAGTACTTCCTGACAGTTAGGATCCCGAGGATGTGGAATGGGCTTCCACGGGAGGTGATTGAGGCACCATCGGTGCAGGTGTTCAAGGATAGGCTGGGCATGCACATGGTGGGGATGTCATGGGCAGAGCCAGGGGTCAGACTAGATGGCCCAGAAATCCCCTTCTGACTTGCCCTGTTTCTATGTTTCTAAAGATACCTTGTCTGAAGAAGTACTTCCCTTTATTGGTCCCATACTTCCCACTAATCAGCTTCATGGAATGACCCTGAATTCTCCTATTATGGGAGAGGGAGAAAAATCTCTCTGTATTCACTTTCTCCATTCCGTGTGCAATTTTAAACACCTTTTGCCCTTTCCCACTGAGATGTGCTGTAGATTGATCCCAGAGGGACAAGGAAAGCAAGTGCACAGGAGCAAAAGTGATGAGAAGGAGGCTGTCTTGCTCAGGGTGCCAGGACCTGAAGGCAACTTGCCCAGGAGCCCCTCAAAACCTACAACTGACATTGCTGTGTGTGCGATGCAGCCATCTGCCATGGCGTCGATGCCAACGCTCACGGTGCCCTGGAGAGCCTTCAAAAGGTAACAGGATTAGTCCCCCCAGGCAGCCACAGACTGCCTTTTAACCTGTGCCTTTACCAGCTGGACAGATGGCAGGACAATGCACAATTCCTCACCCTGCTGTAATGTGCCCCTGTTCAGCCATTGCAAATATGGTTACCATCCGTGCATAAAGGAGGATTGGGGTCATGGCTATGGTCCAGGTATGCTGAACTTTCTTTACCCTGAAGTCCAAATTCGATTTTGGAAGAGTTCTTGAGGGCCACATTCCAAAGCTGCACGCGGCCAAAGACCAAAAAGCCGCGTGAGCAATGCCAACATGCCATCACTGCCAGGAGCTTTGCCTCAGAAAGGCATTTCAAGCTTAGGGAACCAAACAGAGCATTGTGGGAAAGACCAAAGGTACGAAGTCTCAGATTGATCAGTGCTCAACAGAAAGTGGCATGGCCTTCTGGAGAATCCTAGAGGATTCTTAGTTGGGCTTGCATTTGGTCCCTGGGCTTAGATTCTGCATGCCTGTCTCAGGTTACCATGACGCATTCATCAGCTCTGTGTGCACAAAAGCTACAAGTGCACAAACTGTAAATAAGTGATTTCCCTCTACAGCCTTGGAATCATAGAGTTGGAAGGTGTCTCAAGGGTCATTTAGTCCACCCCACAGTCAATTTGGGCAATCCACTGATGCGGCATCCCCTACAGGTGACCATCCAGCCTCTGCTTAAGAATCCTTGGGGATCTTTGCAGCCACCAGCTTCTGAGGCACCTTGAATGGCTCCAGAGAACTGCATTACTCTAGTCCCAACTCCTGCACACAGATTAAAAACACACGGAGAGTGTGCAAGTTGGGCGAAAAGACCAGGAGGCACCACCCCAGTCTCTGTCCTCTAAGGTAGACTTGCCAAGCACTCTCTGTTGGGGCTGCTCCGACACCAACAGCTCCTGGTAGCTGCAGTGCTCAGAATCAGTGCCGGACAGTTGGGAATCGCCATGCACATTTCCCACCATGCTCCCAGTAGAAGATCTGTCTTGGTTACTGTGGGGAATAGAAACAATGCTCCGCCCCCCAGACACTCCTGCTTTTAAAACATGCTGATGCTCTATTTTGAGTAGGACTTGCCACATGGAGCACTACATGGGTTGCAACAAGAAGAACAGAACTGTCTTCAAGTTTTTGTATTCAATTTGTTTTGGAAATAATATCTGGGTTAAATCTTTGTGTGCACATGTGTATCTGTGTGTTCGTGTGTATGTGCATGCATGTATGTCTGCATTAGTCAGCTGAATCCAAAAAGTCAAACATTACAGTAGCTAGGAACATCTGCTGAAGATATCAAAGGTTTGAGCTAGAATATATGCAGAGAAGAACAGAGTTTGAAGGAGGTTGAGGGAAGAACTCAGGAAAATAATTTAGGGCAAAGTGAACAAGAAACTACCCTCCTGAATAGTTGGAGAGGGGAAAGAAAATAACTAATTTTAAAGTAAAATGCCCAAGGCAGAAGCAGAGAGTGGGAGAAGAGATCTCAGGCTCCTTGAAGTAATAAAAAAGCAAAGCTGCTGGAGCTTGGGAACTCGTTGAAAGAATGCTGGACATCATAGGACAGTCAGACCTTTCTTCAATAAAGGGCCTGAATATAATAGGCTCCCAGCCTAATTAGGTTAGCTGGTTGCATTTATCCAAGGGTCTTTTATCACCCTATTGCTAACACAGGTTGTGTGTGTTTGTGTTGTGCCAATGTATGTAATTTCAGAGTTCAACATTGTTCTTATTAACCATTTCTTCAGTCAAAAACAAAATTTCCTTCTTTGAAGTGTCATGGCCTCCAGCCTCACATCTCACTGCCAACTATCACATTTCTACAGTAGGGACCTGACATCCAGAGACTCTGAAGACTGGTTTGGCGGAGGTAGCCAGAGATGTGGGGGGGGGGGGCATTTGACAAGACAGGGTCAAAAGGAAGAAAGAGTGAAGCAAAACAGGATAATCTATTCTGCCTGCTTTCCTTTCTGTTTGCAGAATGAAGTACTGCTGGGCCAGTGGAAAAGTTTGGCCACTCCATCATCCGCAGCTAAGATACTTGCCGTATGTTCCTTGCAAGGCAGAAGCACTGGGCTGCTGGGCCTCTCCCAGCCCTGCTGCCCTGTCCTTTCCCACCTTCGAGGCACTGCTCCAGCTCTCCACCTGCTGGGCATACTTGGCTTCCATCTCCTCCACCCAGTCGGTGCTCCACTGCCACACAGGAAGGGACTGTGACCCAGGCTTCGGCTGCCCTGCCTCTGGGCTCTCAAAGGAGGGATGCAGATGCTGGAGTCCATCAAGAGAAGATGCAGAAGGCAAAAAGTCTGCAAGGAAGAAGAGCAGGCACATCATTCGTGCAGGGAGAGGGGTGAAAAATTGGTTTCAGATTGCTTTCAGTGGGATTTACCAGGTTAGTGGCTTCCAGAACACAGATTTGTGCACAATCTGCATTTGAAGACTATATTTCCGAGTTTACAGTGTGATTCACAGACCCCAGAAGGTGTCTGACACCGTGCATACTTTTGAGAAAAGCACACACGTACACTTTCCTCAATGGGAGACAAGTATGTATGATTCTAAGGGATGCACAACTGAAGAGTATGCTCTGGAAAATATGCACAAAATCTGCATGATTGTCCATGCGAAAAGAAAAAACCCTTATTCAAAAATCAAAGCACAAGTTGGAAAACTTTAAGGAGCTAGTGTTTTGTTGCACGCACATCCGTAATCATTGCTACCCATTTCAGAGTACAGGCCTGCCAAAATATAGAAATCATGATGGAATAGCAGCTCACCCCATTTCTGCTCTGGCTAAGAAAGGGCCACCACCCTTGCCTGGGCTTCAGAGTGCAAAGATTTATTTATTTATAGACTTATTTTCTGCTAATCAGCCAAGGGCCCTCTAAGCAGATCACAATAAGTAAAACGTATAATAAAAACAAAAGCAACAATTAAAATACAACAAACAAAAGACAATAAAGAAAGATGTACACAGTTGAGGGCAATAATTAAAACCATACGTACTAACCAACAAGGTAAAATTATCAGAATAAAATTGATTTTCAAATTGCCTGGAGAATTAGGCCTCTTAAGGAGGTGTTGATGGCCTCCTGGACCCAGACATGAAGGTCTTGGCTAAATGTCTTTATGAGCCAAGATGGACAAGGATCAAGTGAGCAAGAGGTGGGCACAAAGAGAGCCAAGCACCTTGCCCACAGCGTCAGACCACAATAACTGAAACTCATTCATTAAAGTTGGACAAGATGGTGCTCTGAACCCCACTCGTAATAGGACTAAGCCAACTGTAGAGTCCAAATTTTGGCGCACGTGAGTGACTTTGTCTTCAAAGTAGTGGGCAAATCCCTCACAGCAAACCACCAAGGGTTTGGTGGACTCACTAGGTGTTCCAGTGTGCAGGAGATCCTGAACCACTCAGGAAGGTTCGTCTGGAAGGCCTTGTGAAGACGCGATAGAAGTAGAAAATATTGATGCTTTGCCACTCTTATCGCCATGGGGTAGGCCCTATAATGGGCTCTGAGCTGTGTTCAGTTGGATGCATCCGGAGAGTTCCTCCACCTATGCTCAAGCCATCTCCCCTCTCGTTTCATTGCCCTAAGCAAAGATGGGATTTACTTAATATTTGGGATTTCTGTGAATAATTTGGGAGTAAGTCAGTACTTCTTCCATGCTCACGATTCCTACTGCAGCTTAGAAGCTCCTGCAGGCACCAGCAAAATGTTGCTGAAATGGAAGAACAGCGCCTCCCTGTTTCCTCTGACTGTGAATGCGACATGGTGGTTTGGGAGAGCTAAAGTGCTAAATAATCCCTGTATGATTACTGAACAGGTACCTCTCAGTCCTTGCCCTCTCCCAGCTGGGGGTGAGGAACAGAATGGGTCCAGATTTAAGCAGAGACAGGCAGCTAATGACAAAGGGCTGGAGTGGCTTTCCGTTAAGGGAAGGTGAAGGCATTCAGGGGCTTTTTAGTTTACGGGAAAAGATGACTAAGCGGCGGGGGAGGACATAAGAGACTGAGGTTTATAAATGAATGTATAGTGTGGTTCAATGAATGAAAGAGAGAGCGAGAGAGATTTATAACTGGAAATAGCTGGGATTGGGGCCAGTGCCACAAGGGCAGGCTCTGGAGAAGACATTTGGCAACTCCATCTGTGAGTGTCTAAACACCCAAGCTGCACTTGCCAAGCACTTATCAGATAACAATCATTAGCAGCTGCCCCCAAAGTGCCCAGGGGGCAGTTGTGCCCCACTCTGCTGCTTTTTCAGGCTCTGTATGACTTCTTTGCCACTTAAAAAATATTTAGACAACTTAAGTCAGCTTCTGCTGCCTTCCTTTGGATAGCGATGAGCGGTCTCTCTAAGACGCCCCAGTAGTATCTTGGAAGGGCTACCTGTGGTTGATCATTGCTTTAAAAAATCAGGCCCCTAATTTACAGAATTTTTTTCCTGGCCACCCTTGCCGATTTCACTGCAGGAGAGATTAGCTCAAGGGCAGATGAAGGACCCAGTCAACCTGGCCATGGGAACAGGGAGGAGCTGCAGCACCTTGAGACTTGGAGGAGACTTGGAAATGGGTAATGTTTCAGATAGGGAGCTCCCACTTCCAATCTGGTAGGCCCATCTGTCAGACGTCACCATGGCAGGACGGCCAATTAGGGACACAGCAGGAGGAGCAAAAGCATGCCCAGTTCAACAGTGCTTCTCCCCCAAAGAAGGATTTGGGTAAAATAGGTCAGAAAGGGGTCGATACTTTGCTTTGTGCATGCTCAGAGATTTGAATGTAGTAATAAAGACTTTTGGCAAAGAAACGCTGGTGATCCTGATATTGCCAGGAGGGAGAAGCACAGCTAACAACGAAGACTTCCAATCTGCTTTACATGGTTGATGCAAACATTACGGAAAAGCTGTGCTTGAAAAACTGTTGTTTAGGGTTGGGGGAGTGTCAGACAAATTGGATATTTGGGGCCAAATGCAAATATTTAGAATTATTTTAAAGCAAAGTATGTTTCTTTTATGCAGCATGGAGAAGTCCGTCTGCATGGTTGCAGATGTGAAAGAATCGCAAATTATGCCTAGTTCCTAAAACTAATTCCAGAATGAATTTATACAATTGATGAAAATGCATGACAGTGTAAAATCCAAGGGAACCATTGATTTATATTCTGAAAATTTTGGCTTTTGTCTTGGGGATACATTTTTAAACAAACCGGCCTAGTTTGTACTTCCCACAGTAATATACGGATTGGAACACAGTTGTTTTTGGACTGTGTTCCTCTCCAAATTTTGCAATGCTGCTCACAGCTCAAAAATTACAAAGAAAAATATGTAAAAGTGGGGGTGATTCATTCAATATAAATGCAAATGTTGTGCTGTTTCCTTTTGGAAAAGAAAAAGAAAAATTGCAGATCAATGCAGAAACAGGATGGAATGGGCTTATGATTGAACACATCTGAAATTGACACAGCCCAGGAATAGACTGACCCACCCACCTCTACTGGAAATGCAAGATTTCTCATCAATTAGATAAGCTGAAATCTCTACTGATAGTATGTTAGCAGTAGAATGGTCACTTATATAGCCCCCATAAAAAGGTCCCCAAATCGGATAAAATGTGTATATGCTACTTTAGATCCATAAATGCAAATTTAGAAATAATCATGATAATGTAACTAAAATAAGGAACATCTTTCAATAATATTGAAGACTGTCAGCAGTTTTGCCTACCTGTTCCGTTTGCTTTCTAGTTGCTAACTGTGGATGGGCAACCATTCAAATGGCTCTTTATTTTTAAACCAGAATTGAACAGGACAGATCTTCAAACTGAGCTGGGGTGGGCAACTTATGGCCCTCCAGATTTTTTGGCCTAAAAACCCCACCATTCCACACCTTTGGCTACGCTTGGCAGAGCTAATGGGATCTGGAGGGCTACAAGTTCAGTAAGGACAAGTGCCAAGACCTCCACCTAGGAAAAAGAAACCAAATGCATGGATTCAAGATGGGGAATACATGGCTCAGTAGAACCGAACAAGAAAAAGATCTTCGAGTAATTGTGGACAACAGGCTAAACATTAGCCAACAATGCGATACAGCCACCAAAAGGGCAAATGCTATTTTGGGATGCATTAACAGAAGTATTACTTCCAAATCTCAATAAGTAGTAGTTCCTGTATACTCCTCACTAGAAAGACCTCTCCTGGAATACTGTGTCCAGTTCTGGGCACCAAGATTTAAGATAGATGCAGGTAAATTAGAAAGGGTCCAGCAGAGGGCAACAAAAATGATCCAGGTTTTGGAAACACTGCCCTCTGAGGAGAGACTGAGAGAACTGGGCATGTTCAGCCTGGAGAAGAGAAGACTGAGTGGGGGGGACATGATATCCCAGTATAAGTACCTCAAAGGCTGTCACAAAGAGGGAGGTCAAGATCTCTTCATAATGATGCCAGAGCGTAGGACATGGAATCATCAATTCAAGTTGCAACAACCCAGATTCAGGCTGGACTTCAGGAGAAGATTCCTCACTGTCAGAGCAATACAACAGAGGAAACAGCTGCCTGGAGAGGTGGTGGGCTCTCCCACACTGGAGACATTCAAGAAGAAACTGGACAGCCCTCTGAGTGGGATGGTGTAACTTGGTGACCTGCAACAGCAGGGGGTTGGACTCGATGGTCTTCATGGCCTCTTCCAACTCTACTATTCTATGATTCTATAAGTTGCCCGCCCTTGAGTTAAGGATGCCTTCCAACAGAAGGTGATATTCTGGCAGCCCTTCAAATAGAGGAATGTCCTCCATTTTAAAAAGAAAGCAGGACACATGGCCACCCATCTGAAAGGTGGTTGTAGATGTACAGGAAACCTCACAGCAGCCAGGGCCATAACTTTGCTCATGACCCTTCAGAAATGCAGACCTCCAGCGTGCCTTGGAATGGAGCACACAATGATGTGAAATGCTGGGACCCGGCCGGGAGCTGAGAAGGCCTCTCTGCATGAGACAGGCTATGCCTGACTTGGCTTCCTTGTGGTGGCCCAAGGGAGGCAGAACATCTGGGTCAGTAGCTGCAGGATCCAGGAAGACATTCAGATGGCCCAGTCAGAGGAACTGGGGGCTGGGGCTGGGGAACCCTGGCTGTATCACTGAGAGGAAGGTGCGCGAGAGCAAGGGATTCTCAGTCTGCTTCTGCCTGGAAGCACTTCCTTCCTTCTGCATCAATTTTGTCATTTATGGCTCCCAGAGTTTGCAATACGGGGAGAAAACTCAAAACAAAAGCCTCATTCTAACGGCAGCAGAGAATTACTGCAGTGATAAATCAAGCTGCACTTTCTTGGCTGTCTGCCTTATTATGAGGAACAGAGATTGAATGGAAGTGGCTAGAACCTGAGCAGCAGATACAGGATAAATCAATTCAGCTGTCAGCTCCAAAGAGCAGATCACACGCTGAGTACAATTGAACTCCACTGTCCGAGAGAACATCTCAAGTGGGTGGGGGTGAACAGGAGAGACTGGATTCTGCTCACACACTAGTTGGGCTTATTGGCTGGCAGGCCAGGAGGCAGATGCCAACCATTTCAAAAAGGTGAAATAATGGATGTGATGAAAGACATAGGATCCAGAAAAAAGCAGTGGAAGTCATTTCATAATCTTCTGCATTCCAAAGAGACCTCCCTCGATTTTATCTAGAATGGGAGAAAACATGCTTCCTTTGACTCGTAAGGGGGCACCATTCATTGGCACCAATAAGGGGTCTTTTCCCCAAGCAAACACAGTTCTGGTTTGTCTCCAGGTCAGTTCAGGGAAGGGAAGAAAAAACCTGGCAGGCTGTCTTCCCCAGTATGAGTCCATGTGGGCCATAAGACTTGGGTAACCAGTATGCTAACTAAATTTGTGGACAATACCAAACTGGTGGTAGTAGCCACAGGAGCAGGTGATCCAGATCCAGGAGGATCTGGACAGACTGTGAAAGTGGGCAGGGGCCAACAGGATGGCATGCAATGTGGAGAAGTGCAAGGGCTTGAGACACAGGAAGGAGGACAAGTGATTGGAGAGCAGCACTTGTGAAAAAGATCTCGGGGTACTTGTCAACAGCAGGCTGAACATGAACTGGCAGTGTGGCGTGGAGGTTAAGAAGACAAATGTCACCCTTGGATGTATAGACAGAAGCATGGCTTCCAGATCTAGGGAGGTGTTTATACCGCTTTACATGACTCTGGTGCACCCACAGCTGGAGTACTCTTTCTAGTTCTGGGCTCCACATTACAGGAGAGACATAGCTAGGTCAGAACTGGTTCGGTGTAGGGTCACAAGAATGGTAGCCGGGTTGGGAGGGGTGACATATGAGGAGAGATTTGGGAGAATTGGGTCCTTTCAGCCTGGAGAAGAGTAGACTCTGAGGGGATCTGTTCATCCCTGAAGTGGAACGCAGGACGCATTCCAATGGGGCAAAGCTCAAGGAACCAAGTTTCAGGTTGGATGTCAGGAAGTGCTTCCTGACAGTTAGGACCCCTAGGATATGGAATGGGCTTCCAAGGAAGGTGGTTGATGCCCCATCAGTGAGGGTGTTCAAGGAAAGATTGGACAACCACATGTTGTGGATTACATGAGCCAAGTCAGTTGGAGATGGGGGTCAGACTAGATGGTGCAGGAGACCCCTTCTGACTTGCTATGTTTCTACATTTTCTGGGTGTACCATGATCTGTAGATTGCCATCTCACAGCAACCAGGAAGGGAACCTTCTCCGGTGGTTGGCCTATATGGCACCACCATATAGAAGGACCTGCTCATATTCGGGAGGCACCAAATGCATCATACTTTAGACACAAAGATCCACACCTTTCCCCAGGTTTGCCCTAAATGTATTTGCAGCCCAGTCTGTTTGTCTGTAATTATGCTGATCCTTTAATTGATTTTAATCTTTTTTAAATTCATGCTGTAGCAGTTCTGTGTTTTCCAATGCATAGTATAATGTATTTTCTGACCTACTTAGAGATCTTTTTAAGGATGCTCAGTGTCATAGTGAAATAGGCGTAGCTTACCTGTCAATGCCTTGTCAACCTCCCTCTGGGTCAGCCCAAAGCAGAAACTGTCCACAGCCACAGCCAGGGCTTGGGCAAAATTGGCATCTGCCAGGAAAGAGCCATCAGAGGAGCTGACCAGGCTGCAGCGAGGGCTGGTGCCGTTGTCCTCCGAGACAGAGCCCCATCCGTTGAGCAGGGAGCCACCCAGCGAGGCTTCATCCTCACTCAGACTGGAGGAGGGAGTCCGGCAGAAAGCACGGAAGAACGGGGTGGAGCGGCTGCTGCTGTCCATGAGGTTGGGGTCATCATCACCTGCGGCATCGGCTGTCAGCAGCTCGGAGGCCAGCGGGCTGCAGATGTAGCCATAGGTATGAGGTGGAGAGAACGCCCGAGGAGGGACAGGAATGCTGTTCAGGCGCCTTGAAAGAAAGAGGAGATAGATGGCATTAAAACAAGGCCTGGGCCATGAAATGGAGGCTTCCCCCACAGAGACAAAGGCACCCTGCATCTGAGGGCAAACTCCATTAAATGCATCTTGTGCAGTTTTGGGTTGCTTGTTTGATTCCAGAGCACTGGGGGTAATTACTGGGAAGGCAGTTGGTAGGTTAAGAGCACCTAGCTTGTTCCTCTCCAGCTACACTCCTGGGGAAACCCTCTTATCTAGCATGGCTATCTGCACTGGGAGGTTACCCCTCACTGGAGCTGAGAAGGGGTCTTTCCCTCAAGCAAAAAGCAGCTCCAGGAAAAACAACCTTGGACAATCATTCTTAATTTGAGTAGTTCTTCCACTGACCAGCTGGAATGGAAACAGGTTAAGGAGAGGAGGAGCCACTTGGAGGTGGAGAGCAGAGTGGATGGGATAGTCTTGCCTCCCGTTGCTTCCCTTGATGCGGCCTGGTGGAGTGTCTCCTGCCATGTGACAGCGGAAGGAGGCAAAGGCTGCTGGCGTCTCAGCAACAGTGATGGCACGGCTTGCTTCTCACCCCTCTCTCTGCTGCAGCTAGGTGGAATGGCTGTCGCCAAGTGAGAATTCAGGAAGAAGGGGAGGGAAGTCTTATTGGTATCCACATCCACCATGGGTGGTATCCAGTTACTGATGGACAGCAACCATCAGCAGAAGAGGGAAGGTACAATGTTTGGCTCTTCTCTCTCCCACCTCCCATGTTTTCCCAAAGGGTTGGCCAGATTTGGGAGTGATGGGCTGTTGCAAGGAGATGTAGTATCACCAAAAATTAACCTCTTCCCTCTCCTTAATGGATGCCTTCTGACACTTCTGGGGAACCAGAAGAAGAGTGCCCCATGTGGTTGGCTGTTTCTGATTTATTGGTTCTGTCAGCAAAGGTAGAGCAAACATTTACAAATGGAGAAAGTAGCACACAGTTAGTTGTATATCTTGACTCCCAGCAAAACCATCATGTGCAAACCCAGTGGAAATGAATGGGCATTTCAAGTACAGCTCTTCTTCTTACAAAGACTGGAAGAAATCTACCCAGTGCACCAAAAGGCCAGTGACTGGTGAGACGCATGTGCACCTTCAGCCAAGAAACCAATGCCTTAAAAGAAGCATCGTTCTGTCCAAATTCCTGGACAGGCTGTCTAAGGATGTAATTTTTCCTTCTTCTATAGATCCTGTAGAGAGCCAAAAAAGAATGTATTGGAGATGCTGGGAACGGCGGCCTCTCTAAGGGAAACAAATGCATAATGATCTTATTACCTTCTTCTAGCCAACTCTCCCTCTCTCTCTCTCTGAGGTAGGAAGAAGAGGGAAAGCAGGAAATGGGACCAAATGCAAATGGGACAGAATATCTTCTCTCCCGGAATGTTATTTCCTATGTGCATTGAGACTGCAGTCAAGCCAGCTCTGCAGCTCTGCAAGGCCTCCTGTGTAGTTCTGGACCGCAGCAATTTCTATTTATTACACTCAAGCCCTTACGCAGCTCAGAACTTAGGAATGTCAGAAGAACCCAGTGGAAACCCCATTAGGAACCCTTCTTAGACTGCATCCTGTTTCCCAGCTCAGCACACCAAATGTTTCCAACAAATCCACAAAGAGGCAGCACCCCCATCCCTCTTCCTCTCCCCCCACCTCCAGCCGTCAGATAGTGAAAAGATCCAAGGCTCAGACTCACAAGACATGTGCGCAAATCTGAATATGCTAATTGATGCATCCTGGGCTGCTCTTTCTGGCTACTCCTGCGCTCCCATTGCCCTCCCCCAACCAACACCTGATTGGTTCCCAGAGCTGCTACTCAAGCCATTAAGAAAACAATGTTTTAGATCAGCATCGATGCATCCTGGAGCACATCCAACAGAGGGATGCAGCCCTTCCTTGTGCCAGATGATGAGGTGGAGTGGGGAGGAGAGAGTCCACCATGTCCATGCCACAGCAGCGTCAGGCCCATGTGGCAGCTGCAGCAGGGTCATGGCGGGGCGGGTAGGGCCTTGAGAGCTCCTGAACCCTTGACAGTCACCCACCCGTGCTGCCCCCTGATGCTGGACCTGAGGAGTGGCAGCAGCCATGGAAGTGGGGCATCCTCCCAGCATTTCCTCAAGTCCATCGGCCAGGTTATTCTTTCCCTTAAACATGCATAAAATGCCTGACAGATGCCAACTGCCCATGCTGGAGCTCTGCCCCAGGATCTGTTTTGGTATCTGGGGTGAGGCTGCTCTGCCCTTAAAGAGACCTTCAAGGGAGCGGGGAGGGTTGCTGAAACCACTGCCTCTGCTCCGGACAGCCCAAAAGGGAAACCAGCAATAGAGAGGTTTTTTTTTTTTTTTTAATTAGCAGCTCATTTGTGTGGCTCTTATTGCAGGCACATACTCTCCCTCTTAAAATTACAAGGTCAGCCTCGGCAGAAACTTAAACTAACATGGGACCCTGCTATTCCAGGCATGGGTGTGTTTCCATCCTGGCCTCTTCACGCCCCCCGCCCCCCATTTCACCCAGAGTTGCCTTGCTCTGCTGGCAATGAAGCCTGCCCCCCCCACACACACACACAGAGGCTGTGCCTGGTGGTGTCGTTGGGTAATTTGAGACACTCAGCCTCAAGGCTTTGCTCCATCACCACCCCCTTTGGCTGGCAAAGTGCGTTACTTTATGAACCTCAAAACGTGGCAAGCAATTCCTGCTGCATTTGCCCCCTGCTGCGAGCCCCCCCCCCCCCCCCCCCCCC